TTGGCCTTTGGGACAAAGCATTCACTTTAGAAATCTATGCCTAATTAAGACTCTGGTTATTAGCCTTGACTCACTCTCTGGTAAGCTGTCAGTTAATAGTAACAAACTTCCGCCAAATGTTAAATGCAAAATAAGCAACTGTGTGTTGTGTTTAAAACTGAAATGTTTTAACCCATCTGACTGCAGTAATGTGTGGGTAATGTTTATTTAAGCAATAGAACACAGAGGGAGTGTGTTATCGCGAAATCACGCCTGTGATTCCGTCGCCGTAGATCATCACAGCCGTGATGTTATTGGCGATAACACACTCCTCGAGTGTTCTATTGCTTTTATACGACAGTTAAATAAATAAAGTAATAAATTAATAAACTGGGCCGTGAACGCGGCGTTTAATATGTTTTAATGTTCGCAGTTCCTTCACCATTATAGTTCCTTAACGGGCAGCTTGTTGCTACGTCAGAGTAACGAGCTCCGCCCACTCGCTGCACAGCCGGCAGTTCGTTCTCCAGCTCCACACAGACCAACTGACAGTTTGGGAATTTAGTGTCGTCTCATCTTCAGAGTCTGACCAAATCGGCTGTCGGTCAAATGTGATCTTAAAAGTGTCCATTTTCTGTTCGTGGCAAAGTAAGAAGTAAAAACGTTCAAATGGCCTGAGCGTCTCCTACAACTGTCAAAGTTATCAGCGGAGTGATACAGTGTTTGTGAAAAAGCTTGCGTGGCCGGAACTAACTGTTGTATAATATGATTTAGCTATAATGAAGTCGCCAGACAGCCGTCCTCATCGTAGTGACGTCTCAGGGCCTTTTTTTTTTAAACAGAGACACAACACAGGGCAGTAAATCAGAATATTGTGAACGTTTGCGTAAATATGTCTTAAATAAGCAGTAACAAAAAAAACATTTCAAAGGGATAAAAAGTTGTTAGAAAATATTCATATATAAACAATTATGACATGTATTAGGGAAAGAAATTAAATAAGACAAATGTTGGATACGGCCCTCTTAATTTGGGGAACTATTTTTGAAGGACACTGCAGCAGACACACCTATAGATCTTGACATCATTTTTTTGTGTTGTGCTGTAGAAAGAAAATGGTTATATTCCTCAAACAACAACATCATGGAGATCAGTTACACTGTTTTTTATGTGAATTTCATTTGATTCATTTTATTTTTCACGACTGATTTCCAAAAAGCCTGTGCAAATGCAAAATCTGTTCACAGCCATGTCAGTCACACAATCGGTCAACAAACATAAATCATTAGTAAAAGCAAGACTACACAAAGTCCTTTGTGCGCTTTTCATCCTTGGGTTTATGATGACCAGACCAGATGGGTAAAGACTCTACGCACATGTAGGTCTTTAGTGACACCTGGTGGCCATGCAGAAAAGTGTTAAACTACACTCCAGGCTGCAGTGGTCAGCTACTCACTGGCAGACAAGCTCACTTCAGTTTAAAGGGATTCTTACAGACTAATTATCAACCAAGTCTCACTTTGAAATGAACGTGTTTGTACATCCCAGTCCATTTTCATACAGTTGTGTTACACTATATGGCCAAAAGTATGTGGACACCTGACCATCACACCAACATGAGCTTGTTGGGCATCTCATTCCCAAACCATAGTCGTTACCAGTGGTGGACAGTAATGAAGTAAATACTGTACTTAAGTAGTTTTTCCTGTATCTGTACTGTATTTCCATTTTGGGCCACTTTTTACTTTCACTCCACTACATTTCAGTGTCAAATATCTCACTTTTTACTCCATTACATTATGAGAAATCTGTCGTTCCTTTTGGTTTGTGTGTGTATAAAAACGTAACATGTCAAAATGAAAGAAGAGTGAAGCAAAAACACCAATCAGAGCACAGCGGTCACTTTGTTTTGAGCTTGTTTTGACCTGTTGGTCATACCGACCCAGTGCAGCACACGGTTCAACATCAGTGCAGCAGAGTAAAATTCTGGGAGAGTCTATTCAACATAAATGATGAACTAACCTAACTTTGTGTAAACAGACCACAATATAGAAATATGTACACATACGCAGTCGTGACTGACGTGTCTTTTTTCTGAATTTATACAAACAATATTTCATTTAATAGTAAATTAGTTTTGGCTAGTTTATGTTTATGAACAGAGACCTACAGACGCAGTTTAGTAAAGGAAACTCATTTGTGAATCTGAGTTTAAAGTTTTTATTAAACTTGTAACTAAGTTGCAAATAAATCTTTGCTTGTTTGTAAAAGTGATTTCAGAGCCACTCAGTTCTACCTGATGGAAACTGTTCGCCTTCAGTGTTTTGTGCTTGTGATCATTTTAATCGACATCAGCGTCACTAATTAATGACTCTATTAAAAGACTGGTTTACCAAGAGAGACACTGGAGTATTTTCACCTAAAATGAGTTCATGAAGCGAGTCTTGTTATTAAAATGATAATAGGACATTAAAGTCATAATTAATCTTTTAGTACTTTCACTTTTGATACTTAAGTACGTTTGAAGGCAAATACTTCTGTACTTTTACTCAAGTGGAGGTCTAAAGGGAGGAACTTCTACTTTTACTGGAGTAATATTTTACCTTGGGTATCTCTACTTTAACTCAAGTACATGATTTGCGTACTTCGTCCACCACTGGTCATTACTATAGAGCTCACCCCTCCTTTGCAGCTGTAACAGCCACTTTTGGGGGGAAAAAAAATCTTTCCACACATGTTTAAACTGTGTCTGTGGGAATTTGTGGTCATTCTGTCAAAAGAGTAGGTTGTGAGGTCAGGCACTGATGGTGGACGGAAAGGCCTGGCTCACAAACAACATTCTAATTCATCCCAAAGGTGTGCAGTGGGGTTGAGGTCAGGGCTCTGTCCAGGCCACTGGAGTTCCTCCACACCAAACTTATCAAACCTCATCTTTATGGACCTCGCTTTGTGCACAGGGCCACAATTATGCTAGAATAAAACAGGGCCGTCCCCAAACTGTTGCCACAAAGTTGGAAGCATATAATTGTCTAAAATGTCTTTGTATGCTGTAACGTTAACTCTTCACTGGAACCGAGGGACCGAGCCCCTTATGATGAGCCCCAAGGAGCGTGACTGAAACACCTGAACTCAATAATTAAGAAGGGGGTCTATACATTTTTGGCCATATAGTGTCAATATACACCGACCAGGCATAACATTATGACCACCTCCTTGTTTCTACACTCACTGTCCATTTTATCAGCTCCACTTACTATATAGGTGCACTTTGTAGTTCTACAGTTACAGACTGTAGTCCATCTGTTTCTCTGATACTTTGTTAGCCCCCTTTTACCCTGTTCTTCAGTGGTCAGGACCCCCATGGACCCTCACAGAGCAGGTACTATTTGGGTGGTGGATCATTCTCAGCACTGCAGTAACACTGACGTGGTGGTGGTATGTTAGTGTGTGTTGCACTGGTACGAGTGGATCAGACACAGCAGTGCTGCTGGAGTTTTTTAAACACTGTGTCCACTCACTGTCCACTGTATTAGACACTCCTACCTCGTCAGTCCACTTTGTAGATGTAAAGTCAGAGACGATAGCTCATCTGCTGCTGCAGTTTGTGTTGGTCATCCTCTAGTCCTTCATCAGTGGTCACAGGACGCTGCCCACAGGACGCTGTTGGCTGGATATTTTTGGTCGGTGGACTATTCTCGGTCCAGCAGTGACACTGAGGTGTTTAAAAACTCCAGCAGCACTGCTGTGTCTGATCCACTCAGACCAGCGCAACACACACTAACACACCACCACCACGTCAGTGTTACTGCAGTGCTGAGAACGATCCACCACCCAAATAGTACCTGCTCTGTGAGGGTCCATGGGGGTCCTGACCACTGAAGAACAGGGTAAAAGGGGGCTAACAAAGTATCAGAGAAACAGATGGACTACAGTCTGTAACTGTAGAACTACAAAGTGCACCTATATAGTAAGTGGAGCTGATAAAATCAGCTCATAATGTTATGCCTGATCGGCGTATTTCTAATAGTCACAGTTTGCCGCTGGATATTTAATATAAGTAAGTAATTCAGTACAGAGGGCTGAGACCAAGCCTACTTCAGTATATGTTTAACAGATTTCCTTTTTTGGTGCAAAACTGCAGTTTTCTGGATGATTGATTATGATGGTTTTTTAAAATGGACCTGTTCAACAGGTTTGTATTGGGTAAAAGAGTTAAAGTTTGCTTAGAGAAGCAACACGAGGTAAAGAAAACTTAGTAAAACATCATTTTAACAGGTAGTTATACATAAAACAGAAATAGTGGCATAAGCAGCTGTTGTTCCATGTAACTCAATGAGAAACATATTCCTGCTCAGTCTTTAATCAAACGCAGGTTCTACGAAAGCACCAATCTTCATGACGGTTCAACCTACCTTAAGTGTTTTTCATTTTGAGTGTATTTCTTTAAATGTGAACTGCTGACCTATTTCACACAGTCAAACCATGCAGGGAAAAGTGATGAGGAAGTAGTATCAGACAGTAGCTGTTCACATTTAAAGCACACAAATTCAACACACAGTAACGGCAGAACACTCCTGACCTGTAACAGAGAGTGAGCAGTGAGCCAAAGCAGTTTCGTACCATGTACAATACTGTGCAAAAGTCAGGGACCACCCTTTTATCTATTTCATTTCCAGTGGAAACAGCAATTAAGTACAAGTTATTCATTTTTCAGGAGGTATTTCTGAGAACGTAAGAAATAAGATAATCCACTTGCATAAGGAAGGGCAAAGTCAAAGGACAAGAAAGAGTCAATGGGTCTGAAAGGATGTGTAGCTGTCAAGAAACCAGTACTGAGAAAAGAAAGACAATAAAAAAAAGGAGAAAAATCTGCAAATCAAGCAAAGAAGCTGCTGATCATCTCAGAACAATGGAGTGACCACCCCAGAGTCCAGACCTCAACACTATTTAATGTGTTTGCGATTACTTGGATCATGAGAAAATGAAAATGCAACCAACTTCTAAGACTGAACTTTGGAGGTATATAAATATATCGCTGCTGTCAGAAGAAAACCTCGTATCTCTATTTTTGACGTTTTTCAGTTTTTGACATAATTTAAAAATGACTGTTGTCCTTTACATCGTGTATAAATTTAACGATGAATTGACTAAAAGAAAACGGCACAAAATGACTTGGGGAAAAATGTCTGGTCCCATTCACTTACATTAAAAGTAAGGTGGGTTTTTTCCTTCTCCTGTAAAGTTATCATTTTGGAGATACGAAGTTTTTTCCCCAACAACAGCGATGTATAAAATAAGCTCTATTAATAAATAACTGAAAATATCTGAAAAATGCATAACTAGAAATTGAGGGATGGTTTCTGAAGGATGAAGGATGGTTTCTGTCTTTCGCACAATCCCACATATTTCACTTTTCCCATGTAAAAATCTGCAACAAATTAGTGCAATTTTGAGGGAGTTTTTTTCTCCCGTTTAAATACAAAGAAAAAGGCGGAACCACAATGATGCTCAACAGCTCCACTGACCTACACTTAAAAGGATACTCCAGCATTTTTCATGCTACAGATGTGAGAACAGGTTGAAAAACTCTGCAGTATTCCTTTACTGTAATTTATAATCAGTCTATTTTAGGCAGACCACCTTTGTGAGGTGAAGGTCTTATTTTTTTGTATTTTTTTTAAGAACTGCAAACTTACTGTATACTCAAAAAAATGTTTTGACGGCACACAGCTTCAAACATATTTCACTGACATAATCCTTCTGCAAACATAGCTTGCAAAGAACTGCGGATACATTTCCTCAGACGTAAAGTGTAACCTCCCTTTGAATGCCCTTCCTAAGCAACTCGATTTATAATCTTACTAAGCATATTTATTTTTACGTTCACTCAGCATTTTCATTTTCTCACTGCACTCTTGCAGTTTTGGCTTTTATAAAATACCTGAAAGTGCAAAGGGCTGCTTAGACCAGAAGTAATTGGACATATACCACTCAAGATAATGTGTGTAATGCAGCGATGGTCCCCAGGCACACATGGAGGCCTCTAACGGGTGCAGACAAAGGCAGAGATTTGCATCTTCCCTTTGCTCGTTAGGCCACAGGAGTGTTGTCTGTTACTTGAGTGTCCTCTCCTGCTAAGAGTCCCTCTGTTTCACCGCCATCTTCTAACTGGACAAATCGAAGAGTGCTGAGGAGAAAAAACACGTCAGGGTGAGTCAGCAGGCACTCATACACACACACACACACACACACACACACACACACACACACACACACACACACACACACACACACACACATATGCAGAAAGAGGAAATGGGAACCAAGAGTTGCCAGCTGAATAAAAACAGAAGTAGTTTCATGTCTTAGGGGAAGTTTTTACATGTCAAAAAAATCCAATACAAGGCTGCTTTTCTGGTTGTGACGATTGGAGTAAGTTTCAGAATGGAAGTCACATTTATGTTTCTAGGCTTGTTGTTGTGTGTCAAGGTAGAGGTGATAATTCAGAAGGGCCCCCAACCTTATCTCACTCTCTACTGAACGCCAGTCAAGTATAGAACTGTTTGTTTAGACTTTGACACAAATGGAGAAAGTAAACCAGTCACGCAAATCTTACAGCTTTCAGAGCCGTTCTTTCTGTTTTTATTTGCTACTTACCTGCTGTCTAAACTGTCCGGGGTCTGTGTGACAAAAAAAACAAAACTAAACCATCTTAACTTCGCAGCATCACATCAAAACAAGGTTCAGTTCCTTTTTCCTCTTGAGTCCTGCAGACATACTCGAATTAGTACACACCTGACCTGCACCACAGCTCACACAGCCCTGACACTGGATGTTAGCATCATGTAAAACAGTTTATGAAAATGTTTTTTTAGCCTATTTTTGGATTAGTTTGTAGCATCTTCTCCCTCTTTTTCAATTATGAACATTGTGAGGTTGATTGTATGGTGTAGGGGTGTAACAATACATGATTCCGCAATGCGATTTGATTCACAACACTGGGTTCACAATGAGGTATTTTCGAGAACAGAATTCAAATGAAGACAGCATAAAATTATAATCACGTTTTTGCACATTTTATTAATGAGACTACAGCTTGGCGGCAGGAGGAGTGATGGAGTGGGTCACTGATAGGTGTGTTTTTTTTTTTGCAAACTTTGGTGTTCAAACCTTGCAGTTGCTTAAGATGGCATTATTATCGGCATGTCCATTTTCCACTTAAGCAACAGAACACAGAGGGAGTGTGTTATCGTGAAATAACATCACTGTTGTGATTTGGTCGCCGTAGATCATCACAGCCGTGATGTTATTGGTGATAACACACTCCTCGAGTGTTCTATTGCTTTTATACAACAGTTAAATAAATAAAGTAATAAATTAATAAACTGGGCCGTGAACGCGGCGTTTAATATGTTTTAATGTTCGCAGTTCCTTCACCAAATTATAGTTCCTTAACGAGCAGCTTGTTGCTACGTCAGAGTAACGAACTCCGCCCACTCGCTGCACAGCCAGCAGTCCGTTCTCCAACTCCTTACACTAAATTCCCAAACTGTCATCACCACTGAGCAGCTTTTCAGTCGGCAGCTGTGACAGAAGAACAGCTGAACAACCTGGAATCAGTCAGAAATTAACCCAATACCATTCGCCAAGCGTGTAGTCTGATCTTCAGAGTCTGACCAAATCGGACTGAGCCATAAGACTGTTGCGATATCAAGTTCAGCTCAGTTTTGTCATTTTTTGCCCGATCAATATTTATGTTGTTTTGTTCCAGCCAGTCTGTAAATCATCTTACAGCCCATTTAGTTTGGCGAATGGTGTTGGGTTCATTTCTGGCTGATTCCAGGTTGTTTAGCTGTTCTTCTGTCACAGCTGGCGACTGAAAAGCTGCTCAGTGGTGATGACAGTTTGGGAATTTAGTGTCGTCTCATCTTCAGAGTCTGACCAAATCGGCTGTCGGTCAAATGTGATCTTAAGTGTCCATTTTCTGTTTGTGGCAAAGTAAGAAGTCAAAATGTTCAAATGTCTTGAGCTCCTACAGCTGTCAAAGTCGTTGCTTAGCAACGGCGTCTCAGCGGAGTGATACAGTGTTTGTGAAAAAAACGTGATGTTATGGCGAAATAACAGCACAGTTAGAACGCTTCTCAACCAATCAGCTTGCGTGGCCGGAACTAACTGTAGTATAAAATGCATCATCATATCTTAATGATACACGGTCACAGTTTTGAATTGCGATATCACAATGCCACATTACATTGTTACGCCCCTAGTATAAGGTATCAGTTGAAATGGCTGATGAAAACATGGTTTTCTCTACTTTGGGTAGTGTTTAGGGGCAGAATTTATAGTTTTGTCCAAGGCGTCTGATTGGACGCGTTGGCCCTGACTAATGATTACTCAATTACAGCCCAAATACAAAAATGGTGTTGAACGCAACTCTGAGTAATCTGAGTAAAAAAACATTTCTAATAAAAAAAAAACACTATGAGAAATGCAAATTAGCTAGTACCAAGGTTTATTCTGCATCCTATGCAAAACTGTAAAATGTTAACGTGTGAGTAAAGCAGGCACTTGTTTCTCACCATAGCAGACTCATTGGAATGAGGCAGAGTACAGCAGCGAGGAGGAAGACAAAGCCGGGCCACCAGGTCACCGTGGTGCTGTAGACATTGTTGAACGCTGCACTCCCTAAATTAGTGGTTAGGTTATCAGTGAAGGCCAAACAGGCGAAGAGGGCACCTGAAACATGCAGAGAAAATTAAATGTTAACCAGACATCGACTTTGCCTTCAAACCCCCAAATCATTAAAAGCTACTGATTAGCCTTGAAAACCACATATGTGCATATTTTGTGTTTTTCCTGCTCCAATAACTGGAACAAAGCAAGAAGGCTTTGAAAATTAGCTGAGGAGTTTTTAGATTAGACAAATGTGCAAACATATGTAGAACATTGACAGCACTCATAAAAAAGCTGTTTCTTTAAGGGTTCTATAGACAGACAGACAGACAGATAATGTGCAAATAGTAGCAATAGTGCAAAACATGCCATGCAATTCTGCAATAACAGGCGTCAATATGACATATCTATGAAATATATAACTGTATGAACAATATATACACAATTATAAATATATCTATGAATGATATATACATGTATATATTCACATAATACTATAAATACACAATATAAGGTATGGTACGTGCTGTTAAGTACGTACTGAGTAAGTAAGTATGGAAATGTTTGGGATAATAAATAATAAATAAATATAGTGTGCAACATACAGGTGTGAGTATTAGTGGAGTGGTGTGGAGTTCAGCAGGGTGATGGTGGAGGGAAAGAAGCTGGACCTGAGCCGACTGGTTCTGGTCCAAACTGGGAGGAGGTTAACCAGTGTGTGGCTGGGGTGGGAGGAGTCCTTTAGTGAAGGCAACACTCAAAAATGATTCTATAAAGCACCAAAAATGGGTTCTTCTGTTGTTACAATGTCAAGGTTGTAACGACAGAAGAACAAATCTTTTGTTCTACGTAGAATCATTTTCAAAAAAGAACCATCAACACGTTCTCCATCAATATGAAGAACCATTTCAAGCATACAAATGGTTCTTTGAGTGTTCATGGTTCTATATAGAACCATTGTCTTTACTGAAGAACCCTTGAAGAAATCTTTAAGAGTGTGGGATTGTAAATCACTGGATTATACCATCAATTTGCTGCCAAATACAACTACACAACAATGTACGTCTCAAATTGTGTGGCTTTAAATGTAAAGAATGTAAGTGGGGCTGAAGGTTTAACAGCTCTGCACAGTTGAGTGGACGTGCTCTCTTGGGTGCAGCAGCGTGAAAAACAGCAGAACTAAGAGGAGAGCACTCCTGGGACAGACGCTTGGCTGAGTAAGAGCTTTTCAGTTCTGGAACACCAGTTCAAGTGAACGACTTTACCCTGCTCAGACTTTGAGACCACCTTTGACAACATGGAGCGCAGGACCGGGAAAGGCATGATGGCCAGGAGCATAGGAATCCTCACTGCAGAGAAAGAGATTAACACAAACATTAGCTTAACTGAAGTGTGTCAGATGAGCACAGATCCCAACATACTCAGCAGCTATAGACACAAAGGCTTGGCTGTTTTCGGTTCCAGCATTTGTGAAATTTCATCATAAGATTAATTCAATTAATTTTATGATGCTCAGACTATATTGAGAAGGTCTTAATATCCAGCTTTTGTTTGATGGAGCAATTTTAGGTAATAAGCAACGATTACATAAGGCTGCCAGACTTCATCACTGACAGTAAATATTAGGTCTTGCGGTAACTAAACATACTCCCATCATAAAAATTAATCCTGTATTGAAAATCAAACGAAGTGCTTTCAGTTCATGTGGTACTAGAGAGGCACACATTAGTATATCTGGAAACACTGTAGTGCAACTAAACCTTGAAAAAATACTAAGCACTGCTGGGGAGAGTCACTTGACCATTATATCAATTACATTTGCACAAATGCTGATTTGTTGAATGTCAGGATTACTCAAATCCTGTATCTTCTGTAGCTCTTTAACTTGCTCCAGTAACGTTTCCGGGGATGTCCTTTACTACTGTAATAATCAGTACTGCTCTCAGTGGTGATGGACGGTTGAATATGAGATGGTGAACGACTGGTGTTCACTACTGGAATAACATAGACCTGTATTGTAACTCCATAATATGTATTTATTTTAAGCTATAATATTTCAGTTTTTTATAAAAGCTGCAAAGTATCTATACAGTTTCTCTTACTGAGGTCTGGAGGGTGGGTGGGATGGCTGGGTTTGGGGGTATGGGACTGTTTGTCTTTTGTATTTTGTGAAATCTTTAATAAAAAGACCTTGATCAAAAAAAAATAATTTGAGTTGTTTTAATTAGGCTGTTATCAGCAGAAAATCCTGGACTGGACATTGGGGAGGGTGGAGTAGACTAAAATTGATCCGTTCCTGTTAACAAATCTACAAATCTAGTCTGAAATATCACACACTCATTGTGTGATGTCATGTGGTTAGCTGTGTATTTCTGACGGAACTGAAAACCCCCTCACACACACACTCACACACTCACACACAATCTGGAACATCGCTGCTAACACTTTATTCTGTATATTTCTACCTCAGTAACTGCTGTTATGTGATCAGGCGTAACATGACCACCTCCTTGTTTCTACACTCACAAGTGTGTGTTGCGCTGGTCTGAGTGGATCAGACACAGCAGTGCTGCTGGAGTATTTAAGCACCTCAGTGTCACTGCTGGACTGAGAATAGTCCACCAACCAGCAATATCCAGCCAACAGCGTCCTGTGGGCAGCATCCTGTGACCATGGACAATGGACATGGACAATGAGCGTAGAAACAAGGAGGTGGTCATAATGTTATGCCTGATCGGTGTATGTCTGCATCTTATTCTCACTACCTCATGCTCAGAAATGAGTGCTGTGTCGGTGCTGCACTGTCCTGTCTGTTTACTGTGTCTGATGTCCGTTTTATTTATCGTATTTATTGTATTGTTTCTAGTTTAATGTTTGCATACTTACGTCTGCATGTTGGCACTTTCTCTGTACTGTATTATTTTGTTCCAGGTTGCACCATGTTGGTCCTGGAGGAACGTAATTTCGCTCCACTGTGTACTTGTACACAGACAGAACGACAATAAAAGCCTCTTGACTTAACTCTTTGTGCAGGGCAGTAAAGCGTTTGAATAGTTTAAGTGGCTTGACTTCTTAAGGGAAGGGCTTAAATCATCATTTTAAAGCACAGTGGCTTTTAAAGAAGATAAATCTGTATGAGTATCAGCTGATACTCTTGAGTTTTGATATTAGCATAAGTGTTAGAAAAGAAAAAGCAGTATCACGCCATTTCCTACTCACCAAGAAACATCATCAGTGTGGTTCTGGCGAAGGCCATCAACGTCATGCCTGTGAAGACGGACAGCATCCCGATGAAGACGATGGCCAAGTCAGGCAGGCAGCGCGACAGTACGTACACGCCAACGAAGCTGGTGATGAACACGACTGTGGAGAGAGCTGAGCCATAGCCGATGAGGATCTCGCTCCAACAAAGCGGCTCGTTAAGCTCATAAAGCGTGACCACAGTTAGGCCGCCGAAGTTGGCGAAGCTGAAGGAGCAGAAGATGACTATGAGAAGCACCAACAGACCGTTCCTTCTCCTGCTGCCCTGGGCAAAGAGGTTATAGATCCCAAACGTAAGCTTCTTCACCTCTCCACCACACGTATTGCTGTCCACTGTGCTTTCGACCACCCTGCTTTCCTCCAGAAGGAAGATTGCATACAGCAGGTTGACCAAATGGCACACAGCAGCGGTGAAAAAGGGCCAGTTAAACCCAGCCACCCTCAAGAAGTAGCCAGTGGAGATCAAAGCCACTCCGGACAACAGCCCAATTACCATGTCCAGACCAGCCATGCGCAGGGTCTTCTGCTTGCCGTCCTCGCACAGGTCGACCACATAGGAGAAGCAGCCACCCAGCATGGTGCCTATGCCCCCAAACAGGGCGCTGACAAAGTAGGCTGCGATGAGCAGGTAGAGGTTGAGCTCGAAGATGGATATGGCAAGGAAGGACAGGCTGTAGACCAGAGAGCCAATGAGGGGGAGGATGATGGTGATCTTGCGGCCCCGCTGGTCGCTGTAGGCCACGAGGATGAGGGTCACTAGGAGACTCGGGATCAAAGAGAAGAGCTCCGAGTACATGGAGAACTGTGAAGTGGCTTTCTGCACCTCCTGGGAAAAAAACAGAAACCTGATCTGAACAATACATACCAGTCTAGGCAACAAATCGAAGGTATAAGGCAGGGGTGTCCAAAGTCCGGCCCCCAGACAGATTTTCATTGGCCTGTGGCTTCTGTTTTACTGTGTATTTTAAGCGGCCCGCTAGCCAGTACGTTGCAGTTCCTCCTTTGACCTGATGGTGGCAGCTGACCTGACCTGCAGCTTCATTTACTGAACTACATTTAGGCCCAATCACATTTCTTTCTTTTTACCCCTACCCCTTGTTTTCAAGTGTGACCTTAACCCCTTGGAACTCAGTTCCAAGGGGTAGTGGTTGAAATCTTGCCCTACGAAATGGGACCCTCAAATAAAAAAAAAACACTACTTCATTAACAGATACTAGCGCTGCTCTGTAGGCGACCCTGCCCAGCAGAGGAGGGTAAAGTTCAGCTCCTCACTGCTGGGCTTTAGTTACATTTAGGGATCATATGCTTTCAAAGAGGGGGGCAATTATTTATTATTGCCCACCCCTAATTCTTTTGCGATATGAACCTGACGTCTGATATTCTCCAGCTTCTTGTTCGAATTTTCCCGTTCCACCTTAAATGGTGCAGCAGTTACATTCTGGCACTTCAGGCGTCGGAGCTAGCTACCGAGACATTAGCATACTATTTGCAATCTTTTATGCTCGTTAGGAAGAAAACGACCAAAATACACTGAAACGACATTAAACTAAAATAATACAGTGGATATCGTAATTTTTAATTCTCACATTTGTGGGTTTCTTTGGTCTCTTGTTCAGCCGTCTTGCCGGTTTTTCTTTTTTTCTCATAACTCTCTGTTTGGAGTCTCTGAAAAACCTTAGTTTGGAGGGCCATGTAGCCCCAACACTTCACCCTCCCCCTCTATCTCAACAAGAATTGGGACACCCTACCCCTAGATGTAAACACACAAAACAGAGGGCTAAGGGCACAGTGGTATGAGCGAGGGGTGAAATGGGATTGGACCTTAGTCAAGACTACAGACACAAAGCTCAAACTAAACACTGAGAACTGGCGAGATGGAAAACTTCTTATCAGAGCAAATTCAGTCATTCAGTAAATATTAACCCTTTAACGCTGCGCTGCGTTTATTTGATATGTAAAGAACATTATCTAACAAAACCAAAAATGTATAGATTTTTGTTTAATTTGTCTCACAAAGTATACTTTTCAACAAGTTAACACATGAATCAGAAAATGATTAAAACATAAGACATCTTGTACTGCTACTCTTTAACAATATAAGTATTTATTATAAGCGCTTATCGATCCAAACTGTTCTGAATGAACAACCCAACAATAAAAGAGGCCTCATGCATCTTTAATCCCTCTTTGACAAAAAGTTTGGGCACCCCTGGTATAAGGCAATAATTCTAGAAACAAAGGGGACCTTCATGGTGCGAAAACAACACTAATGAAAAAAGGAAGCTGAGAGCAGAAGGGAGTAAAAGAAAGAATAATGCTGAACTGTTATACCTATTAATATCTGTAGGAATCAAGTATGCGCTCAGAACCACAACAGGTGCAAATCCCTGAATATCCACCAACAGGCTTTGTTAAAGTTAGAGAAGGTAATGCCTTATGAACAACATACACAGATCAGGCATAACATTATCCTTGTTTCTACGCTCATTGTCCATTTTATCAGCTCCACTTACTATAAACTTCTACAATTACAGACTGTAGTCCATCTGTTTCTCTGCATACTTTGTTAGCCCCCTTTTACCCTGTTCTTCAGTGGTCAGGACCCCCATGGACCCTCACAGAGCAGGTACTATTTGGGTGGTGGATCATTCTCAGCACTACAGTAACATTGATGTGGTGGTGGTGTGTTAGTGTGTGTTGTGCTGGTACGAGGGGATCAGACACAGCAGTGCTGCTGGAGTTTTTAAACACTGTGTCCACTCACTGTCCACTCTATTAGACACTCCTACCTTGTCAGTCCACCTTGTAGATGTAAAGTCAGAGACGATAGCTCATCTGCTGCTGCACAGTTTGTGTTGGTCATCCTCTAGTCCTTCATCAGTGGTCACAGGACGCTGCTCACAGGACTCTGTTGGCTGGATATTGCTGGTTGGTGGACTATTCTCAGTCCACCAGTGACACTGAGGTGCTTAAATACTCCAGCAGCACTGCTGTGTCTGATCCACTCAGACCAGCGCAACACACACTAACACACCACCACCATGTCAGTGTTACTGCAGTGCTGAGAATGATCCACCGCCCAAATAGTACCTGCTCTGTGAGGGTCCATGGGGGTCCTGACCACTGAAGAACAGGGTAAAAGGGGGCTAACAAAGTATGCAGAGAAACAGATGGACTACAGTCTGTAACTGTAGAACTACAAAGCGCACCTACATAGTAAGTGGAGCTGATAAAATGGACAGTGAGCGCAGAAACAAGGATAATGTTATGCCTGATGGGTGTATGCCTGACATAACGCTGTATACAACTGGGGGGAAGCTGAGGGGATAAAACTCACGTCTTGGAGGCTTGAATGATTACTGCTGTTCGTGCTACATCTGGAAGAAGTGTCCATTGCTGGGTAAGAGGTGTTGGTAATCTCCTTCCACAGTCGGCGGTACACATACTGCTGTATCAGAGGATACCCCAAGAAACTGGCGAAGGCGTACACGGCGACCACCGGCTCCACAAAATAGAACCTCTTCATTCCGGCTCACACAGACTCTGCAGATAAACACAATAAAGAACTGTTACGACTCGTTCTTAACCCTCTACTGCACGCGTTATGAAAGCAAGTTTTTATTCTTGCATAAAATGGACCTGATTATTAAACATCAAAACTTTTTTTTTAATAATGTGTGCAGGGGTCATTTTGGGGTATGTTGCCTTGAGGCAACATTGTGCGACAATGGGAAGAACTGATACAGAGCCGTGCTCCCTGAGGTGGTGAGACCTGGCTTGTGTCTGGTCAAATCCATTCCACTGTCGCACAATGTTGCTTCTAGGCAACAAACATATTTCCGCCAATTCTCATAACAAAAAAAATTGATACTGAATGTTAAAAAAAAGGTTTAAAAGTGGCCACTAAGAGACAGTATGACCAAGAACATGTTTTTCATTGACACACGCAAACGGTTCCCTTCATTGTTCCCCCTTAATTGTCTTTAAATATGGATAATCTTACTGTAAAGTGAGGAAAACGAGTTTGTTGCCCTGAGGCAACATCGTGCAATAGAGGCTATTTAGACTCGTTTAGCCAGGTGACACTCAGATTACGAAAAAAAAACCCGAACAAATCAGTGTTAAAAAGTCTTAAAAGGTAATATTACCTGATGTAAATAAAACTGCGAGTACGTTCTTCTTGTTATGTCTTTTTGTCTAGCTTAGTGATTTTTCACGAGATATTTCACATTTCTTCAGTTAACAGCTCGCGGAAACCATTTAATCCCACTGACCGCCTCAGTCTCGGTCACACTGCGCTGCACACCAGTCTAACTGAACCATATCACCCCCTGAGAAGGACAGAAAACCCACCTTAGACATTAACAGATGAATAACCTCTCTTTACGATGCCCGCTGTTTGCTGATCGTCTGCGATGCTCCCACTGTTTATGAAACTACTGCGGCCACTTATGGAGCTGTTGTGTTCCTGTTTTGGACCTGTCGTACGTTCTGATTGGACAGTTTGCTTCAGCGAGCCTCTCTCAGTGGCTTGTGACGCTGTCAGTCATTCAGTACGGTGGGAGGAGGCGGGGCTTAGCGTGAAAGCGTTCGCAGCGCCGCTTCTGATTGGTGCAATCGACTCAACTCGACTTCTAAAGGTCCCTCCTTATTACACAACATCAGAGCGGTTACAAAACATGGAAGACGCTGAAGTTGACCTTTATTATTAATAATAATAATAATAATAATAATAATAAATGTAGTGGGGTGAAAGTAAAAAGTCGCCCAAAATGGAAAAACTTCAGTAAAGTACAGATACACGAAAAGACTACTTAAGTACAGTAACGAATTACATTTACTTCATTACTGTCCACCACTGATAATGATAATAATACTAATAATAATAGAGATCATTTTTCAAGACTCACTATTTAAAATGTATATGCCTTTAAATTTAACACCCCAATCATTATTTTGTATGCAATAAAAAGTTAATTACAATTCAATTATTTTTATCCCCACAAAATGCAGTAAACACCAAAGTAAACACGAGAAACAATAATTAACTTTATACAAAAGAAGCATAACACTTGTCTAATCTATCTTAATAAATAATATAATAAAATAAAAAATACAAATATATGGAAAGTCATCAATGATGTGTTCATAAGATATTCTAATTGACGAATATTGTGATTGACACAAAGATATTAAAGGAAAAAAACTATGTACTCATGGTTCCCTAAGCAACCGCTTATGTCAACTGTAGCAAGAAATGGCCCTGTATATGACTTCCATAAGTTAAGGTAAGAACATCTGAAAACGTTCTCAGATTAAATTATATTTAATATATAAGGCTTTGAAAAAAAATGGACAGATTTTGGTAATATACTGCTATCTTTGTCTTCTGAGTTTCATGTAACCTTTCAGTGTCGGCTCAGAAGAATATGAGAAGAACGCGTATAGGCAAACGCTCTTTATTTTGAACAGGTACTTCAACAGCAATAAATGCCCAACCCAGCGCTATCCTAACATGAAACATGGGGAGGGGGTAACGTGGAGGAACACAACATAGGAGGAGGGTAGACACTTCTAACTACCTGTTATACTATGAAGCCTGCCCTCTTTGGACGCAGTAATTCTAATGAATGCAATAACACACTAACAACACCAACAACATAAACAACAACTAATATCTCTTTTTACGCCAGGAGTGTGGCTCCTCCCAAGAGCCGCTTTGGTCATGTGAAGAGACTCTCAGGAGCCACAATCCTGGTGAGAAGAGATAGCAAGCAAGCAAGCAAGCAAGCAAGCAAGCAAGCAAGCAAAGTTTATAGCACTTTTTACAACAGGCGTTGTCACAAAGCAGCTTTACATCAGCATTACAGAAAGAAATCCGGGTCTGAGCCCCCATGAGCGTCGCCAGAGGCGACAGTGGCAAGGAAAAACTCCCTAAGAGAAACAGGAAGAAACCTTGAGAGGAACCAAGACTCAGAAGGGGAACCCATCCTCCTCTGGTTGACACCAGATGGTAAACATTGTTAGTACAGAAACGGGGAAAACAGGTGGAGCAAATGATTAATTTGATTAGTTTAGTTTATGCAGCAGCAGCAGCACCAGTGGGGTCAGGTTGTGAGGGTGAGGTTTGCACGGCGTTGTACAGCATGAAGCTCAATGGTGGTCAAGCTGGTCCAGAGGGCTGGCAGCAGTCGCACCCGATCAAGGCAGAAGAGGCAGCAGCATCAGACACACAGGATGGGCAGCTGTTCAACTCGGCAAAGAAAAGAAAGAAAGGAAAAACACACAGAGAGTCAGTTCTGTAATGGGTGACTGATCACAGATTACAGTGTTAGCAGAGCAGCAGATACAGCAGACACAATTGTTCTGATATTGTTGTGGACGTTACCAGTGCAGCAGTGTTATTTGTGCTATTTAGTGCTGGGCTGTGGGATAGCGTGCCCCAGTGGTCTGGAAAGGAATGGCCTTTCAACAAACTAAAAGGTGGATGGCGAGGAAGAGGAAACAGCACAGTGTGGCTCAGCAGTGGAGCTGGGCTGGAGGATGGAGAAAAAGGCACTGGCGAGGACACTTGAATGGTGGCTGGCAGAGGGGATGCCTGGATGGCGGGTGGTGGCAAGGACCTGTTGGCAGAGCAGGGTGGTGTCCTGGCGCCATCGACTACAGCCCTCCAGTGACACCTCGGGCAGGTGCTGGTTGGCCAGGTGGCTGCTTCCTGAAGAGTGTATGGGCAAGCTGGCGTCGGGGCAGGGCCTGTTCGGTTCGGTTGGCATATCCGTTCAAGAAGGAGGTGCAGGAGAGGTTGGGGCACTTCCCAGGTGCATTGCTGCTGGCAGAGCTGGGACGGCATGTGTGGCTCACTGCACCAGCGAGCTTTCAATCCACCATAGCTGAGGCAGAACGTCACGGCTCCAGCACCCTCTGCAGCATCAACAGTGTGGCAGGCGACAGAGAAAGCAGAGAGCAGCTGAGTTTGAATTGCATTGCTGCTGCTGTAACCCCAAGTAACATGGGACTTGACGGAAGGAAGATGCAGGGCTCAGTCTCCCTGCTCTGGCGTAGTGATGGAGAGGATGCACCACCTGGAGAGGGCTGGGGATGAGCGCATCCATTCCAAAACCCCTGTTGTAGACACAACATGGGGGTTTGGACAGTGTGCCCCAAGGACTTTGCTTGACCTCTGTGAGGTCACCAGGATGGCTGACCCTTGAAGGGGGGCTATGTGGTGTCCGCCACTGGCCGCACTGCAGGGTGGAGGCGTGGTTATGCAAAGTGGCCATGTGAAGAGGTTCTCGGGCCTCTTTGCATGATAAGAAGAGAGACCATTGTTATGATATTTGTTTTATGGATGTTACTAGTGCAGCAGTGTTATTTATGCTATTCTGTGCTGGGCTATGGGCAGGGGTGGACTGGCCATCTGGACATTCTGGAAAAATTCAGAATGGCTGTCAATTTGACAGCCTTTGGCCTGGATGATTCATCAGATAGAGTGACGCTGACCGGCGACAGCAGAGAGCATTAATGCATCAAATAAATGAATAATTTATTTGCTAAGCATAAAAAACCTACTGAAACAAAGGCAGAGAAGAGTAGTTTTTTGGTCATCTTTGTTTCAGTGGTCATGGCATGCAGAAAACAAAAGGAGAAAGTGGGTGGAAAAAACAAAGAAAAATAAAGCAAAGTCACTGGACACTGATGCTACTGCCAGCAGTAGTGACACAATCACCAAATCACCAGTGCTGAGGCCCAGGAGGCGGCTGAGCCTGAGCAACATCTGCAGGCTGCTCACGATGAGGAACAGACAGCAGAGGGACTTTCATATGGGCAAGTGGTACTGGTAAGTAGCCAGGGACACAATTATGCTTATTCAGGTTGCCGTTGCCCCCTTTCACACTATAGTTAGCTTCTATCAACTAGGTCTGCGCAATTAGCCTACATTACCTGTGTGGTGCTAGTCTATGTACAACCCTGGTTCCAAAAAAGTTAATAAAATGTAAATAAAAACAAAATGCAATGATTTGCAAATCATTTAAACCCTACATTTAATTGAAAACAGCATAAAGACAACATATCAAATGTTGAAACTGAAAAATCTGCCAGCAACTGTTTCAAAAAGGTTAGGACAGGGGCAACAAAAGACTGGTAAAGCTGTGTAATTCTAAAAAACACCTGGTGGATGATCTCACCACTAATTAGGTTAATTAGCAATAAATCAGTAAGATGATAAGAGCATCTCAGAGGGGCTGAGTCTTTCAGAAGTAAAGATGGGGAGGGGCTTACCCCTCTGTGAAAGACTGCATGGGGAAATAATGCAACAATTCAAGAATAATGTAAATTAGCAAAAAACTTGGGTATTTTGTCATCTTTGTGCACAATATCATTAAAAGATTTAGAAAATCTGGAGAAATCTCTGTATGCAGTGGACGAGGCCGTGAACATTGAAGGCCGTGATCTTCGGGCCCTCAGCTCAGAAACACTTCTGAAAACCACTCTCTGTGAACACTTATTCCAGCAAAACAATGCCAAACCACATTCTGCACGTATTACAACAGCATGGCTCCATAGCAAAAGAGTCTGTGTGCTAAAGTGGCAGGCCTGCAGTCCAGACCTGTCAATCATTGAAAACATTATGAAATTGAAAATATGAACTGTAGAGCAGCTGAAATCAAGCAAGAACGGGAAAACATTTCACTTTCAAAACTACAGCAGTGTCTCCTCAGTTCCCAAACGCTTTTTGTGTTGTTAAAAGAAGACGTGATGAAACGCAGTGGTAAGCAGGAATGAATTTGAAATGTGTCGCTGTTTGAACATGGGCATGTTATCTTTGTACTATTTTCAATTAAATATAGGGTGGAAATGACTGGCACATCATTGCATTTCTGCTGTCATTTACATTTTGCACAAACAACATTACATTTTGTTCAAAGTATTTCTGGATTTCCAAAAGGAATTAAGACAAAAGGGAATATAATAATCATTTTTGTGAATGATAGTGCCATTTGAGTTATCCAGATGAATGCATATGAAACAAAAGTGTCATCATATTAAATAATAGTAATAATAATAATAGAGGATTGTGAAACAGTATCATGACAACCCTGCTAGGGGCTGTGTGTGCCCGTGCTGGTTGTGGTGGTCCAGGGGTGTTTTTTAGTCCCAGTCCGCCCCTGGCTTTGGGGTGGTTAGTGCCACTATTAGTGCCTACTGTAGGGGGAAAAAGTGTATGACTGCAGGTGACCTACCTGCGGTTCCCAACGCTGGGCGGGGCTTCCTATCCATGCTGCCTGTTTAATAAAAGCATTTGCCCGCATGCGCAGTTTCCCTGTGGTTCTTCATCGCCTGGACGCTGCAGTATCTTTATTAATTTAGAAGCATTCTATTCTATTCTATTCTATTCTTGAACCACGCCAATATATCACCTCTCCTGTTAATAGACACTGCGCAATATATCATAACCTGCTGCTGTAATGACACTTTCACTATGCCCCACTATCTATCTATTCCATTCTATTCTATTCTATTCTATTCTATTCTATTCTATTCTATTCTATATCTTGCTATGCTCCTTTCCAGCTGAGTAGGCTTATTATTTTCACCTAATTTCTTATCAAATAAGTTCTATACTTACTTTTATACGTGGCCTGTTTCTGTTTATGGCGCAAACCCCGGTCGTGATGGGCGTTCCCGCGTAGATTACGTACTCCCCAGTTCTAGCCGATGGGCGGGGCTTAATCCGCTCCCTGCCGAACCGCCCCGTCATTCAGCGACTGTCAAACCGGCGGAGACACAACACTGCCAGGTACGGCTGCTCTGTTCTTCGCCTTTAGCGTGCAAGACCTGTCAGTATCGGGGTCTGTAAATCGTGTTCTCGGGGGTCCCCGGAGCTGACATTTTGGCAGGTTTCTGTGTGAAATGTTAGCTGCCCGTGCTGGCTGGCCTCGGTTAGCTAAGGCGAACGGAGCTGCTTCAGTTCGGTCCAGCAGCGGATCGGGGTTTGAATTTTACTGGTCAGTCGTGTTGACGAAGCTATGTGAACGAGCGGTGCTGCCAAGGCGTACAGTTAACGGTTAGTCACCTAACCTTCAGCACCAAACAGCGCTTAATTAACAATATTTGTCTCCCTTTATATCAAGCAAACTGTTTCTTGCTTCCCATTCGGCGAAAATGCCAGTCAGTTCAAAACAACCTTGGCCAGCTGGCTAACTTAGCTTAGCTCCTCTCTCTGCATTGCCTAAAGCTGGCTCGGCTCACTTCCTCACTATGGCCCGTTTGTTTTTGGCTGGCTAGCTACGTTAGCTAGCTTTACTTAGACGCTGTACACCTTTTACTGTCGTGTACAGTCAAACCGACAGTGATAACGGCAAAATATGATACAGTTTAGATGATCGTTTAATGTGTTTTGCTCAGGCTTTAAGCGCCTGACCGTGTCGCTAAGCTAAACCGCGTCCAGGAACCATTAGCACGTTAGCTTAGCTGGCTTGCTAACACTACGCTTGTGTGCTATTCAGTGTAGCTGCCCGGCTACGTGTATGTTATGTTAATTAATGCCAAATTAGTAGTTAATCGGAAATGTCGCGTACTTAATGCAGCTTTGCTGCCGTTTGTGTCAGAGCATAATTCGCTGAAAGTGTCGTCTGGTGGATGGGGGGCAAATGAGGATGGCAACAAGGGTTGGTTTCTATTATTCTGGCACGATTCACGAGGTAATTTGAAGCCTTGAATGACAGAACATGGTAGCATTGAGCCTTAACCATGATACGTTGGCTAAGATGATGTTTATCTCGTTTATCTTGCTTCATTCCGTGGATGCTTAAGGAGATGTCTGATTGTGCCTTTCACTGTGTGCACCTGCTGAGCACCTTCTGGTTTTAGACGTTGCACAACACATTAGGAGGCCCTGATTTGCAGCAGTGATTAGCACTTTTAAATATATGTGTGTGTGTGTGTGTTGATTTAGGTCACACCAGGAAGGGTTGTTTGAAGAAGAGGTAGCTGTTTTGTTTTCTTTGAACAGCTATTGAGAAAAGCTGTAAGCAGACTGAGTGCATTCCAGCTCAAACGTTCCTTCTCTTTAATCACCAGGTGTGAAGGAAGTTGTGTCGAACATCAGCCATGGCATTCAGTAAAGGATATCGCATCTATCACAAGCTGGACCCGCCACCCTACAGCGTGATCGTGGAAACGAGGAATCGGGACGAATGCTTGATGTTCGAGTCGGGTGCAGTGGCTGTGCTGTGTAAGAGAACTCTCCATGCTACTCTTTGGAGATGCAGTTCACTTTAAGTCTGCTGTATTTCTTCCTGTATGGCTTTTTTAATATGATTCAGATCTTGAAATTTATATGTCAGTCAAAAAATGGATGTTTAGCTAATCCAAAGATGAAAAAATCAGATGTAGGTGCACGTTAGCCTCTCAAGACTGTTCTGTTCATAATTGCAAAAAGTCTAATTGCATCATCGTTAAATTTCGTGTCTTTTCCAGCGGCTGCAGAGAAAGAGGCCATCAAAAACACATACACCAAGATGCTGGACGCTTATGGTGTACTAGGAGTTCTTCGTCTTAACCTCGGTGAGTGCAGAGGCCCTCCAGCGTTCCCTGGAATAAAGATAATGAACCGCTGGAGCTTCTGCTTTGTCCTTCCAAGGTTGTTGCCACAACAGTGCTAAATCCCAAAACAGATTAAAGGAAAGTTCTTGATCTTGTTCAAGATATTTTGACCTTTCTGTTCATGCAAAGCAAGTGAGTAGATTAGTGTGCCTTGTGGGATCTTTGGTTATTATGGACACATAATTGCAAAGCTTGGTCTTCATAATAAAGTTTTAACTAGGCTGTTAAATTTTCTTACTGTTGTGCTGGTGATGCTGCAATGTATAGCTGCAGTGTAAGACTAAAATAACAACATGAAATGTTGCAAAACTGTATGTTGGACTGATCCTACCAGCCCTTCCTGTTGTGTGAAATGAGCTTCCCTACTTTCTTTCTTTTTTATTTCCTCTGTACTGATTCAATCTCTAGGGGACTCCATGCTCCACAGTCTGGTGGTGGTGACGGGGTGCAGTTCAGTGGGGAAGGTGCAGGATTCGGAAGTATTCCGGGTCACAGCCACAGACTTCGTTTCTCTGAAGAATGACCCATCGGATGAGGACAGGATCGCTGAGGTGCGGAAGGTTTTAAACTCTGGGAGCTTTTATTTTGCCTGGTCGTCCACTGGAGTGAGCCTGGACCTCAGTCTGAATGCACACCGCAGGATCAGAGAGGACACTTCAGACAATCGCTTTTTCTGGTGAGTTAACCAGCGTAATGTGATGCAGCCTCCAAAATTTGTAAATGTTTTGCATTTCCAAGGATAGTCTGGATGCATTGTCTTGCCCTCACGGTTTACAAATGACACTGTTTGACTTTTTGCTTGCATATCTGGACAGCGTTTTCTCTCAGACCTTTGCAGGAGAGATGCCTCTCCTGCATTTTCAAATGGAGAAATTAAATCTGTTTTTGAATATCAGTATTAGCGAAATACTGACAGTTGATACTGATGTGCAGTTTGCATCTTGGCATCATACAGTTGTTAGTACCATATGTGTTTTTTAGTATTATTATTATAATTATTTTTTTATGCATGCGAACCCATTGCCTTTCGACAAGATTTTTTCTGAATGCTAAATATGCCATTTATGGCAGTTATGTAGATTTGAGGAATTCTTCATTGTAGAAAGTGGGTCTGTTGCTGGCAGAGAACCCTCTGTAATTTTTGGACATGACTTGTATTTGCATAGTTTTTGAGCTCAATTAAATTAAATATGAATTAACTAAATAATTCCACAGCTATTGCCACTAAATAAAGATAATAAACTGTCACTCAAGGATTCATCTCAGTACCTTTAGTCAGGGAACATAACTGAACCATAATCCACTGAAATGATATGTTCTAAGCTGTACTGACTCCACTCACCCCGTCTCGTCTCCAGGCTTTTATTTTACTGTTCTGTTTTAAAGCATTCGGTTATGAAAAGGTACAAACGTGCACTATTTTACCGGGAAAAACGTATTTAAGGTGCACAATTGGACCTGAAAAGCACTGTTGTACCTTTTGAGGGCACATTTACACTGTTTGTACCTTGATGAACAAAAATGTACCTGCACAGAACCTTTATTTCTAACAGTGTATTTTAGTCTCAGAGTGCTACAGTATTTTTATGTTAAAATTTTCTCTTAGGAGCATTGACCAATGGATCTCACTACCACGGATTGATTTCTGATCATGCCACCTTTTTCCACTTCTATTGAGTTTTCATGTCTGCAATTTGGTTCTTGCTAATTGCAACCCAATAGCTAGATCTCCCTCAATCACATGATGCCACTAAGCTGGGAGGGAGAGGACTACCACATGGTATCTGTAAGTCGGCTAAAGCCGGCCATTGCATGTTTTCAAACGACCGCGACTTTTCAAAGTGCTGCTAACGCAACATCCTTGAATAGCTCAACACGCTTGGAGGAGAACACTAACTGCCAATGTTATTACATCACTATGAGTGACTGGGGAGAAGGCGGGCCATCTTACCCACCCTGAAAGGACAAAGATAATTTTTTCTACTGCCCTAAAATGAATTTGCTAATCTCAGTTAATCCCTCAAAACCCACACTTGCCGTTAATATGTCTGCCTGTTACTGTGTACTGTGTTGGTTTGAATCAGGAATCAGTCTCTGCACCTGCACTTAAAGCACTATGGGGTGAACTGTGACGACTGGCTGCTGAGGCTGATGTGTGGTGGAGTGGAGATCCGCACTATCTACGCTGGCCACAAGCAGGCCAAGGCCTGCGTCATCTCGCGCCTCAGCTCAGAGCGGGCAGGCACACGCTTCAACGTCCGAGGCACCAACGACGACGGCCAGGTGGCCAACTTTGTGGAAACAGAGCAGGTGAGCCATCTTAATTTTGTTGTCATAGACTTTTTTATTTAATTATTTATTTATTTAATTGTGGAGGCAGCATTTAATGTATCACGCTGAGTTAGTCGGGGCTGGAAGTGAATGTTGATGATTGATGATATCTCCAGTGCTGAGACAGGAAGAGCTGTGTACTACTATTTAAAACCAGTGAGCGTATATATTTACTTATGCCGTGTTTGTACCCACAGGTCATTTTCCTTGATGACAAAGTGTCATCCTTTATTCAAATTCGTGGATCGATACCTCTGTTCTGGGAGCAGCCAGGTATACAGGTAAGCATGAAGAACATTTGCATGGTTCTATTTAAACATCATTGCAATTCGTTGGAAGTGGGACCTCTAGGTAAACCATTAAAGGGGCTCATCAACGACTACTCAGTCAGTGCCCAACTAACCTAGCAAATGCAAATGACCACGTTTGTTCATTTTGTCGAAAGAATTCTGTCCAGGGAATTTTGTTGCATCTGAATCAAAGCCGCCATTCAGGCACGAACAGGAAGGACATGAAGCCACACCTGGTATTTGGAAGGCTTGAGTCTTAAATTCAGTGTAATGGGTGGATGGTCTTCCTTTTTAAAGCTCTGAAGGCTTTGTGCAATGTCAGTGGCGATAAGGTAATGCTTGTAAATTGTCTTGGCGTCATTGGGGAAGATGGTACTCAGTCCTGGACTACTAAAACTCTCTTAAAATTGAGGTGAAATGTGGCATATTAATGAAAAAGTTTGTGAAATTTCTTTCCACTGGCATTGAGCAAAGGTTGTGGCTTTACATGTGCCTTTTCAGTCGGGAGCTGGTTAGGGAATCTCTTGCTTATGCTGCTAATTCTTAAAGGAAAACTCCAACAGTTTATTGAAAAATATTATCGAAAAAATATTTCTTGCTGTGTTTTAAAACAGTGTTTCTGTGCTTATAACGATGTGGTGTAGATGTGGAGACGATGTGGTACGTGACCTCCCATAGGCTACCACACATCTGATTTTAGGTTCAAAATATTGTTGTACAGCTACACATAAAACGGTTCAACAGCATCACATACTTGGGTTATTGTGCGATGATGTGTAGTAATGCATTACAACTCAATGTAAAGCTGTTTAGTAGCCCTGGACGAGTAAGACTACATATTTTATTCTTTAGCATGTCTTAATATAAGATGTTTAGGGGTAAACTTGAGTTTTAGCAGAATATTAGAGTAATTAGCAATTTTGCTGTCTCACGTTACGGTCTGTGGGACCTTACGGGAGGTCATTATTACACTCAGAAAGCATCAGAAAACACTGTAAAACACTGTAAAATTTCAGAAAAAATGTTTTTCTGAGAGAATTGTTGGAATTTTCTTTGAGGGTTTTTTCACTGGGCCACAAGGACACAGCAGTGCTTTTCAAAACTGTGTCCACTCACTGTCCACTCTATTAGACACTCCTACCTTGTCAGTCCACCTTGTAGATGTGAAAGTCAGAGACGATAGCTCATCTGCTGCTGCACAGTTTGTGTTGGTCATCCTCTAGTCTTTCATTAGTGGTCACAGGACGCTGCCCACAGGACGCTGCCCACAGGAAGCTGTTGGCTGGATATATTTGGTTGGTGGACTATTCTCAGTCCAGCAGTGACACTGAGGTGTTTAAAAACTCCAGCAGCACTGCTGTGTCTGATCCACTCAGACCAGCACAACACACACTAACACACCACCACCACGTCAGTGTTACTGCAGTGCTGAGAATGATCCACCACCCAAATAGTCCCTGCTCTGTGAGGGTCCATGGGGGTCCTGACCACTAAAGAATAGGGTAAAAGGGGGCTAACAAAGTATCAGAGAAACAGATGGACTACAGTCTGTAACTGTAGAACTACAAAGTGCACCTATATAGTAAGTGGAGCTGATAAAACGGACAATGAGCGTAGAAACAAGGAGCTGGTCATAGTGTTATGCCTGATCAGTGTATATCTAACATTTTCTAAGTGAGTCGTGTAACAAATTGTAGGGAAATTGTCCTAGGTACACCGAATACCTGTCTTTGACTGATTCCAGATAATTTTCTAGGTCATATTAACCCTCTATTTAAATGATTTAGATTGTTTTCCTGTAGAAATATCACATGTGCAGGAGGAAGCTTCTGATATGTTTCACCAAGAAACTGGGAGTAACCTGAGATGCTCTGAATGTAGCAACTGAAACAGTGTTAAATATTGATGGCCGAAACCTGCAGAGAGAGAGGAACTTGGGTGGGTCTGAGACACGCCTGCTGCAGGACTTTGGTTGCTGTCTCTGCCACTGAAGTTGGCAGTCGACTGGAGAAAAGTGATGTCAACACAGATAAATATTCATTTAAGTAAGAATGTCCTGGAAAAATGATGATCACTGTTTAATCGTTCTGTTTGTTGAGACAAAGTGTGCAATTAAGATATTTACAGTGGCACGGCGGAACCAGCGAGCGTGGCGAGGCAGGGTGCGGCAGGATGTGAGCTGACTGTGTCGTGACCAGCCTCTCTCTCATACTCTCTCACTCTCTCTAGCTCTCTCACTCCCTCCTTCCTCTTCCAGAACAAGCTTAGACAGTTCAGTGCACAGTTACCACAGTAACTATAACAGATTACTCCAGAACTAGATTAAGGCTGAATGTAGCAGCATTCAGCAACTGAGCTGCAGTGATAATGTAACCATTTTTATTGTTGTTCTTCATAAGCATTTGCTTTGATTTTTTTTCCTACTGGTAGTAGTTTTGAATTGACAATATGACAGGGGTTCAGTTTACAAAATATGTTAAGACCAGAAACAGTAATTGAGGCTTGGGCAGTTTTTTTCTTGTTTTGGTTGCAGAATCTTGGCTTTACAGAAGTGATTCTTGACTGGTGAACCAGCTGTGGCTCATTAGAAAAGTGAAAGAAGCTGTTGGCTAAATGTGAAGGCCCTATTTCTCAGCGACCTCATGTCTTTGGACTGTGTAAATCATGAATTATTATTTTATTGTTTTATAACCAAAATTGTTTTGCATAGACTACCTGATAGCTGGCCTTTTTTCTGCACTAGCTTTAGTTACCTTTGTTTACACTCCTAAGAGGAAGGAGGCTTAAGTTAATGTGCTCAACTGCAGTGGAAAGTGATGCACATATGTATATATAGTGATGCGCGTAGATACGTCTGCGCGTCCGCCATGTTGGAGAGGTCAAGATCCGCTTGTGAACAAATTCACTTGTACTGAGAGACGATGAGTCTCAGGATTAAATCAGCCACAACTTCCTTATTACTCAACCGATTTCACCAAATCTGTTTTGTTATAATCCTCAGACATACATTAATCTGGGCTGCACGGACGGCTTGGTAGCTTTTCTCTTTTAATAATTCTGATCGTGCGTCTGACATAAAAAACGAATTTAGCGTGAGCTCCGGTAGAAACATAATCTCACACACATCAGCAAATCCATCAATGTGTGAATCACCTATAATCTTAATACACATAAGAATAAAATAACCCTCCGAAATACAGTAAGAAGGACAAAGCTAAAGTTGGCTTCCTGTTTGCCAGCGTCTATTTCAAGTTTTCCTGTTCCACCTTAAATGGTGCAGCAGTTACTTTCTGGTGCTGCGTTCCCTTCATTATATATAACCCTATTCTGAGTGCAATATTCTTGAAATAGTACAATTTTGGACAGTATCTTTCTTAAACTGACGCTCTGTAATGGTACCGAATCCAAACTAAATGCGCTATAAGATGCTTTACAGACTGGCTGGAACAAAACTACATTAATATTGATCTGGCAAAAAGTGACAAAACTGAGCTAAACTTGATATTGCGGCAGGTTTATGGCTCAGTCTGATTTGGTCAGACTCTGAAGATCAGACTACACGTTTGGCGAATGGTATTGGGTTCATTTCTGGCTGATTCCAGGTTGTTCAGCTGTTCTTCTGTCACAGCTGCCGACTGAAAAGCTGCTCGGTGGTGATGACAGTTTGGGAATTTAGTGTAAGGAGCTGGAGAACGAACTGCAGACTGTGCAGCGAGTGGGCGGAGCTCGTTACTCTGACGTAGCAACAAGCTGCTCGTTAAGGAACTATAATTTGGTGAAGGAACTGCGAACATTAAAACATATTAAACGCCGCGTTCACGGCCCAGTTTATTAATTTATTACTTTATTTATTTAACTGTTGTATAAAAGCAATAGAACACTCGAGGAGTGTGTGGTATCGTGAATAAAATCACAGCTGTGATGTTATTTTGCGATAATGCACTCCCTCTCGTGTTCTGTTGCTTAAGTGCAGGTATGGTTCAGGGTCCTCAAGGCTTTAGGGATTCAGTGTCTTCACTGATTCTTACACAAATGTTTTCCAGAGTGAAAAATGCATGGCACAGTGGACTAAGGGTCTCTCTAGTCTGGACTGAATTTGATAGCCTAGGCCTGTCACAATCATTGGATCACAATCATAAAGAATTTTATTTTGTTTTTTTGATCACAGTATGCAGCTAGTAAATTACAAAGTAAAGGCCAAATTGGCTCATTAGCTATCTTGCTACCAAACTGTCAGTACTTATTAGCTTCCAACTGATGACAAACACAGCTCAAGCTCCAATGAACATCACTCAGCACTGTTACAGGTTTAATAGCACCAAATCAGAACTGTTTTCATAAGACCCATGACTTGTCTTGGTAAATGTGTTTTCTGCGTTCTTTTATTTACATCTATCTGCTTCAGCGCACCAGATGAAAACACACTCAGCTCACATTCTACTTGTTGCGACATAAACATGTCACTGTGAAAGATAACGACTGTGGACAATAATTGCATTTAGCATAAATAATCAGCACAAGCCATCAGCTCAGGTAATTTCAATTATGTAGTAATTGTGACAGGCCTGTGATAGCCTTTCTCTTTCTTTATCTGCTTATCTGTCTCTCTCTGTCTATTTCTTTCTCTCTCCATTCTCCTGTATTTAATGGCACTATATTAAACACATCATGTGACGTATGCCTCTCTCTGTGCTCTCTCTTTCTGCACGTAAAGGTCGGCTCCCACCGTGTCAAGCTGTCCCGCGGCTTTGAGGCCAACGCGCCAGCTTTTGAGAGGTAATTAAAATGTGCTGCTCCCTGCTGGTGCGCCAGCTACTGTACAGCTGCTTGTGGCAGGGCTCCGGTATCACTGCCGCATTACAGAGAGGCTGCCTGCTCCAGCACACACAATGGAGCGGACTCACACAGCCCCCCTTCAAGTAATCCAGTCCCAGATTGTAGACAAACTATGTGCATGACCCAGCCTGTTCCTTTTGCAGCACTAACTCAGGGATGAATTACATGCTGCCACTGCTGTGAAACTGATTCTAGATTGTGATACAAGTACAACTGATTATTCAAAATCTGCCCAACACGTTCTGCTCTGTTCAGCTTTACCAGACAGAATGCTGCCATAGCTTTAGCAGCTGACATCATAGTATTGTCAAGGTCAAACAGGACATGGGCAGAGCCTCCTTCGGGGATCTCCACCAATGAGGAGGAGGAGGGGGATGGCTTTGGGCTGTGATTTATTTATTGCATCCTTAAAGGCCAGTCATAACTGCTATTCACAGACCAGTCTATCTCTTTATCCCTTTAATACTAGTTTAGGATTGAAAGGATGAGCTTTGATCCTTGATCAGTTGTGTTTGACATAATGTAGTTGAGAATATGGTTTTAAGTGGATGTTTAAGTAACATAAATCAGCTCCTAGGAGCAGAGATTTATTTCTTTCTGGCTGTACCCAACTTACTTGCTAACAATAGCAGTAAAGCTAGTAGCCAACACTTAGGCTATGTTTACACAGCAGGTAAAAGTGGCCCAAATCCAGTCTTTTTCCTCGTATGTGACACAGATGTGTATGTGTGTTAGTGTGAACAGCAAAAAACACGTTGAATTTGACATTTTCAATTCCGATTTGAGGAGCTTTCATATGTGGTACTGAAATCCGATACATATCCGATATGCAGCAATGCGACTCAGTGTGAACACCCAGATCGGAATTTTACATCAATCCAACTCAACATTCGTCATAATTTCACACTGCTGATATCTCAAACATTTGGGATGATGTTTCTATGCTAAAAAATTAAAAGAGACTCATCTAAAACCTTCCGTGTTCAAAGAGATTTCGAAAGAAATCACCGAAGGCAGCTGTAGGAGAACGAGGCTGCAGCGTCAAAGAACAGTTAAAAATCTGAAAACAAAGTTTAAAGAATGCGAAGACACGAACCAAAGAAGTGACCGATTAACATGCATTTTTTACGACGAGCTTGAACACATTCTGGGTGATGAGCCCAGCTGTCAGTCAGTGAAGCTTCATGATGGCTCCTGTGATGCTGGTGAAGATGAAGCTGATCCTCCGGGAGCGACTGGCGTTCGTTGGCGGTCGTGATTGTTTACCTCAGAATGAGCCGTGAAGCAGCTTGACGCTCTGTTCTTTTGCACATGCGGATCAGTTTAGGAGCTGATCTGTTCAGACTGATGTCGCATACAGATCACATTTAAAAGATAATCTGAACAGCCAAACAAAACAATCAGATTTGGTGAGAAAATCCGATTTGGGCCACTTTTACCTGCTGTGGAAACGTAGCCTTAGTGTGGTTTCATTTGCATAATTATGCAAATTAATCACTATATACTTACATTCATTACTAGCAATGATAGCATTTTTCACCCAGCTGTTTCTTTGTGAAGTGTGAGTTTACTCGAGATGACCGCCAGTCTTGCTTTTAGTATGAGTCACTGTTCAGATCCCCGGAGTGCTGAGATGAGCAATGATGAAATCAGAAGAAGGCTCATACACAGTGCACTCATCTTTTATTTTATTTTCTCGTCCTTCCTTGCTTCTCTGAAACACTTAAAATTCAGAACCCATCCCTGTTGCGTCTTCAGTTCTCTAGAATAGTCTTTATCACATTTATCTTTACCTTCTTTTGTCCTTTTTTTCCAAAGGTCTGTTTAATATACCAGCTTGTTTTCTGGACTCTTTACGGAAGGCTGGTGGTTCTAAGTCCCATGTCTAGGGAAGAGCTTTAATCAAGCCCGAAATCTTGGTCTGGACTTAAATACAGCCTGAGAACTTTGTCTGAGTCCGACCGACCTGAACCACATCATTAAGTTTTGAGTCCTGACCCAACTTGACCTACATTATCAGGTTTTGAGTCCAAATCTGTCCCAAGTCCAGGGCTGCCCAATCCTGGTCCTGGAGATTAACCACCCTGCAGAGTTTAGCTTCAACCCTAATGTAACACACCCCTTCTGGGTCATCTGACTATATGAGCCAGGTGTGTTGGATCTGAACTCTCCAGGTTGGTAGATCTCCAGAAACAGGATTGAGCACCCCTGCCCAAGTCCAGCAAAATTCTGTCCAGCAAAATCTTTCAGTGCCCAAAGTGCCAAATAAACACATCATAGCGGTTTTTAAATTACCATGTAGCCATATTAACAGCTGTTATTAGATGATGGATTAAAATATTTTTAAAATGTGTAAAATAGATTGATGTCAGATTAAAACTCCGCTTGGCCGGGCGGGTACTTTATTGGCCCCAAAGGAAATGTAACAGCCGCTATCAGTCACACAACACAGGACAGTTATAATAATAAGGGTCATACAATATAAAAAGAAGAGTATATACAAAAAAAAACATGTACAGGCATATATACAAATAGAAATATACAAAAAATATGCTATAAGATCTGTCCTGAGATAAAAAAAAGGCAGTGCAATAATGAATTTACAAGGAGGTGCAGGTAGCATATAATGACAACACTGAATAAATATGTGCATATACTGATACTGAAATAAAAGTGTCTAAAGTGTGGAGTGTCCAGATGTGCAAGATGTGCAATAAGGTGTGCAGAAAGTGCAATGTGTTCAGTAAGGTGTCCATATGTGCAGGTAGATAAAATAAATCTATGAGTTAGCGTGAGAGATTCAATTAATTAATTGAATCTCTCATGCCACGGTATCACAGAATCTCTCTGGCCATGGTACTGACTTAATCCATCCATCATCCATCATCTAAACCGCTTATCCTTCTGGGTCGCGGTTGGGTGCTGGAGCCTATCCCATCCCATCATTGGGCGGAAGGCAGGATACACCCTGGACAGGTCGCCAGTCCATCGCAGGGCAAACAGACAGACATACACATTCACACCTAGGGACCCGGAGGAAACCCATGCAGACACGGGGAGAACATGCAAACTCCACACAGAAATGATCCTGGTCACCCGGCCGGGAATCAAACCCAGGCCCTTCTTGCTGTGAGGTGATAGCGCTACCCACTGCGCCACCGTGCCGCCCGTACTGACTTAATCAATTAATTCAGTTAAATTAATAATTGGGTGATTCCAACAAGCCAAATTTTAAAGCTTCTAAGGTGATAAAAGTACAGAGGAAGAATAATGTAAGGATGTACTAGAGCTGGGTAAATGCAAGGTAAAATCTGTTAGGCAGGTCGTGAGAACCTGGGCATGAAATTTGTGAAACCTGACCGTCTTTGTGAAATAATGTCAATTCGGACAAAATTTCAAGCTCTATCTTAGGGATCCCTTGCTAACAAATTTGACTCAGCTACAGTCCATGTGATCCCCAGGGCCAAGATTCAGAATCACAGTCGTTTGCTATGCGCTTTGTTCATAATGTACGTCTAGATTACTCCACTATCAGAACATGCATGTAGCTGCTTTGACTCAAATGCCAGTGCTTCATTACACATACACCAGCTCACCTGTGTAATGTCACCTGTGCAGGCACTTCACAGCTCTGCGGAGGCTCTATGGCAAGCAGGTGATCATTAACCTGCTGGGCATGAAAGAGGGAGAGCACATGCTCAGCAAAGCTTTCCAGGTTAGTTAGTGCTTTTCCTGGATCACCTTTCCTTATGTTTTCTTCTAATCTTCAAAAAATAAATCGCCATACTTTCTTTTGTCTGTACATTTTGATTGTCATTAAAATATTATAGCAACTGTAGAGGTGTGTCAGTACACAGTATTTGGGTACATATTGTCACTTATTTCCATTTTGGCACCACACAGAGTCATTTAAAGGCCTCTGAGCATGCCAACGCTGTGAAGATGTTGACCTTCGACTACCACCAGATGGTAAAGGGAGGGAAGACGGAGAAGCTGACCACGGTACTGAAACCACAGATCAGCAAGTTCCTGGACGAGTGTGGCTTCTTCTATTACTCTGCTGAGACTGGTATTGAGAGGTGGGTTTATAGAAATATTTGAATTAGTTAAAGGTGCCAAATATTATTTGTATTATTTTCCCTTGGATTGTGGAAAGATTATATTTAGTCTGAATAGAGGTCTTGGTGGGAATCAGTGATTCTAGCATTCCTCGACAGCTTAGTCCACTGCTTGCTGTGCAAAGTGCATTTTCTGTTTCTTTCCTTGCAGATGCCAGACTGGAACCCTTCGAGTCAATTGTCTGGACTGTCTGGACAGAACAAACAGTGTCCAAGCCTTCGTTGCACTTGAGGTCTGTTTTATATAATACTTGCACTAGTAGAACTGTTTTAGATGCAATATTTAGAAGCACCACTTGGACCTACCGACTAACTAACTTACTAGCTCACTTACTCGCTCATTCACTTACTCACTCATTCACTCACATACTAACTCAATTATTCACTGACTCATATACTAACTCAATCACATACACGTCATTCACTTATACACATACACAATAACTCACTCATTCACTCACTCACTCATTCTCTCTCACTCGTTTGGTCACTCATATATTATCTCATTAACTCACTTGCATACTCACGTGCTTACTCATTCACTCACTCACTCACTCACTCACTCACATAGTAACTCACTCATTCAGGTCTTAGCTCAGTCGTTAATACATACTCACTCATTCTCATACATATTCACTCACATACTCACTCACTCACATACTAACTCACTTATTAACTTTCATACTCACATTCATTAAATCATTAACTCACAATCACTTTTTTGATGCTTCATAAAAGCAGTCAGTAGTTTACAAGGTCTACAGCTGTAAACTCGCCATTTTGTTATTTAATGTGCAGCAGAGATAGCTTTTAATATCAAATAATTGTGTTGGTTAATTTTTCCCCTTTGTCTTTTGTTCAGATGCTGCCCCAACAACTAGAGGTCATGGGGCTTACAGAGAAACCCCAGCTGGTAGCACGCTTTCAGGAGGTATTCCGTACCATGTGGTCAGTCAATGGAGACTCTGTCAGCAAGATCTATGCTGGCACAGGTGCTCTGGATGGCAAGGCAAAGGTACACATCTCTGTGTAGCAAACATAAGAAGAAAACGTGGGACCTGCATTTTTATCTTTTAAGCAGTTCAAGAATTTAAGACTGGCATTATCAATTATATTAATAATTTGAGAATCAGAGTTTAAAAGAAAGATTTAAAAAAATACTGAACTATATAAAAATCATGCATAGCCTTATAAAAGTTCCAAGATACTATATTTGAAAAAAATAAGCTAGAATGCCTTTAACAATACTTAATTAAAAAAATTAAACAGTCAAAACCTCCATCAGGCTCCATTTCTTACTAGAAGAGAGACCAGTAAAAGAATGTAAAATATTAATATAAATATTATCATCAACTGCCAAATAATCATTGTTGATTCATCAAAAGGATGTATTTTAATAAAGTATTCATTTATTTCTTTTTAATCGAGCTCATTCAAGTAACTGTGACAGACATACCTGGATTTCATATGAACTCACTGAGCGTGTTTACATGCACTGAATAATCCGATAACTGCAGAAAATCAGATTTTGTCAATAATCCGATCAGGATGTTTACATGCACTTGAGTAATCAGATAATGGGAAACTCTGGGTCTACATGAGTCAGACAGTAATCAGATTTCTGCTTTACAACCAGCCAATAAACTCACAGATGAAGACGTGACGTGACGTGAACATAAAGTAAAACTCAAACTTCATGCCGTGGCTTTTTTTAAACATCGCGTGATTTTACCTGAAAATATGAACTTACATCATCTAGAAGATGAAGAATATTTTATTTCATTTCGTTTGGTTTCAGCGCCGCTCCACAAGTGTTACTGTATCTCGCGGTGACGCTGCTGACTTATTTTTGGTACCACTGTCTGTTCTGAGACTGAGAAATCTGAAAGAAATCAGAGTAAGAGTTCACATGCACTGAGAAATCTGATTAATGAGCTAAAATCCAGGCTCTTTATCAGATTTCTAGATCGGAGTATAGTGTTTACATGACCATTTGAATAATCGGATAACTGCAGAAATCCGATTATGATCCGATTATTGAGTGCATGTAAACACACTCACTGATGTTACCTTTCTGAATTCATCAATAAAATTGAACTTTCATAAAATGATCCGCGATACTTAAACAAAACACTAGGTGTTCTAAAACGTGCTTGCAACTGAGCAGAGCTTCGAGTTTTATCGATTTTGTTTCATGCTCCACGATTTGGAGACTCCAAAGACCTGATTACCAAAGGCTCTTACTGTAGCTTTAACGTTTTCTTATACACCTCTGTAAATCTGGATCTGTCTTCTAACACTCGTATATGTGTGCTGTTGTCCTCTGCTTTCCTCTGGACACTTCTCTACTTGTGTGGTAAGTTGACAAGCCAGCCTCTGTGGCTTGACTCTTTATACGCTACGTCTCTGTGTCGTCCTTTCTTTTCTGTCCATCTGATGTTTAGAGAAGGAGAGGCGGAAAGAGCGAGTGCTGTTGGCTGCGCTGTCAGATGTAGTTAGGCCTGTTTCCACCCCACTTGATAGGGCTGTTACTCTGCCTTAAACCTAAGGCCACGTGAGCCTATCAGCACAGATAAATAGCTGGCTTTGTGGTGGACACTGAATACATGTAAAAATGAATGTGATTGTATTGCCTTGTGTTTTTTTAATTATACATTCATAACATTTCCCATGGATATGTAATGTATTGGATTAACAGTCTACCTGTTACAAGAGCTTATCAAGTGTTTTTTTTTTTCCTACTTTTGTCCTCATGTCGCTGTGAAGGGGGGAAAGCTGAAAGATGGAGCGCGTTCGGTCACCAGGACCATCCAGAACAATTTCTTCGACAGTTCTAAGCAGGAGGCTATTGATATTCTGAGGCTGGGCAGCACTCTGAACAGTGATCTGGCCGATAAAGCTCGAGCTCTCCTTACTACCAGCAGTCTGTATGGTATGTAACCAGCAGTTTCTAAATGCTGTTGACCAACGAAGGAATAACATATTGCAATATGTTTTGTATGTTAGAAACACACTGGAAATACCTAATGTAACTTGAGTCAAGATTGGCCTTGATTGTTTAGATATTAAAAAAAAACAGTCCTTAAAATTTGGACATATTGGTTGTTTTATCAAGATCAGTTTTGCAACCACAGTTAACCTCTTATTCTCCAGAGTATATTTTGGTTCGTCCATCTGAATTTACATGACCAAATCGTAAGGCAAATTATTCAGTAACTGCATAAAATAAATGTAAATTTGTATTTTATTTATTTATTTGTTTGTAAAAGCTCCCCTCAAATTAACAGAACATGTGTTTTATGATCATATACATACTGCTATATGCTTACAATTTACTGCTGAAAGCCAGCACTAAACTAAAGAAAAGAAAAATTTGGATGCTGAACTGTCTTGGCTGATTAACTATTTCTGGGATGAGTGAAAAAATGTGTACATTTGATTTTTGGCCGAACCGCTGCTTTAAATGATTCAGTACTAGAGCTGTAAAATAATGTTTACTGATCATTTTCACTGTATCCACGATTTCTATGAAAACACTGTGGGGGCTGCCATGAGGCCTCACTATTTGTGTTTGCCCTTGTTTTCTGTTTCCTTTAATGCTAGTAGGGCCAAATTGACAGTATTTATCATTATTGTGATAAATTATGCTACAAAATGTGACAGTATGCTTTTCTGAGTGTATTGTGGGTATCGTCAGTACTGAACCTCTTATACCCCAGGGTATATTTTGGTTTTTCCCATCTGAATTTACATGCCCAAATCTTGAGGCAAGTTATTTAGTAACTGCATGAAATGAATGTAAAATGTTTTTTTTTATTTTTTTTTATAAAAGCTCCCCTCAACTTAACAGACAATGTGTTATGATCGTAAATGTAATGCCACATGCTGACAATTTAGCCAAAAATCTAGACACTCTTTGTATTTTTTCTAAAAAAATATTTTTTACAGTGCAGATCACTGAAGAGACGCCATCTGAGATCTAGTTTATAGCTCAGATTTGTGGGGGGTCGACTTTCAGTAGAAAAAAAAAAATTGTGAGTTCAGCTTCTTTTATCATAAGGGTTTAAAATGACATTACCCACCTATTTGACTGAAAAAGAAGACAGTTACAGCTCTCATATCACACCCACCTTTTGAATGTCGCTTATGAAATATGAAAGTTATGAAGTAAAGAATATGACGAGGTGCGTTTTGGTTCCGCAGAGTTAAAGAGGATTAAAAAAACACTTCCCACCTGCCTGGTAATAACAAAGGGAGCATAATCAGTTCTTCTTCCTTGGATTTAGTGCAGTACAGTGTATGAAATGTTGAATATTACTCAGTGTATTCATGGTTTTTGATAGCATTTTTTTAAACGTGGCACCACTTTTGTCTTTTCCAAATTGTCAGATGCCAGAAAAAAATAAGTATCATGACATATTGTGTATCATGAAAACTTCTTAAAGTATCATGATATTATGATATTAGTTTTTGTTTGTGGGATGGGGCACTGTCAAAAAAAAAAAACAGCAGCTCTCAGCCACTCACAGCTCACTGGTTTCTAACCAGAAACCAAAAACTGGCTTCAGCTCCAGGATCACTCTGTTGTTGTCCTGTGACTGGCTGTGTTTATTCTCACTCTACTCAACAATCTGATGGAAAATCTTCATTTACACACTCAGTACAAGTAATCCGATCCAAAATTATGCTCATGCGTAGAGAACCACTTATTGTAGACGTTACCATGACAGCGAACATCACGTGAGTCCAGTCAGAGTGAGACGAGCAGCAGTGAGCAGTGCTTGTGTTTTTAACTGCTTTAAAATGATGTCAGACTCAGGAAAACGTCCTTCACATGTCCTTATTAAAGAAGGCCGAGAGGAAGACGTCGTTTTCTGAGACACATAAGCTGGACGTCCGTCCCACCGCCGTCTTTTAAAGATCAGAGCATAAACTTCGTCTCCTCTGCAGACCAGTTTCTGCTCCGCCATGTTGAACGATATAAACTTTCACTATGACGTGACGAACATGATCAGAACGGACTTAAACTTTCTGATAGGGAATGTAATCAGATACAGGTGTTATCACGGATGTTATTCTTCTATTTAACAGATTATTTACAGGATTACCCACCTCGATCAGTCGGATAGGAACTGTATTCCGAATGGCCTCAGTCGGACCAGTCTATTCTGATTGAAGTGTTTACATGGACGTATTCTATTCTGATTGAGCTATTAGTCTGATTATTAGGCTGCATGTGAACGTGGCTAGTGTTTGGATGAATCTAGACATTGACGTGAGTCAGCAAAAATTAAATCATTTGGTTAAAAATAAAACAAGCCAATCTTTAACCACATCACATCAAGGGTGTTTAAGTACATGCCTACATATGTCGACAATATGATTGCATTGCTGGTATTTCTTGTATTAGTATACAGTGCAGCCCTATTCAGTACCAATGATAAGTTTAGGAATATATTTAAGTCAGAACGAAAGGATGGAAGATGAGCTTGTCATAGAACACTTATTCCTTCATGCAGAGAGGGATGAAAGGGGCGTTTTCCCACGTTAGCACTTTAATCTGTCTGCTTCAGCTGCCCTGAGTGTGAGATTAGCTCTGAAAAACTCTGTGCTAATGCTGTTATCTGCCTTGCCGGCAAACTACTAATCATGCTGCCTCTTTCCTTCTCTTTCTCTCTCTCTTTACTGCTTACATGGTTAGTCTCTGAGCCCATTTTACAATCAGGTACAGTATATGCAGCTCAGTCATAAATGTTAATGATGCCTCATCAAACGGGCTTCATTTGTTTTTACGTGTTTTCTTTTTCGTGTGGTTAATTGCCTGTTTGCTGTATTTTTACAACCCTTTCTTTGTTATCATCCCTTCAGTGAAAGTTTTACTCAAATAAAAAAACCTTTGCCAGTTACTGAATCCTCCTATTTGGCTAAACATGTGGGGAAACAACTGCGATAAATGTTTGAACTGGGTTGTTGTTCCACTTTTATTTGACAAAGATTACGCTTTAATCACTGTTTGCTCCTGCTTATGTGTTAGAGTTAGGAACCATCTCAAAATAGCGGCAAGAAAGTGTTGCTATTATCATTATTATTAGTAGTATTAGTATTATTATTATTATTATTATTATTATTATTATTATTATTCTGTATGTCCAGTTGCTGTTGCTTCCAGGAAACTTTATTTATGTTGATTTAGTGTTGATCTGTCTATCTGTCTATCCATCTATCCATCCATCCATCCATCCATCTATCTATCTAATTAAAATAGTTAGAAAACAGTGCAAGGCTATGAGGAATGGTTACTGCCGTGCCGCTGGAGCAGTTGCTTCAGTAGTATACCCTCTACTATATCTTTGATCCAGAAGAATCAGCAGATACACTTACACACTTTTTTTTCTGGTCATTTTGAGACGGTTCCTAACAGTGAAGCAGATGGGGAAGCAAACACAGTGATAATGCAAGAGATTGGATGGGTTTGTAGTAATAAAGAACAACGCAGTGTTACACAAACTGTAGCTGCTTACCTCAGCCTTATTTCACAAAAGCTAAGACTCGACAGCATTATGTTTGCATTAAACAATAAATAAACAACAAAATTTTAGTTTTTACCTTCACTGGGGGCTGTTACCATGGTAATTCGTTTAACAGTCACTGGACACAGACCCACTCAAACAACTCTTTCATGTATATTTCAGCTTTTAGAAATGTATTTAAAGCTATGTCATATGCCTCACCTTTCCTTTCATTCAAGCGTCTGTGTAGTGGCCATATTTCCTCTTTCATGTTGTGTCATTTTAAATATTTGAGTTGTTGTTCATGCTGTGAGAGTTTGATTCATTCTCCGTGGTTGTGATGCGTGACTGTCAGTGTTGTTTCTGTTTTTCCAGCCTCTCCTAGAGTGTTGCTGGGAATGTGTCAGAGCCATCACAAGTACACCAGGCCTAAAAAGATTCGCGTGTGTGTGGGCACGTGGAATGTGAATGGGGGCAAACAGTTCCGCAGCATCGCTTTCAGGAACCAGACCCTCAATGATTGGCTGCTGGACGCTCCCAAGATAGCTGGCCACCCCGAGTTCCAGGGTGAGTGACCCTGTCAAATACGCTTGTTTCTTTGTTATTCATTGGTTAGCTATGCACTGTGACAGGTGTCCAGTGTACTGCAAACATATCTGATAGTGATCACTTTGCCTCATAGACAACAAAGTCCATCCTCCAGATATCTTTGCCATCGGCTTTGAGGAAATGGTGGAACTGAATGCTGGCAACATAGTCAGTGCAAGGCAAGAAGAAAACACGCACTCACAGTGGCTTCATTTTTAAGCCCTTTTAAAATCACTCATGCATGCTTTTCAATAAAGGAGAACTGTTTAGCCATTCAGCCGTAGCATCCTCCTATGAAACTTGACAAGATGTTTAGTTGAAACCTGATAATAGGGTAATTATCAGTGTTGTCGTCAAGTGTACCATTTAAGAGAAACCAAATATGCCCTTCTCTTCACATACAGCACCACTAATCAGAAGCTGTGGGCAGCAGAGCTGCAGAAGAACATCTCACGGGACCATAAGTATGTACTGCTTGCCTCAGAGCAGCTGGTGGGGGTCTGCCTCTTCGTCTTCATTCGGCCCCAGCATGCTCCTTTCATCAGGTACACGTGTACACTGCATGCTCTGCTACACCTGTTTGTTGCTTGTGTTAATCAGCGTTAGTAACGTAGGCTTATGTTGATACAGGGCACGTGTGAAAGACTTAGTGTATACATCTCCATACCAATACTTTATCAAGTCCTGGTGCTCATGGAAGTTGAAATCAATTATTCATGAACATTTCTCACTACATGGTGTGTGCAGTCCTCCCACAGTCCATAGACATGCAGTCAGGCCAGTTGGACGCGCTAAATTGCCCCTAGGTGTGAATGTGTGTGTTGATGTCTGACTATCTGCCCTGTGATGAACTGGCGACCTATCCAGGGTGTTTCCTGCCTTCCGCCCAAAGACTGCTGGGATAGGCTCCAGCTCCCCCCGCGACCCAGAAGGATAAGCGGTTTAGAAAGTGTGTGTGTGTGTGTGTGTGGTGTGTGCAGTGTTGAATATTTCACCACTGTCCAAGCCTTTGAATGTGGTTCAAATGTGAAATGTGGTTTCTACTTTTTATGGTGGCCGAAGTACAAGTAATTTGAACACTGTAGAACAGAGGTCACTAATAGGCGGACCACGGAGTCCGGACCCAGACGCTGTCCTATGCGGACCTGGACCTATAACCGATATGGAGAATTATTTAATTTCGACGGGGTCGTCCTATTTTAATCAAGTTAGAGATTATGATGTTCCGGACATTTGCTTGAGGAAATTGTTTCTAACTGGACCTTATTGAATTTTAATTAAAGACCTCTGCTATAGAGGAAATCTAAATGTTTGTAATAGGAGGGTTCTGTGAAGTCCAAAATGCCCAGAATGTGTTTAGTTTGTAGATTAAGTGACCCTTATTAGTCCCACAACGGGGAAATTTCACCTCCGCAATCTAACCCATCCATGCAGTGAAACACCACATATACACTAGTGAAGACACACACACTAGGGGGCAGGAGCAATGCGGTGGGCAGCCCTATCCACGCCGCCCGGGGAGCAGTTCGGGGTTAAGTGCCTTGCTCAAGGGCACTTCAGTCGCGTACTGTCGGCTCAGTGGATCGAACCAGCGACCTTCCGGTCACAGGGCTGGTTCCCTAACCATGACTGCTCAAACCATGCGTGGCCCATACAGGGATTGTAGCTGTAAAATCATCTGTCAAACCTGCAATGAGTTGGGCTTTTATCATGTGTCTGCTAAAAAATGAACAAAGTGAAAATTAAAGTGCAGATTGTCTACATGCTGCTTCTGTTTTTCCACAGTAAAATGACAAATTGCCGTACTTTTTAGAAAATTTATATTTGTTAGTACTGATAATAGATTGTTTTTATTTTAGCACAACAATATGTTAATATGTGATATGGCACTTGCAACCTTTTTAGCATCAGTGCAACCTGTACAAAAAGTTTATATACAGCCCTTTTGTATGATAATACAGGTAAATACAGGGAGATTCAAAAAGATTCATCTGATTTCAAAATGATTTATTTCTCTTGTAAATCATTACAGATCAATGCAGTAAACTGTAAATGGTTTAAATGAGCATAAAGTTTATTATGTAGTTTTACAAGGTCTCAGTATAAACCTCCTCCAACTGTACAGACAACATCAACGCCATAGTCAAATTCATCCCATACTGGATTGAGCATGTCGGGTGTCGCTGCACTCACGGCTCTTACAGTGCGATTTCGGAGATCATCCAGTGTTGTGGAAACAACGCCGAACGCTCTGAGCTGTTGGAGCTTCACTGCCCACGAAAATCACACTGCACAGTTATGACGGATTCACTCTTATTGAAGTGGAGAACGCAGAACGCTTTCTGCTCAGGCGTCTCATCTCCTCACAGACTGAAGGGAATCGTCTTTCCGTGACAGTCAGAAACTCTATGATCCCCTCTTTCCGTTGGATTGTGATTTGTTCCTAGGCGCCTCACAGTTGTAAAAATATGGCACTTTGAAATCGGATGTATCTTTTTGAATGACCTGTATCTGGATTTTTAGGATTTGCTTTGGTTTACATTATTGTTGCAGATGAATAATGAAGTTTAGTGCTAAGAATTATTTACCTTTTTGAACAGGGATGTCGCTGTAGACACTGTCAAGACTGGCATGGGTGGAGCCACTGGGAACAAAGGGGGCGTGGCTATTCGTATGCTCTTTCACACCACCAGTATCTGTTTCGTGTGCTCCCACTTCGCTGCTGGACAGTCACAGGTCAAGGAGCGAAATGATGACTATGCCGAGATTACCCGCAGACTCTCATTCCCTATGGTAACTATGGCAGCAAATATCCTCTAATGAAGTATAAATTAGTGAAAGTAGAATAAAGAGTCTAATGTAATTTTTCACATAAATAGCATGCTTTCATACTATATCATGCTGTCTAGTGGCTCAAAAAGAATCACATCTAGATAAAGTAAAATAATGAACTTTGTTATTAACCTTATTCTGCTCAGTAAACAGTGATTCGTATCTGAAATTTTCCTCTCCTCACTATTTTTTTTTCTTCTAATCCCCAGGGCCGTCTGCTGTACTCCCATGATTATGTGTTCTGGTGCGGAGACTTCAACTACCGGATCAACATACCCAACGAAGAGGTAAAAGAACTGATCAGGCAGCAGAACTGGGATGCCCTCATCGCTGGGGACCAGCTTGTGGAACAGAAGAATGCAGGCATGGTAATCACTGCTTTATATTACATTGCTTAACAAAATTACTGTTTTGTTTTTTGTCATATGACGTTTCTTTACGATAAAGTAATGAAAGAATCATGAATGAATAAACTGAGCTAAAACCTCTCCTTTCAAAATGCCTCTAAACTCTTTCTCTCTTGCTTTCAGGTGTTCAGGGGCTTCATTGAAGGAAAGCTGGACTTTGCTCCCACTTACAAGTATGACCTCTTCTCTGATGACTACGACACAGCGAGAAGTGCCGGACGCCGGCCTGGACCGACCGTGTGCTCTGGAAGAGGAGGAAGTGGAACTTTGATAGAACTGGTGAGTTTGCTGTTTAGTTTTAAACTATTTGAGTTCAGTGCTCTTTCACATGGAGTTTGAAGCAGGTCATACATTTGTGTGTGATTATCTGTCTGTATGATTATCCAGCTGAAGAGATGGAGCTGAATGTAGTTGGAGCTCCAGTAAGTGAAGAAGATCAGCACCCCTGGAGCCCAGGAGAGCTGAAGTACTATGGCAGAGCAGAGCTCAAGACCTCAGACCACAGGTACAGTAAAACCATAGTGGTGAAGTGTTGCTTTTAAATATAAACTGAGCAAGATTTTGTGATTTTGAGCATTTCAGTTCAGTTTGGCAACAAAGATTATGAATCTTATGTGATGCCAGCACCTTACATAAGGTCACATTGATTACTTTATTAGACAGTCATCCTCTAAATGAGAAATTTCAGAAATTTCTCACTGTTGACTTCCTAAGACCCATATGTCAAACATAAGGCCTGCCACACAATCCTATCCAGCCCGCAAAAGTATTTTAATTTTCTGTTAAAATTAGCCCGTTTCACTGTGTGCTGCACTACAGTCCCCAGCATGCACTGCAACATAACTCTGTCAGTATCAGTGTCAGTAACTCTGACTCTCCTACCCCAACAACAGTCTACAGGACATCGGTTACAGCTCAGTTTCACGCAGTTCTACACAATTCCACACCAGTCATATCACCAAATACACTAGCCTGCATTTCAGCTCAGCAGCTCTGAAACTGAGCCCAAGTATTAATAAACTTGCAACAAAGAAAAGATGCCAGGTGTCTAGTTCAAGCACACAGGTAGGTTTAAACTACTTTTCCTGGGGACGTTTCAATTTTGTGTATTTTAAGTATTAATGTAATATTCCATTATTTTACTGTTGAAGTTTTTGCATATTTTGAATAAACAATGGCCAGTTCAGATGTAGCACAACATTAATTAAAGATGAGATAAAAACTTTTTTTTTCTCTGGCCCACAGATTTGTTGAGATTTTTTGATATGGCCCTTTTACTGGTTGAGTTTGACACCCTCGTCCCAAGATATGGTGCAATTGATTTAAAAACTTTTTTTATACCCAGCATTAAGCAAGTGGCTTAAGTGAAAATGGAATGATTTTTTTTTTCGGTGTTCCTGTATTTGTGTATGCTCTCTGTGATTGATACCTAGTTAATTTTCATTTGTTTTTTATGGTGTGTGTGTGTGTGAGATACACCGATCAGGCATAACATTATTATGCTTGTTTCTACGCTCATTGTCCATTTTATCAGCTCCACTTACTATATAGGTGCACTTTGTAGTTCTACAGTTACAGACTGTAGTCCATCTGTTTCTCTGATACTTTGTTAGCCCCCTTTTACCCTGTTCTTCAGTCATCAGGACCCTCATGGACCCTCACAGAGCAGGTACTATTTGGGTGGTGGATCATTCTCAGCACTGCAGTAACACTGACGTGGTGGTGGTGTGTTAGTGTGTGTTGTGCTGGTGCAAGTGGATCAGACAAAGCAGTGTATAACAGCAACGTTGAGAGGGATTGTTGAAGACCTTTTATTAAAGTCTGTTTCTGTATATTGCATCTGTGCTCCATAAAGCCCCTTTGAACTTTCAAAAGGTTTAAATTGTTTTGTTTTTGTTTTTTTATGAAAAGTATCTCATAACTCTTCCTGTCTTACATGTGTCTTTCTTGTGGCAAGTGCTTTGCTTAACTCAGAGCTGTATTTCGAGACACGGGTCCAGTCCAAAACTAAACGTTTTTTCGACTTGGTTAAGGATTTGCAATCTATTTTTGCAGTCACTGTTGTAATAAACTGTGTTCTCTCTGCGTGCCTCTTCCAGGCCAGTGGTGGCTGTCATAGACGTGGACGTTCTTGAAGTGGACCCGGAAGCACGTCACCAAGTGTATAAAGACGTGATCGCTCTGCAGGGTCCTCCCGATGGCACCATCCTGGTCTCTCTGTGCAGCTCTGGGCCTGATGACTACTTTGATGATGCCCTGATAGATGAGCTACTGGACAAGTTTGCTAACTTTGGAGAAGTCATTCTGATCAGGTAAGATCTCAGAAGGCACCAGTACTCCTGTACACTGACCATTTGACCTGAATAAAAGGCTATAGGGTTGATCCCATTTGGCATTGAGCTTTTTTTGCATGGCATTTAGGCCCAAGTTTCTGCAGGAGGACTGCACCTGCAGCTACCTGATGGAAGTTGCTTTGGCTGCTACTTAATTATCTGTAGCGACTCCAAGCAGATTACTTACTTGTAACCACTTGCTTTGGTGCATAGAAACGTTCTTAATGGGCAAAGAAAAAAAACTAACATCTACTGTTTCCATTTATTGTTAGAGCATATATTTGTAAGGTTTACAGACAAAAATGTTGCATATCCAATAAGGTGATGTCTAGGTGATGCTGCTATGTGCCCTCAGTAGGCTGAGGCATTGCCATCCACCCAAATTCTTCCCTTTATGTATTTGCTGTGGCTGACCTGTGCCATCCACTGCATATCGCCATCTAGTGGTTTGAAGTGACACGCAAAAAAACAGCATACATAAAAATGCATGTTTATGACGAATGAATGGGAATATTACTCGGTACATGCAGCCATGCAGTGACTGTGTTTCACTGTTTGTTTCTGATACAGCTGTTTATATTTCTCATGAACAGATTTGTGGAGGAAAAGATGTGGGTGACGTTTTTGGAGGGGTACTCTGCCCTGGCCGCGCTCTCACTGAGTGCCTCTACTGTAAGTGACGGTATTTCAGATGTTTGACTGAATCTACAGACCACTTTTAATACCAGTAAATTCATCTGTGGTTCTGCTCACAGCTGCTGAGAGGGTACTACCTTCTAATTCAGATGTGTCAGTTTTCTAGAAGCCAGTATTATGATTAACAAATCATGTTTTGTGGAGACCTAGAGCCATGGTCACCCTAGGGACTTCCTCTAAGTCTATTAATAGAGAACATTGTGAAAATACTTGCTGATCGTTGCAGCTGATCTTGCAAAATTATTGCAGTCATTTTCAAAGGTTCAGTGTGACACTGTGGTGCTTCCTGATTAGGGCAATAAGCCCAAAAAGGAACCAAGACACCCTATGAATAATTTTTCTCACTGTAAATTCAGGTGATGGGGAAGACCATCGACATCCGTCTGAAAAGCCCTGGTTGGATCAAGAGCCTAGAAGAGGAGATGAGTGTGGAGAGGATCTGTGGCAGCATCCCCACCTCAGCTAGCTCCACACTGCTTGCTGAGGATACTATCATGGGAGATGAGTTCGACATGGAGGGTACGTGGGTAATGATCACAGCATTTGTATTTAAATCACAGAGAAAAAGGGACTGGAGTTGGTTATAGGTTATAGGTATAAAACGATGACCAAAAGTAATAGCTCATTTACTGCATTAGCCTCATAGCTCCAATGCAAAACTAAAGGAGCAGGTTTTGGCTCATCAACTGCATCTAATTTGCATCATCATAGCTTAATATACATATGCTGGCCACTTTTTAAGTACACCTTCTTCGTATCCGCCCTCATTGTCCACTTTATCAGGTCCACTTACCACATAGGTACACTTCGTAGTTCTACAATTACAGACTGTAGTTCCTCTCTGTCTTTGCGTAAGTTGTTAGCCTTTCATTACTCCGTACATCACCTTATCATCATTGAACCCCACAAGACAACCACTGACCAGTTATTATTTCAGTAGTGGATGGTGTTGCACTAGGGGTGGACGATATGGGGGGGGAGTGTATATATCACAGTATTTTTTTTCACGATACACAATACATGTCATGAAATTTTGACACAGACAAAGGCCCAATCCCATTTCACCCCTTGCCCCTACCCATCAGCCCTTAGCCCTCTGTTCTGCGAGTTCACATCTAGGGGTAGGGTGTCCTGATTCTTGTTGAGATAGAGGGGGAGGGCGAAGTGTTTGAGCTACATGACCCTCCAAACGGAGGTTTTTCAGAGACTCCAAACAGGGTGTTGTGAGGAAAAAGAGGAAAAATAGAAAAACTGGCAAGATGGCCGAACAAGAGACCAAGGAATCCCACAAATGTGAGAATTTTCTTTGTTAAAAAATGCGGCAGCCATTGTATTATCTTAGTATAATGTTTGTTTCAGTGTATTATGGTCCTTTTCTTCATAACAAGCATAAAAAATCGGTAATAGTATGCTAATGTCTCATTAGCTAACTAGCTAAATTTCCCGTTCCACCTTAAATAGACCAGCAGTTCCGATGCCTGAAGCACCAGAATGTAACTGCTGGTCCATTTAAGGTAGAACAGAAAAGGTTGAATGCAAAGCTGGCGAATATCTGACTTCAGCTTCATATCACTGAAGAATTAGGGATGGGTGATAATAAATAATTGCCCCCCCCCTTTGAAGGCATATGATGCCCTAAATGTAACTAAAGCCCAGCAGTGAGGAGCTGAACTTTACCCTCCTCTGCTGTCACTGCAGACTGGCAGTGTTGCCTACAGAGCAGCGCTAGTAGCTGTTAATGAAGTGATGCTCTTTTTATTTGAGGGTCCCATTTTGTAAGATCTCAACCACTACCCATTGTGACTCAGTTCCAAGGGGCAAGGTAAAAACCAACAAATGATGCTGAGAAACAGGTGGACTACGGTCTGTAATTATAGAACTACAAAGTGCACCTATATGGTAGGTGGACCTGATCAAATGGACGATGAGTGTATATACAAAATAGTACCAGTTTGTTCCAAGCATCCATCTGTTATGATACATTCCAAGCAATATTTCCTGCTGTACCTTTTGAGCCACCATAAAAATGAGCTGATTGTTTTGTGGGTCAGAATAAAAACATTAAGTAATCTTTGATGCTGCTGTGTTTGAAGGTGATGTGGATGAGGAGATAGAGGACATTCTCCCTCAGCACCTGCAGCCCGGGCTGGGCATGGGTCCTGGAACATCGCCCGCTGCCTCTCCTCGCTCCAGTCCCTGCCCCTCCCCGACTCATGGGGAGCCCGCCCCTCCCTGCCGGCCGAGCAGAGCCCCCCCACGCACAGCCGGACCACCACAAGGTAGAGCACGCACTTTGTGTTTTGCTGCTTTCAGATCTAACCATGAAAGGCAGATTAAAGCATATATGATGTTTTTGGTCTGCTACTGATCGCGTTCTCCAAACTCATTCGACTTTTTTCACTGTGTGTGAAAGGTGGCCTAAGCCCGGTCACATGTAGGAGGGAGCTGGCAGGTAAAGAGTGAAAGCTTCTAGAGGTGCCGTTGGTGTGTTGCGTGTGCAGTGCAGGCTCCCAGAATGTTAACGCTTGTGCTTTTGTAGGGCTGCAAACTTCTTATTGCATGGTGATGATGGCGCTAATCCTCACGACAGTGATAGTAATCAGTAGTTGTTCTCTTTAGGTTCTCCTGTGGAAAATCAAGCAGTAGGAGCTCCTCCATCCCAAGGACTGGAACCAAAACGCCCCCCTCCTCCACGCCCCAACGCTCCCCCTGCCAGACCTGCACCCCCACAGCGCCCCCCACCACCCTCAGGTAAGGCAACCTTCCTTTTTAGCGCCTTCACTGCAAAGGCTGATTTAATGGCACAGTCATTCAGTAAATCCTGTGGATTTCATTTTCAGCTTGCATATCGCTACTGTTGGGAACAAAACCTCGTATCTCCAAAATGGTAACTTTACAGGAAAAGGAAAAAACTTACTTTACTTTTAATGTAAGTCAATGGAACCAGACTTTTTTTCTAGTCGTTTTGGGACGTTTCTTTTGGTCCATTTATCATGAGATTTACACACAATGTAAAGGGCAACTGGCATTTTCAAATTATGTCAAAAACTGAAAAACGACAAAAATGGAGATACAAGGTTTTCTTCCGACAGCAGCGATATCCCATTTGCTATAACCATATTTTGGTCTAATGCCAGTAAATGCTGCTGACCTTTTATTTTTCTGTGACTGCAAAGAAATCAGACTTAATCTCGTTTGTAATTGCTTGTTGGCTAATTACAGCTAGCTTTACATCCGTGCTTTGATTTTAAAACGTTATCGACTGATTACTTCTAAAGGAGATAGAAGCCCTACACCTGGTAGGAGAGAATCAGAAGGTAATGTTGTGTGTGCAGTAGCAAAGAGTTAAGAAAGCAGTGTGCTTTGGCTGTGGTGATTCATTCAATAGTTTCTATGTAATTTTCAATTTTGATGTACCGTACCATATCTGGTCATTTCTGACTTGATTGTTAAAGTAAATTGTTATCAACTATTTAGCCTTATAATTCAGAATGAGACGAAATATTTTGTACCACTTTACGCATACTTATATACAGCATGGGTCATATATATTCAGTATGGGTCTTGATATTATGTAGCACTTTACACCGATCAGGCATAACATTCTGACCACCTCCTTGTTTCTACGCTCATTGTCCATTTTATCAGCTCCACTTACTATATAGGTGCACTTTGTAGTTCTACAGTTACAGACTGTAGTCCATCTGTTTCTCTGCATACTTTGTTAGCCACCTTTTACCCTGTTCTTCAGTGGGTGGTGGAACATTCTCAGCACTGCAGTAACACTGACGTGGTGGTGGTGTGTTAGTGTGTGTTGCGCTGGTACGAGTGGATCAGACACAGCAGTGCTGCTGGAGTTTTTAAACACTGTGTCCACTCACTGTCCACTCTATTAGACACTCCTACCTAGTCAGTCCACCTTGTAGATGTAAAGTCAGAGACAATAGCTCATCTGCTGGTGCACAGTTTGTGTTGGTCATCCTCTAGTCCTTCATCAGTGGTCACAGGACACTGCCCACAGGACGCTGTTGGCTGGATATATTTGGTTGGTGGACTATTCTCAGTCCAGCAGTGACACTGAGTTGTTTAAAAACTCCAGCAGCACTGCTGTGTCTGATCCACTCAGACCAGCGTAACACACACTAACACACCACCACCACGTCAGTTTTACTGCAGTGCTGAGAATGATCCACCACCCAGATAGTACCTGCTCTGTGAGGGTCCATGGGGGTCCTGACCACTGAAGAACAGGGTAAAAGGGGGCTAACAAAGTATCAGAGAAACAGATGGACTACAGTCTGTAACTGTAGAACTACAAAGTGCACCTATATAGTAAGTGGAGCTGATAAAATGGACAATGAGTGTAGAAACAAGGAGGTGGTCATAATGTTATGTCTGATCGGTGTATATGTACTTATATTCAGCATGGCTCTGGATATTATGTAAAACTTTACAGATGTTTATATTCAGAATCGGTGTGGATATTACATACCACTTTCCAGATAGTTTCTTTGATGTTATATCAGTCTTTAAACACTGTTTAACACTTGAAAACTTTGCAAATTCTCGTTTGAAGGCTTTGCAGAGCCTCTAAGCCTTTTTGATTTGTTTGAAAATGAAGGTAATTATGAACAAAGTAGTTTCAGAGTAATTCTTCCCTCTTCAGTGTTTGTTGTACATCATTGACACCCTTGCAACTGAAAGTTCATGCCCTAGCAAATGGTGTTTGTCTAGTTCCCTGACTGAAAAGTCCTGCTTTTATTTGTTAAGAGCCACTGTTTTACAGCATGGACGTCCAGTTGTTCTTCTCCTTCAGCTGTTGTCAGATGTGTGTGGATGTAGTGTTATAGCTGTAGCCTTTTAATTCCAAGACAGTGTTACAGTGGAATAAATGTGGTATAATGTGGTCATATTCTGCCAGGTAAGATAAGAATAGTTATTCATTCATGAGGCCTTTTCTCAAAAGAGTTCTAATATAGTTTATTATTATTGTGATCAGTACACTGAGAATAATAGTGAATCACTTCCCCCCCTCCATGCTGCGAAGGACAAAAAAGCCCTGCTTTAGCCAGAGCAGATGCTGCAGGTGAGTATCTGTTCACTGAGGCGTAATGTCATTCATTTTATTGTGTCCTCCTGTAGCTGACAGTAGAGAAGGCATGCAGGCCTTGTGTATGTCTCAGTGCCATAATCCCGAACTTGTCTTCCGGAACGGGGCGAGTCTTAGGAAGGTTGGCCTGTCTTCACCTGGCTGATACTGTGATCCCAGCTTGGCCACTGTCAATAGCATTTTCCTGGTTTCTCCATTCGGGCCATCTCAGTCATTTAAGTTGCGTGGGAAAGGGTGTGTGCTCTGGTGCCGAAGAATAGTTCAGTGATCTGGCTACGCTGTTGGCCAGGTAGTTCGGCCTGGCGGCAGCAGTGCTGCTTGACCCCCCACTGACCAGGAAGAGGTGAGTCATTCTGAGAGCCGTGCTGAGAGCCAGGGAGGAAAGGAGGAGGAGTGTGGGGAGATCGGCCCAAGATGAGAGCACTGCAGCTATTGTGCATACAATGGCTCACATGTTTGCCTTTACTTCTAAGGCCTTAGTCCTCCAGCAGGCTCGGAAAGCGATACGCATGAGCTGGTTGGTATAAATGTGGCTTTCTGGGCATGTTGTCAAATAGCGACTCAGTGAGGTGAGTGAGTTTGAAGGAAGAGGGTTAGACAGGAGGTGAACTCTGAAGCTGAATCCATTGAGAATAATAATAATAAAGAAATGAAAGATATTTTTGTCCTGATGAGAGGATGACTGAATATGTGCTGTTAATCATAAGCGCTCTTCCTGGTGTGTTTCAGGACGTGGCCAATCTGCTGGAGCTCCAGGCGTCCCAAGGCCGGTGGGTAGACCTTGAAAACGAACATGTAGTATAGCTTTTATAAAAAATAAAATACTCAGTTTACCCACATGATCGCACACATCAGCTAAATTTGGTATTAACGTGCCAAATTATTTAAAAAATTGCTCTTTGTAGAGCTCATAAGTTGCTTGGTCTACTGTTAACAAACTATTGTGATTATCATTAATAGTAAACGAAATTATTTCTTGAACGTTGGTGTATTTTATCATGTTTTCTGTTTCCAATTTATAAAAGCAAAGCTTTAGTATGTAATGCTAAGCTAATATACTGATTTGTTTACTTTAGAGAAGGTCTTTACGAAGTAAAAGTGGTTATATGCCTCAAAAGAGCAGTTTTTGGGTAGACCAGGATGACTCTCTTCAAGAATTTAAGGCTAATTATATTTGTATTTCAGAACATCCCTCCTAGAGCAGGAGTCATCAGTGTGCCACCTCAGTCCCGACCACCTCCTCCCGCTCACCCTGGAGCTCCCAGACCCATAGCTGAAGTTCACCCCGGGGCCCCTCGACCTGCCCCAGACAACCACCCAGGAGCCCCAAGACCCATCCCAGAACCACAGACCAAACCAGCAGAGCTCCCTCTGGGTGGGTGAACAGCCATCAACATGCTCATACAGTGGTTCTAACCAACCTTGCCTTAAATCATTTGCTCTTTTTCCTGCTCTAACATACCTGATCCAAAGGATCAGCTAATTAACAAGGCATTCTTGATTTGGAGTGGTTGTGATACAGTAGGAAAACCACTAAAATGTGCAAGGCAGGGGTTTTCCAGGACCAGGATGCCTAGAGAAAGAGGTTCCCAAATTACACTATATTAATAATACCATACTGTAGGTCTGCAAAATATGTACAATGTGAATCTGTTGCTACATATTGAGATTGTGATACACTTTTCAATATTACAAAATTGATTGGTGAACCAATAATGTCACATGGCTGAACACTGTTGTGTTTTTGTCCCTACAGGTCCTCCTCCATCTCTTCCTGGCCCCATGAGGCCACAGATGGCCTCTCCCATGCAGCCTCAGGCCACTTCCCCCATGCAGCCATCGATACAGTCACAGCTGCCGCCGCCCATGGTGCCCCAGCTGCCCCCACCCATGCAGCCCACTTTGGCTGCCCCCCTGCAGCCTCAGCCAGCTGCTGCAGCCACAGGAGCAGCCGCCCCTCCTCAGCCTGGTCTGGCTTCCCCCAAGCCCCCACCCCGTAGCCGCTCCTCACATGCTCTTCCACCTGAGGCTGCTGCTGCTCCTGCCCCTGCACCTGCCCCTGCTCCTGCTCCTTCCTCTCAGGTTAGTCCTGCAATGTGTAACACACTCCATGCATTTCACACCTTGTTTCTAATGGTATTGGAGCTGGATTAGTTTAACCAGGTAAGGTTCTACAATGTAGACATTTTTTCCAGACCAAGTACAAGTACGAATACTTATTTTTAGTACTCATCGATACGGAGTCTGATACCATAACTAATTACCTGCTTAGAATTAAGTAGTTTTTATTGTAAATGAGCGCGATGTACCTTAACAGTTAAATCATTAAAATCTAGCTGAATTTAAATGAAGTGCAATAGCTAGCTACATTATATTAGTTACATTCGATTGAGTAGCCTTGCAGTGGAGAACTGTGGGTTCTATTCCACATCAGAAGAACGCTTCTCTACAGCTGTAAGTAAAGTACGTTCCATAGTTTCGATGCTCTTATATGTCTCTTTCAACACCAGTCTCTGTAGCACAGAGACAGCAGAAATCACATCTTAGGTTGATGCATCCAAGGTATTCACTTGGGGAGTTTTACGTCTGAAGTATTTTGTTTGGCTGGTTGGGCTGTAGTTGAACGTTCTCTAAAGCTAGACATACATGGTACGATTTTAGAAACCTTGTTCTTTGATGAGTTACACCGTACATTTCAATAGTCCATCATGTATGGACACAATTTATATACTCACACTGTATGAAAACGCTTGGTCCTTACTACGTGAAACGCAGCTCTAGAGACATCTCTGTCCACAAACAGTTTTAAACCTGTTTCATTCAAAAGAACACGCTGCGTGCTGAGTACTGAGCAGAAACACTGAGAAGCTGCAACAGCACTGCTAACCATGCTGTTCAGTGAAACATACATGGTAGGACAATTTACAAAGGTTTGCAAAGACAGTTGAGAAAAAAAACAACATTTATACCTCACAATTCTACTCAGAGTAAAGTTGGCGTGTACAGACTTTGTTATGAAATGTTGACTTTCTTGCCTCTATATTGTTAGCCTATGTGTTTCCACCTGTTTTGGGGAAGCGGTCATGATCATGTACAAAAATGGGCTAAAATCACAGTGTATTCCTAGCAGGAATTTACAGAGGTAGAATGTTTACAGTGACCTCCACAGAGTCAGTAACACTTCACTGTGTGAACAGACCCTCTTACTGCCAGCTTGAGTTGTTTCATTAGCGCGGCAGTATACAATCGGCTTCCTAGCGGGTATCAGATGTTGGTATTGGTGAATTTTAATGAGTAAGAGTAAAGGAACATGGTATTGGTCCAACAACCAATGCCAGTATCGATATTGTTGCATCCCGAGTAATTTGTAAAGGATTTGGCTGGCCAGTTCACACAGGTCATCTCCAAATTACCAAAAATAGCCAAACTGACACACCATAGCTTGGATGCATGTAAGCAGTAGGCTCCACGTTCAATAACAATAACAACACGGCACACTGCCATGTCTTTTAGCAGTTTCTGTTATTACGTTGCTGTGAGGTTGACTTGCCTTGTCCTTAGTTGTAAATTCTGTGGACATTGCAGACACAAGCTGGACTAACATCCCAGTTCTCATTGGTAATCACTTAAAAACCAGTGGTGGACAGTAACGAAGTAAATGTAATTCGTTTCTGTACTAAAGTAGTTTTTCGTGTATCTGTACTTTACTGAAGTTTTTCCATTTTGGGCGACTGTTTACTTTCACTCCACTACATTTCAAATATCTGACTTTTTACTCCACTACATTATGAGAAATCTGTCGCTCCTTTTGGTTTATGTGTGTATAAAAACGTAATGTCAAAACGAAAGAAGCGCAAAGTAAGAACACCAATCAGGGTACAGTGCACACTTTGTTTTGAGCTTGTTTTGACCTGTTGGTCATACCGACCCACTGCAAGCACACGGTTCAACATCAGTACAGCAGAGTAAAATGTGTGTCTATTCAACATAAATGATGAACTAACCTAACTTTGTGTAAATAGACCACAATATAGAAATATGTACACATATGCAGTTGTGACTGACGTCTTTTTTCTGAATTTATACAAACACTATTTCATTTTATAGTAAATTTGTTTTGTCTAGTTTATGTTTATGAACAGAGACCTACAGATGCAGTTTAGTAAAGGAAACTCATTTGTGAATCTGAGTTTAAAGCAAGTTTTTATTCAATTTAAACTTGTAACAAAGTTGTAAATAAATCTTAAAATGAAACTTTGCTTGTTTGTAAAAAGTGATTTCAGAGCCACTCAGTTCTACCTGATGGAAACTCTTTGCCTTCAGTGTTTTGTTCTTATGATAATTTTAATAGACATCAGTGTCACTAATTAATGACATTCTATTAAAAGACTGGTTTACCAAGAGAGACACTGGAGTATTTTCACCTAAAATGAGTTAATGAAGCGAGTCTTGTTATAAAAATGATAATAGGACGTCAGAGCCATAATTTATCTTTTAGTACTTTTACTTTTGATACTTAAGTACATTTGAAGGAAATACTTTTGTACTAAAGGGAGGAACTTCTACTTTTACTGGAGTAATATTTTACCTTGGGTATCTCTACTTTAACTCATGTGCATGGTTTGTGTACCTCGTCCACCACTGCTTAAAACCGATTCAAGCTGTATTCATTTTACGTAGGGATGTGAAGTAATTTAGGATGACGATTTATTCTTTACAAGCCTGACTGCTGTACAAACTTAATTCGTTTCCTATTTCTGTATCAGAGAGGATTTTTGAGTGGAAAAGCACTAACAGATTTAGGTTTAATAATCAACGCCACCCTCAACAGATCAGCACATTGAGCATCAGTGTAAGTTTTTGCCTGTATCCGACGTACCACTACGTGAACCGTAGATGCTGATGCTGTAATAGATTAGCACTACAGGTCAGAGATACAATACAGATGGACGCTCAGGGTCATCAGCACTGCTTTCTCTTACTTTCTCTAAGTCTGTGTTGGAACAGATTCAATTTCCTTTCTCTTACCATAATCTTACCCTTGCTACTGTCTCTATCTGTAATACCTCCAACTTCTGTTGATGCATGTCTGTGTGTGTGTTTATCTTTCTCTCTCTCAAGCAGGAGCAATCCTCAGGTTGACAGGTATTTAATGCCAATTTTGGCCTCAGTACTGTCTTCACAGAACCATAGTCCTCCTTCACAATGTATGCTCATACATTGTAGACATTGTAGTGACCTCCATGTCCTAGTTATTTTTCCCTCCTTCACTTTTTTCAGTTGGCTGTTTTTAAGTTAAGTTTATAGATGTTTTATTATTTTTACTAGTATGTGCGTGTTTGGTAAAACTTAACTTGAACCCCTAAAGTATTTTAGTACTACTTATATGGGTAGTGTTACTAGTATTACCACTTATGAGGATAAGCCACTTCTTTTTATATGGATAAACAGATGGTTCAAGGAAAGTTTCGCTGAGTTTTGGTCTTTTTCAGTTGTCATTTTGAACATCCCATACTTCACGAAGCTGAATTTTATGGATGTGGCAAGGACGACTTACCTTAGTTCATAATATGAGGCTTTATTTTTGTTTAAGAAAACAAAAGCATAATAACACAGTCTGGTAACATTCATGTTGTGTGTAACATAACTGATGTAGTATTTATAAGTTTATATGTTATATGTTTATGTCCATACCTTAAAAGACTGTGTGTTGGGGATAGTGCCAGTCATCCAGATATCGACTGATATTTCACAGTCTTTGTGTCGGTATTTGGGTCATTCTACAGGAACGTCCAATTTTGTGTCCCTAGGGTTTACAGATATATTACACTTAAAAAACATGTTAGCGTTGCTATTTTAAAATAAAACAATGTTATTTTAACAATTACACCTTCTTGAGCCTCAATTTAGCAACATTAGTTTTTAAATCAATTATATAGAATTGCAAGTACCCCAGAAGAGCTCGTCCTCACAGTCATGTGTAAAGGGTGAGTGAAATTTTGAAGAAAAAAACAGCAATTTTTGCAATATTAAGTACAATAATCCATACATGACGATGGATTATATACATTAAATTAAATAAAGAAAACAAATGCCAAATAAATATTATGAAATATATAATGGAAGTTCCCCAGGAGTCGAGTCACTGGTGTTACCGCGTAAGATAAAAACCTCTTATTTTGAAATAAAAATCACACTGATGACATCACTTGACTTCTTGTACCTGTTTTCTGAGGATCTATGAAGAAAAGCACATGGTGAGTCCACTGTGTCTTTTCAGAGACCAGATATTTTCTCATTAAGCTGATGATTTCATATGAAGCTTTTAGCTGAAGTCACTGGTGTGACCGACTTTATTCTGAGGTCATTGTGAAAAAATAGAATACAGATGGATTAAATTCCATATTTTAGTGGATGTTCGATGATTGACAACATGTGGTTTGATGTTCTGTAGCAGCCATTTTGTATAATGCATTTTTCATTAAAAATGTCTCTGGTGTTACCTTTATTATGTGTAACACCAATGATGATCAGTAACACCAGTGACTCCTGTGGAGAGATAGAAAAGTGGACGTTTCTGTAGAATGACCCATTTATTTACCCAGCTGTGATCATTATAACTTGAGAATCCTGCATTTATTAAGCCCACATTACACCCTGATGCTTAACCTTGATTGCTTCTGCCTGTGTGTATCTATTTTCTTGCAGACCAATGGAATGAACGGAATCCAAAGAGAAGCACAATGGAAAGCAGACCCCTTGAACTCGCTCACCTCCGACCTGTTTTCCTCCACATCCTGGCTGAACACCAATTCCCTGTCACGGAGCAGCTCCCTCCACACCTCATCCTCCAGTTCCATTTCTTCCTCGTCCACCTTGCCTGCCTCCCTGTCCCTGGATTCCACATCTCTGTTTTCCCTGCAGACCCCAACAGCGGCTCCACTCCCCAACGCCTTCGCCTCTTTGCTGGCCCCTCCTCCACCTTCCCGCAGCCGCTCGCAGGAAACCCTCCGCTCCTCCCCGAACCCTTTCCTGTCTGACCTCCAGCCGAGACCCAACAGCACCAACCCATTCACCAGCACTCTGGCCGCACCCCAGCGCCGCTCACTCACGCCCGACTTCTATGCCCAGCAGCAGGCCGAGGCGTCCAAGCCTGCCTTCCCCAGGCCTGGATCAGCCTTGGGCCACAGCGCCACCCTCCCCAACTCATTCTCCAGACCTCCACTCACAGCTCCAGCTCCCGCATCAGCGCCACCAAAGCGCGCCCAGCAGTGGGTCACCTTTGACGACGATTCGGACTTCACCAAATCAGGAAAAGCTCCAGCAACAGCAGAAGCGACAGGGCCTTCTCTGCTGTCTTTGTCCTCCAGCGCAACATTCCAGCAGCCCCAGAGCATCTCTGGCTTTGACTCTCACAGCAACTGGGCGATCCCTTCCAACATAGCATTCCCAACACTGCCCCCTCCCGTCCCAGTCAGGACTAATCCCAACGTCACCACAAGGAACCCTACGATCCCCGGCAGAACCAACGAGTTCACAGAAAGATGATGATAATATATTGTGTAACGCTCGACTGAGGTGTGCGTGGGAAAACAAGTGGAATATAATTCTGTATTTGCGTATGGTTTGTATAAAAGTGTGCTGTTTCTGAACTGTTGAGTTGTCCTGCTGAAATGGCTCAGTCACTTCTTTTAACCCAGAGCAGGCCTAAGTACAACACAACACACTCCTGTTATCTTTAAATCATGGTGGGCAAAGAACTGGTGCCTGTATCTGTACACATATTTATGAATACGTAGACACGCACACAGCTGTACGTGAAATACTGTGCAATATTTTAGCGTTCTTTGGCCAGATGCTTCTTATCACGTATAATATCCTTTAATTTTATGCATATTTTTGGCATTAAGCGTTTAAAAGATAGTTGGAAAGTTGCAAAATTGCAGATGTCTCCTTGGGAACATAACTGTTTTGCACATTATACTGGATCTTCGACAGAATCTTGAAAGGAGAGAGCCATTTCCTGCAGCACCTTTTAATGCGGCCTCTAGAGTTTTAACGATAATAGTTGCAGGATTTGGTGGTTCTTTAAACCCGTCGCATAATTTCTCTCTCATTATGAATGTATGTTTAGTCTGTTATATTGTCTACATTTTTACCACCCTGTGTGGTGGCAGCTTACGTCACTGTGCTTTCTGGATGGTTACACTCGCTGTGTCTGATCATACAGGCCCACTCTTCTCTCTGTACTCTCTTGTATCTCCAGACCAACGTGCTAAGTATATAAGTTGTGAATATATATATTATTATAGCCTACATAGTGAATTGTATGTTTTTTTTTCCCAGTATGAAAAATGTAAACTAGTCTAAAATGTGTACATATAATTTTTTGTTCTTAATATATACCTGCCATACTGGTAATGCACTGAAAAGCTCTATCCTTTAGGTCTTCAAGTGTCTGTTGAAGCCAGAGTTTTTGAGTTTTCAGGTTTATGATGAGACGGCATATCTGTTTATCTGTTTTCCTGGCATGAGGGCTGTATCTGTGCCCCTTTTCCCTGAACAGCGGTTGGTTCTTGTGTTTCATCTGTTCCAAAGCTTTTAACAGTGCTACTGTACTTTTAATGAATGTGCTTGTTTTAGTGAGTTCTGGTGTCTTCGATGCCGAGATGAGGGACCCTCGCCGTAGCCTAAAGCTGTGGGGGTGTATTCATGGTCGTGCTTTTTTCTCAGTGAGCTGGTACTTCGCTTTCAGTTCGGGGGTAAAGTTCTTCAAATATACACCGATCAGGCATAACATTATGACCACCTCCTTGTTTCTACGCTCATTGTGCATTTTATCAGCTCCACTTACTATATAGGTGCACTTTGTAGTTCTACAGTTACAGACTGTAGTCCATCTGTTTCTCTGATACTTTGTTAGCCCCCTTTTACCCTGTTAGGACCCCCATGGACCCTCACAGAGCAGGTACTACTTGGGTTGTGGATCATTCTCAGCACTGCAGTAACACTGGCGTGGTGCTGGTGTGTTAGTGTGTGTTGTGCTGGTCTGAGTGGATCAGACACAGCAGTGCTGCTGGAGTTTTTAAACACCTCAGTGTCGCTGCTGGACTGAGAATAGTCCACCAACCAAAAATATCCAGCCAACAGCGTCCTGTGAGCAGCGTCCTGTGACCACTGATGAAGGACTAGAGGATGACCAACACAAACTGTGCAGCAGCAGATGAGCTATCGTCTCTGACTTCACATCTACAAGGTGGACTGACAAGGTAGGAGTGTCTAATAGAGTGGACAGTGAGTGGACAGTGCTTAAAAACTCCAGCAGCACTGCTGTGTCTGATCCACTCGTACCAGTGCAACACACACTAACACGCCACCACCACGTCAGTGTTACTGCAGTGCTGAGAATGATCCACCACCCAAATAGTCCCTGCTCTGTGAGGGTCCATGGGGGTCCTAACAGGATAAAAGGGGGCTAACAAAGTATCAGAGAAACAGATGGACTACAGTCTGTAACTGTAGAACTACAAAGTGCACCTATATAGTAAGTGGAGCTGATAAAATGGACAACAAGTGTAGAAACAAGGTCATAATGTTATGCCTGATCAGTGTATGTATTCTTTTGTGGGGGGAAATACTGTGGCCAGTGCTGTCTGTCTATGTGTGTGTATGTACGAGTGTGTGAACATATGTGCTCATGCTGTAGGGGTGAGGGGGCTACTCTTTGTTTTTGATTTGTCAGAGCTGGCCTAGAGGTTAGATTGGTCAGCGAGTGCAGTTTAGCATTCGTTCTCCTGGTTTCGACTAAAGCGAACAGCCTTTCGAATACATGCAGGAGGCCTTTAAGCATGTCTAATCACGCACAGTAGGAAAGCGTACCAGTTTCAGTTGTTCGACTAGTTAGCATTTACCTCTGCTAACACTATCTAACTGATGCGCAGTGTTGTCAATGACCTCTCTGTACAAAACATTACAACGAGAGGGGAGAGTCTATCCTGTCTGTAGTGACAGCTTTCTGACTGCAGCGCATTCCACACTGTATTGCTCCATTTTGATGTGGTGATTTGCTCTCAGGCACTGATTATTTTTGTGTTGGTTTTGGGTATTTGGTGATGTAAATGTCTGTGTTCATTATGCTACATCAACTTTTTGTAGCCTACATGTATTGGTACTGCTGCGATTGCAGTATGGTACATCATACTTCGGTCATTCTCTAGTCCCAAGGCTGCGTATCAGTATGCTTTTAGTTCTTGTTCCCTTCGCTTAACCAGAAGAGAGCATCTCTATGTACAGATGCAACCTGAAGGCCGACTCCAGCGTACATGGTCCTCTCTCCATCTTTATAGTGAGTGTCATTTAGGCTCTACTGTGACGTGACGCGTTTCATTTGTATTTAAATTTAAGTGCGTGGATATAAAGGAAAGGTATTTCATTCTCCGCGTTCACGCCTGCAGCCTACAACACTTGAAAAGGCCCCCGGAGGGAGAAAAACAGAGGAAGAGGAAATTCTTTGAGATGCAGGCCAAGTTTACATGTAGCTGTGAATGAATGCAGTGTCTGAAATTCAGTCACAGGCCAGTTAAAGTGTCAAATAGTCAGAATGATCATTTTAAGACACAGCATGAAATAATCAACACAGTAAAGCAGAGTTGTCCATTCCAGGGTATCAGGGTCTAAGAAAGTCAGCCAGCAATTTTATGTATTTTATGCAATGTGGGGGGGGGGTGTTGACCTTTACTGAAACTGCTCAATTATGAATATAAAAATGTCTCCTAAATCTGAAAATAAGAGGGGAGGGAGTGGGCCAATTCATTTTCCCCCTTCAGCTGTTGGAGATGATGTAACCACTGGAAAAGTAAAGCATTACATGTACTGTTCAGGTTGTATTCAGCTAACAAAGACAACATTCGGTCTACGTTACTAGCCAGTGCTTACGTCATGCAGAGGTTCTATAGGAAACTATTAACTCCTTTCTGTGAGGTTGACGTTCCTTTGTAGCTTTAGCTCGGTAGTGAAGAGAACCCTGTGGTGTTATCCGTAATCTATGTATTCACACAAACCCTGACTGCGATTCAGTACTTAGTATTCAATCTGTGATTTAAGTGCATATCCAAATGCACAGATGTATGGACTAATTGGTGTTGTACGTATGCAATAATAAATGTAAATGGACATGTATTTTTTTGGTCTCTGGATATTTTTGACCTGTGTGTCGGTACGTTCTCTGAGAGTGAGAATGGTGGATTGGGGGAGTTGATGTCAAAAAGAGTCGACTCCTCGATTCGAGGCGGACTCGATTCCACACAGTGACGCTCACGTTTGACTAAAGCTACGTTCACATATCAAGCCTCATTTCTCAAATCCGACTTTTTGCTCAAATCCGATTTGTCTGACACGATGGTTCACACTTGTTTAGGTAAGTAATTCAAATCTGTCATTAATGTGAACGAACCGGTGTCCTGAAATGACCCGCATGAGCACATCCTACTCAGTAACGTCACGTGAATGAATCACGTGCATCATCAGCACAAACTAACGAGCAGAACCAGCTTTGCTGAGAAGATAATTAACTCTGATCAGCTCTCAGCTTCATTATTAGAGCGAGACGAAGGAGAAAAAGGTGAGGTGAGCTGCTTTTCCACCATTTACAGGCGTTAACTTCTGTTCGGCGCTGCTGCCATGGTAAATGAAATCCGATCTGAGCGTCACATTAAGGTCGTATGGCCACGAAGCGGATATGAAAGTGGCTCAGGTCGGATTTGAAAAGATCAGATTTGTGTCCACACAGCCCTGAAAACATCAGATCTGAGTCACATTAGGGCAAAAAAATCAGATTTGGCCACTTCAACCTCTTGATGTGAACGTAGCCTAAGGTATTTTGCTGTCACTAGATTCTAGATACTCTACAGCTAACACAACTTGTGGAAAGCAAAGACAAATTTTGTAAACTTTAGTATTTTTTTTTTAATTTAGTAGTAAGTTAACATCTAACGTTACCCATCTGATCAGGTAGAACATGGCCCTGTTAGCCAGTTAGCTCTTCAAAATCAATTGCTAATGGCAAACATAATTAAAATTGTTCTATTTATTTTTGCCTTATTTGTGTTCTTTTCTGTGTCTTGGTTTTTTTGGAATCGAAATTACTGTGTGGAATCGACTATATCGATTACCGTCACTGGGAATCGGAGTCGACTCTGGAATCGAACAGCCCTGGCGAGAACGGCGTTTGTGTGGCCCCGTTTATAACAGAGAATACGGCTCTCTAGTGACTTAGTGTTCCCCGGATGTTGCACTGCAGTACACAGAGGAAGCTGGGAGTAAACACAACCGGCTACAGAGGCTTTTAGCCGCCGATAACGACTCGTTTCAGCAAGTTAAACGTTTTAATGTCCTTCTACGGCTTTTTATAACCTTCGTCGCTGCTTCAGAGTTGAACGCCTGTTCCGGAGCTGAGCGCTGAAGCAGGAGGGGCTGCAGAACTTTCTAGCAGCGGTGGGGGTGAGCAAACAGGTACCATGGCAACGAGGGCGAACTGTGGTGGCTGAACGTTTTTACCTCAGTTAGTTTATCACAAAGTCCTCATTTCGCTTTCTGGCTTCATCTTCGTCCGCAGTCATGGTCCAGATTCACGTTAAACGAGGAGAGGAGAGCCAGTTTCTCCTCAGCACCACCGTGGACGAGTCCGTCGGGACGCTCGTCCGGCGAGTTACCGAGATCTACAACGGCAGACTGAAAGTGGACCGGATCTGCTCTGGTGATTCAAAAGAACTGATCCAGCCGGAGGAATGTACGACGGCGCTTCAGGGCCACTGTTAATAAAACAACAGTAGACTTGGAGAATGAAGGCGTGATATTTCGAGAAAAAAAGTCGTGATATTTCGAAAAAAAAAGTGATATTTCGAGAAAAAATCGTAGAATTACGATGTTAAAGTGGCATTAATACCAGGGAAGGTCAATATTGTGGCCAAAGGCTTTGCGAAGGGAAGCGGCACCTCCTCGTGTTAAATGAGGGGCGGTGAGTTGGTGGAGTTCTACTTTCATATCGATTCACCCATAAAGAAACACTCAGTCTCCCTGTCTCTCCTGCACATCAGCACCAGCCTGTTATTAGTATAAGAACCGGCTGAAACGGCTGAGCAGGAAACTGTGTTTATCTAGAATAAAGAGCCAGACGGACTCGGAGGAAACTGTCTGTCTGTGTTGTTGAAGGAGAATCTCAGGCAGGGTCGTCTACACGGCTATCGGGGCTCCATCTCCCCCCATTCAAAGAGGGCATGAAGTTTCACAGACAGTGAGAATGATGATCAGAATGATCCACAGAGAGACAGGAGTGAGTGGAGCTCCGGCGCCAGTACAGCAACCGAGACCCCAACGCGTTATGGCAGCCCCCCTACAGTTAGCCCCCCTACAGTTAGCCCACTTTATCCTCCAGATATTACAACTTTTTTTCTCGAAATAGTACGACTTTATTGTGGAAGTCTACTATTTTTATTTTTATTAACAGTGGCCCTAAAACATCAGAGTAAGAATGTTGGGTGAACGTGTGTGTGAATTTTGTCTTTTTAATTTAGGGGAAAATGCCCTGAATGAAGGACAGAAGGCATTATAGTGTGTTTACTGTGTGTTTACTACAGTCTGTAACTGTAGAATTACAAAGTGCACCTATATAGTAAGTGGAGCTGATAAAATGGACAATGAGCATAGAAACAAAGAGGTGGTCATAATGTTATGCCTGACCGGTGTAAGTTGTTACAGTAATCCTGTAGAACTTAATGTAGTATTACTGTGGTTCTCATAAGAGACTGTAAGTATGACTCAATATTCTGTTTGCATGCTTCCCCAGAAATCCCAGAACTCGCAGATCATGGCATCACACTTCCTCCCAACATGCAGGGCCTGACAGAGGATCAGATCACAGAGCTAAAACTGACGGATGAATGGGAGGTGAAGTGCGTCCCTAGTGGAGGCGCAGAGTTTAAGAAGGACGAAATTGGTCGTAGGAATGGACACGGTAAGTCTACCGTAGACTTTGTGCTACCTACTAGAACTATTCTCTGCATTTACCTCCAGCAATTCAGTTGAAACACACTCTTCTTTTCATTCAGCTCCCAATGATAAGATGAAGAATGTTTTGAAGAAAACTATGGAAGAAGCCAAAGCTTTAATATCTAAAGTAAGTAATTTGCTCCAACTTACACTGATCAGGGATAAGATTATGACCAGCTCCTTGTTTCTACGCTCATTGTCCATTTTATCAGCTCCACTTACTATATAGGTGCACTTTGTAGTTCTACAGTTACAGACTGTAGTCCATCTGTTTCTCTGCAGACTTTGTTAGCCCCCTTTTACCCTGTTCTTCAGTGGTCAGGACCCCCATGGACCCTCACAGAGCAGGTACTATTTGGGTGGTGGATCATTCTCAGCACTGCAGTAACACTGACGTGGTGGTGGTGTGTTAATGTGTGTTGTGATGGTACAAGTGGATCAGACACAGCAGTGCTGCTGGGGTTTTTAAGCACTGTGTCCACTCACTGTCCACTCTATTAGACACTCCTACCTTGTCAGTCCACCTTGTAGATGTAAAGTCAGATACGATAGCTCATCTGCTGCTGCACAGTATGTGTTGGTCATCTTTTAGTCCTTCATCAGTGGTCACAGAACGCTGCCCACAGGACGCTGTTGGCTGGAAATATTTGGTTGGTGGACTATTCTCAGTCCAGCAGTGACACTGAGGTGTTTAAAAACCCCAGCAGCACTGCTGTGTCTGATCCACTCAGACCAGCGCAACACACACTAACACACCACCACCACGTCAGCGTTACTGCAGTGCTGAGAATGACCCACCACCCACATAGTACCTGCTCTGTGAGGGTCCATGGGGGTCCTGACCACTGAAGAACAGGGTAAAAGGGGGCTAACAAAGTATGCAGAGAAACAGATGGACTACAGTCTGTAACTGTAGAACTACAAAGTGCACCTATATAGTAAGTGGAGCTGATGAAATGGACAATGAGTGTAGAAACAAGGAGGTGGTCAGAATGTTATGCCTGACCGGTGTAGGCTGAACTGTTCAACTGCTGGCTTAGTGAGTGTGTGCTGAGAACATGTAACCTGTATTGTTTTCTTTTCTCTTGAAGAAACAAGTTCAGGCGAATGTGTGTGTGACCATGGACATGGTGAAAGAGGCTCTGGACCAGTTGCGAGGGGCAGTTATGATAGTGTACCCAATGGGGCTTCCACCACACGACCCAATCAGGATGGAGTTTGAAAATAAGGAGGACCTTTCTGGAACACAGGTATCTGGCAACTATTGGAGCATATTAGAGGCTCAGCCTTGGATAAGAAGTGATAAAGACACCAGGGTTTGGTAATCAACCCCTGGATCAATGTTAGGGCTACAGTTATTTATTCGCGCTGACATTTTATTAGATGTCATCCAGCATTTTGGTTTTTAAGCTTGAATCAGTAGAACAGTCTAGTCACTGAGGGATTTTCATAGCTCTCTGCTCTTTGATCCATTTTGTTCTCCACTGAAATTCTGGCATCTGCAGTCGGTGTTTAAATCCAACATGATTTGGAAATCACAGCGTAATTTTCTTTCATACTGTGGCATCTTTTCTAGTGAGACACACTATTAGGGAGGATCTGTGAGCTAGCTGAACATTTGGCTCGATGAAAGGAGGGGGTGGAGAAGGGGGATTTAAAACGTAATATTATTGGGTAATACTACAGGGAGATTCACTCGAAAGAGGCCCCGAATATTCTGTAATAACTTTTGGTAGGATGAAGCAATCTGAACCAAACAATGTGCAATGAGCTCCTCAGTATATGGAGCATCGAACAAGCCGGGATGCCCCTGCGTCGGAGAGATGAGGTTGGCGCCGAGCAGCCGTCACGGCGTTTAACCTCCGTTTGCAACTTCCAGGTGCGTACCCCTGTACCTCTTCACTCAGTCACTCGACTTCTCATCAGGATGGTGGTGTACAGTATTGAGCAGCGTGTCTTCATGGTGTGAACCCATTGGGTCGCCAATTCGTTTAAGCAGTGTCAGAGTGAATTTAGGAAGAAGGGGCCTCTTTCGAGTGAATCTCCCTGTATTTTCCCTGCCTGCAGGTGTATGGCCCCAGTACAGTCTGGCTGCAGACATGCACTCTCAGCCAGATGCACTCTCAGCCCCAGTGACGTCACGTGCACATGCACTCTCTGCCACAACAGCAGAAGCAGCACAACGGCTTAATCCATTTTTCATCCATAACACAGCTAGGAAGTTACATTTAATGTTCCTCCCTGTTGAAAAAAATCATAGAACCCAGTAAAAGTGTCTGTTGGTTCCTGGTGGTGTCCAGTAGTCACTAATGATATTCTGTGTTTTCCTAATGGGTTGATATCAGTGTAAAGAGTTCAGATCATTTAATCAGGTGTTTTAGGACTGATTCTAGATACATTAGATCATTTCCTAGTGGTCTCTAACGACAACCATCAAGCCAACTCCCTTTAAGAAGCAAAACTAACAGATCTAATTGTCTTCAGCATGGCTTTCATGAGTTTCAGTAGCCTGTTTGTTTTTTCAGCGAATAAACCCGACATTCATGTTTTGTCGTCGTGGTTTTATTTTGAAAGTTTCCATATATAATTACCTTATTATCAGTATGACAACGTTAATTTATCGGTTTTCTGAAGAAAACCTCATCTGCATATTTTACATTTTTCATTTTTTTACATAATTTGAAAAGGCCTGTTGTCCTTTACATTGTGTGTACATTTCATGATGAATGGACCAAAAGAAACGATTCAAAATGACTTGGAAAAAAGTCTGGTTCTGTTGACTTGCATTAAAAGTAGAGTAGGTTTTTTCCTTCTCCCGTAAAGTTCTCATTTTGGAGATACGAGGTTTTCTTCCGACCAAAGCAAAATGTTCAGTGTAACTCTTTTTGCCCAACAGTTTGCGTTTCACTGTTTTTCCTCATAAAACTGACAGAAACACTGTCGTGGCAGAGCGTGACGTCATTAACAGGCTGGCGGTGCATGTCAGGCTGAGAGTGCAGCCAGACCCTTCTCAGGCATGGTGACAGAATCAGAGCTCAGAAGAGATACATCAGTCAAAGATCACAGGAAAACAAGAATTTTGTCTTTTATCTGTTTTGGTATGATGAATCGTGCTTGATATGACCAGGAACAGAAACTAAAAAAGTAGGAAAAGGTACAGAATTCAGTCACCAGAGCTCCACCTCCGTTGCCTGATCACCACTCCCTCCTGCCTGACCTGATGATGCTCTCCTGCTCGTCAGCCTGCATGACTAGAATCACCACAGTGGAGCCACCAGGGTGTGGCACTGATCATGAACCTTATCTCTCACTTTGACAGAGAACCTATGAGATGGTTCTTACTTCACATCAATCAGAATATTTCTGAAAGATGTTCAAGTTCTAAGCTTCTTTGTTGTCATTCTCTCTTCATCCGGGGTCGACCAGCGAAGGATGGATTCCTCCCTTGAGCCTGGGTTCCTCTCGAGGTTTCTTCCTCTTACTCCTACGGAGTTTTCCTCGCCACCGTTGCCTCTGGCTTGCTCATGGGGGGCTTGGACCCAGATTCAGTTCCTTACGTCTATACATGGACTACTTTTTATTTTTCTTTTCTTTTATTTTTATTTCTTTTGATAACTCTTCCATAAACTGCTTTCCTTCCATAAACTGCTTTTCTGTAAAGCTGCTTTGAGACAACACTAGTTGTAAAAAGCGCTATACAATAATGTTGTTGTTGTTGTTGTTGTTGTATGGAATTCACTGTAACAGCTGATAAAAATGGATGCAGTAGATTCTAACACAGTGCATTCTCTGAAGGCCTCTCTGCAGGTGATCCCAGAGGAAGAAGCTCAGCTATGGTGGGCATCCAAAGAGATGCAACGTGGCAAAAAGCTCCAAGATTATGTTGGAAAAAACGAGAAAACAAAGATTGTGGTGAAGATCCAGAAAGTGAGTGTCAGCCGTGTTCATGCTTTCAGCAGGATCTGGGTTTCAGCCGCTGGCTGGCTGCTATTCATATGCTTATATTTATGTGTTTATTTTCATATTTATACGTTCATGCCTTTATTATTTTCAGTCTTCCTAATTTATTCTGGAGACCCCTTTATTTTATTACTTGTAGTTCTTACATACTACATTACATACCTGCTATTCTTATACTTCACTACGACACAAAATGTAAATACGTAAAATTAAAGCTTTGACCAGAATACCTCAGTGAGCGCGTTTACACGCACTCAATAATCCGATCATAATTGGATTTCTGCAGTTATCCAATTATTCAACTCGTCATGTAAACACCATACTCCGATTGAGAAATCTGATGAAGAGGCTGGATTTTAGCTCAGTAGTCAGATTTCTCAGTGCATGTGAACTCTTACTCTGATTTCTTTCGGATTTCTCAGTCTGTGCATGCGTGAGAATGACGGCAGTAGCACAAATAAACAAGTAGCAAAACACTTTTGGAGCGACGCTGAAACCAAATACATGCTTGACGAAATAAGGGATTCAAATATTCTTCATCTTCTAGATGATGTATGTTCATATTTTTAGCTAAAGTGGCGCGATGTTTGAAAAAAGCTGTGGCATGAAGTTTGAGATCTACATTATGTTTACGTCACATTGTCTTCTGTGAGTCTATTGGCTGGTTATAAAACAGAAATCTGATTACTGCCTGACTCATGTAGACCTAGAGTTTCCCTATTATCTGATTACTAAAGAGCATGTTAAACGTGTTGATCAGATTACTGACAAAATCTGATTTTCTGCAGTTATCAGATTATTAACTGCATGTAAACACACCCAGCGTTAACCTTAGTTGTTCTGTGTTTCACAGAGGGGTCAGGGGGCACCAGGAAGGGAGCCTTTGGTTAGCGAGGAGGAGCATAAACAGATGATGTTGCACTACTACAGGAGGCAGGAGGAACTCAAGGTGAGGCTCTGGGTGAAGCTTCTTTATGCATTAATATAACTTGCTGAAAAAATTACAGAAAAAATTATCCTAACACCAAAAATCACAGTCACAGTCTTTCACAGGCATCAGCTTCACTGCCTCTTATTCACATAGTTGACTCTGGGATGTTTTTCCTCCTTTGCAGAAACTGGATGAAGCCGATGACGATTCCCATTTGCAGTCCGAATGGTCAGACAGGCATGCTTTAAAGAGGCAATTTCAGGGACTTACCAATATCAAATGGGGTCCAAGATAACTGGACAGAAGTAACTTTGTCTCAAAAATGTGGGTATTTTACTCAAATGAAGATTCTGATGCCTTATTTACCCACAAACAAGATTTTGTCACATGCTGTGAATATTAAAATCTACCTTTTTTAAAAACATTTTCACAAGATTGTAAATACAGCTCCGATGACTGTTTTGTGTCATGGAAATATGACGTTTAAAGGCCTCGAATAAGTATTAATTTAAAGAGCTCTCTTCCAAAAAATGCTGAAAGAAGGATGCAACACATTTCCTCTCTTTGTCTGCGATCCTGGCACTCGCTCCATTGAAATCCGAGGCTGTTTACACGCAGAACGTTACTGTTCAGGCTCCAGGGCTGTGCGCTTCATCCAGGGAGAGCGATTGTTGAACATTCCAGTTCCTCAAGGCCAAATGAACAGCAACGGGATAGTGAGGTGTGGCGCTGTGAGTCGATCAGCGAGACAGACTTGGGTGCCACGCTGCTCTCCATGACTCCCTTAATAGTCAAAGCACGTTAGTTTCTCTTTGGTTATATTTGTTCTGAGAAATAAGGCCTCCTTTGTTTAAAAGTGTGAAATAAAGGGTCATTGATTTAAAGGTATGCTTCCCTTGTCCTTTAACACCAACACTCGACACTTATTCAAACTTTTTTAATTCAGTATTAAATAACTTAATAAGAAATATATGAAAGGTGCATAAGTAACGTGTAATGACCACACAGTGATCGTCACCTGAGGATCCATCTGACTTCCTAAATGACTTGACAGCAATACGTGTACATGCATTTATCCATTACAACAAAGCAAAGGAAGCAAACCTGTCAAAATAATGTGCATTGGTCAGTGAAGAGTACAGGAGGTACCATTCAGGTACGCATTCATCCTGATCTCTTGGATGACCATCTCCCGTCGTTCCAGCCTCTCCATCAGCTCTGCTGCTTCAGTGGTATATGTCATTTCCTCCCAACAATACACTGTCCTGCCCACGTCTGACATCATAGAACTGTCCATCAATGGCTCGGACTCCTCCTCGTCATCAGTGTCATCATCATCATCATCGTCATCTTCAATTTTTGGTTCCTCTGGCTGTTTCTTCTTCAGACAGCCTGTTCCTTGAAGATGCCTGGTGCATGTCAGCTTCACGGAGATGGCCAGCAGAATGACAAGCAGCCCCAGACACACGCCGGAGACGAAGAGCAGGCCCGCCATCTCAGCATGGTCTACAAGATAAAAGTGCACTTTCATTCACGAGAGCTTGGTCATAGAACAATTAGTTCAAAACTTCATTATGTGAGACTTAACAGTTGGCAGCGGTTTAATAATAGGCAGTGGTCCAGTTCAGTTCTTAGGGTGGGACGAGTGTTGCTCTTTGAGCGACACCAGCTGATCAGATGTAACTATTATGGATACTTATTACAATAATGGCCCGACATGGTTGTTGTGGACATGTTCACAATTTGAAATCGCCCATGAAGAAACGTGATATATGGACATAAATCATAAAGAGTCAGGTGTATATATTAAAAATTGTATTTACACATACACCAATGAGGCATAACATTATGACCACCTCCATGTTTCTACACTCATTGTCCATTTTATCAGCTCCACTTACTATATAGGTGCACTTTGTAGTTCTACAGTTACAGACTGTAGTCCATCTGTTTCTCTGTGTACTTTGTTAGCCCCCTTTTACCCTGTTCTTCAGTGGTCAGGACCCCCATGGACCCTCACAGAGCAGGTACTATGTGGGTGGTGGGTCATTCTCAGCACTGCAGTAACACTGACGTGGTGGTGGTGTGTTAGTGTGTGTTGTGCTGGTCTGAGTGGATCAGACACAGCAGTGCTGCTGGAGTTTTTAAACACCTCAGTGTCACTGCTGGACTGAGAATAGCGTCCTGTGACCACTGATGAAGGACTAGAGGATGACCAACACAAACTGTGCAGCAGTAGATGAGCTATCGTCTCTGACTTTACATCTACAAGGTGGACTGACAAGGTAGGAGTGTCTAATAGAGTGGACAGTGAGTGGACACAGTGTTTAAAAACTCCAGCAGCACTGCTGTGACTGATCCACTCATACCAGCACAACACACACTAACACACCACCACCACGTCAGTGTTACTGCAGTGCTGAGAATGACCCACCACCCACATAGTACCTGCTCTGTGAGGGTCCATGGGGGTCCTGACCACTGAAGAACAGGGTAAAAGGGGGCTAACAAAGTACACAGAGAAACAGATGGACTACAGTCTGTAACTGTAGAACTACAAAGTGCACCTATATAGTAAGTGGAGCTGATAAAATGGACAATGAGCGCAGAAACAAGGAGGTGGTCATAATGTTATGCCTGATCGGTGTATTTAGAATAAATGAATATATACGGGATATTATAGGGATATACTATCCCTATAACTTCTGAGTTTGAGTTTGCACATTCATTACATATTTACATGTTGGAGGCTTGGGACAACTCATGAAAACAGAAAGATCTGAGTATAAATACTATATGAGAGTTTTTTGGTGTGATCACCAAAAATTGTGCCACTTTTGCTGAGTTCACCCTATAAAATGCATAATTCAGTAGTTAAGATGTAAACAAAGCCATTCAGAGAGGTTAGGTTTAATAAGCTTGTATGAAGTGAGATATACAGATTTGGGGAAAATACACACTGAAACTCTTAAATGGGTAAACGTCAATGTGCAGGGATGTTTAAATGAATGAGTAGCTGATGTGTGGAGAGAGAAAATATTTGCCTCTACCTTTAATGTAGCCATATGCCATAAGAGAGCTGCTCAAAATAATTCCATTGTTTTCTGGTAATCTGGAATCTCTGACATGTGGAAAGTCCCCTAAGAATAATGAGGTATAAACATTATACACACTTATTTACACAGTCATGTGCTGTAGGTCTCCAAGTTATGGAACAGCACGTCATTACCTGCCTTGGTGGTCTCATGGGGAGCCGAGGTAGTTTTGAAAAAGTCAGGGTCAGCCTCTCTGAGCAAACTCTGGGGAACTGACAGAGCAAAAGTGTCCACTAAGTAGAGGTCAAATATTACTTCAATCAAAGTAAGTCACAAGAAAATGGAATCAGGACTAAACAAGTCTATTCTTCATCTTCATGACTATAAATACTTTTAGACACTAGACCAGAGGTCACTAATAGGCGGACTGCGGTCTGAGTCCGGACCCAGGCGCTGTCCTACGCGGACCTGGACCTACAACCGATAAACTATGGAGAATTATTTAATTTTGAGGGGTGGTCCTATTTTAATCGGCGTAACTTTTCTAGCCTTTACGGTAGCTTTAGCAGCCCGGGAGACTCACAGACCAATCACATGTGTTGTAAAAATCACACGTGACGCTACTCAGCCAATCAGATCTGTGCATTACGATGAGCACTGAGACTCGAGTGAGTGATGCACACACAGGGGAGGGACGAGGCGAGACACAGCAGTCGGAGAAGAAAGTGAGTCAGTGCTCTAAAAAGAGAAAACTGGCAAATATTGATGAAATATTATTGAATTTACTTTATCTGATTTGATATTCAGTTGTTGACTGTATAAGATGTTGATATATCTACTAGGCTACTTCAGTAAACAGTCTATGGCACTGAATCATGATGCAAGTTAGACATTATGATGTTCTGGACCTTCGCTTGAGGAAATTTTCTCTGACTGGACCTTATTGAATTTTAATTAAAGACCTCTGCACTAGACGTTTAAATTGACAATAAGTTATATAGTAAAAAATCCTTTTTAAATTATAATAAAATGAGCATCCACTTTCCCAGTTAGACTATTACACATTTCTGTGAAAGAAAACAGAAAGGCATGAAAGTTGATCTGTAACTCTGTTGTACCACTAAGAAAACTATCAGAGCAAAGACAAACATGACCCAGTCTTAAACGAACCGCAATATCCACTGTTCAAACAGCAGCACAGCACAAGGTTCTGCCTGAGGAACCAAGCTGGCACGGAAGTATAGCATCTCCAGGGCCCTTTCAAACAGAGGCTGATGAGTAATCCTATTCTTCATGTGAAAGTGCCTGATGCCAATCAGCAACAAAGGCCTGGCATTCAAACCAATTGCAGGAAGTCCTACAGGAAGGCCACAACGTCTCCAAATGCCAGGCACATTCCCTGCATCTATTCCTGAACAGTGCTCTGTATTTACTCTGTCATTGTACTTCAGGAAGAAAACGTATGGATAAAACAACAAACCAACATGTTGCAGGCGGAGTCCACATAACGTCTCACTTTCCCACACTCAGAAACAATTCACACATACAAGAGAGCTTCAACAGGCTCATTTTAGGTGGGTATAGGCTCCTTCAGTGGCTCCCAAGTTCCACTGCACAGCATATGTGGTGTTTTTCCTTCTCTAACACAGCTGGGCCCATTTTAGGGGCTGGAGGTTAGGGAACCAGTCTTGTGACCGGAAGGTCGCCAGTTCGCTGCCCTGAGCCGACAGTACGTGACTGAAGTGCCCTTGAGAAAGACACCTAACCCCCAACTGGTCTGAGATCTGTTCCTGTCATTACAGTCATAGTAAAAAAAGAGAGGACTCTGATCTTGGATCAGCACTTCTACTCTGAGATGCTTTGTGGGCCCAGATCCAACCAGTCAGTGTGGGATTGGCCATATTAGAGCAGAGAACACAATAAATATGAGTTCACTTCGTAAGTACAGTCATATACAAAAGTTTAACACCCAGAGTCAAATGAACTGTTCTTGATTTCCTTAACTTAAACCTGGTCATGCTCTACAAATTTTAGTGCATAATTTCTATTTATTTGCTGAATTTAACATTTCAGAAAAAATATATATTGTGGCTGTTAATTCTATTTTTTTCTAAAATTTAAAATTAAAATCTCTTTATATTAACTGACATTGAAAATAAAGAACATTTTAGTTTTTGGATATAGAGTTACCATTTTGGAGATAAATTTTGACAGTGACTATATCAAATGTGATATATCCTTTGCATATGCAACATTTTATGCTTTATTTTTTCTCCTATATGTTAAATAAACAGTAATTGTGCATTAACGGAGGTAGAAGTGTGTTCGATGTATTTACTGTCACGTAGAAAAACAACAAAACTTTTGCATACAATTGTATATAATTATTAACTGATGCTGCACAATATATCAGCTGCACTCCACCTATCAAGCACTGGAGATGGACCACACTAGAACCACCGCTAACCAGATGTTATTTGGGTGGCAGACCATTTTCAGCTACATGAAAGTGGCATGTTATTGTGTGTGGTATTTTTATTTTTCATAAAAGTGTATCAGGCACAACAATGTGGGAGTTTTTCAACACTGTATAAACGGCACACACTTATCTGGTGTACGGTTAAAGACTAAAGCTCATACACACTTTGTGTTAGTCGTGCAACAGTCCTTTCACATTTCTGACCGCAGGACCTCTGTTGACTGGACATGTTTGGTTTTGGTGTAAAAACCCCAGCAGTACTGCTGTGCTGTGCTGTGATACTGTCACACCAGCGCAACAGTGGAACAGAGCTGCTACCACATCACTACCACATCACTGTACTGAGTACTGTCCACCATACAGATAATGTCTGGTCACTGGTGGTCCCAGTCCATCCAGGGATGCCGTGTAGCACGGCAACAGATGAGCTACAGTCACAGTAAACCTACAAAGTGTACTACTGATAATAATAAGTCGATGAAAATCTTCATACCACAAGAGTAGAAGATGGTGAGGTACTTCTTTGTTCCAGGGGCGCAGGGGTTTCTGAAATGCTGATCATCAATGGCAAGCAGGCACCTCTGCTTTCCATAACACACACTTCTCACTGCGTTTAAGGCCCCATGATATAAACACTCTGTTCAACACACATGAACATAAAAAGGATAAAATGCTCACTGACAAAACTCTCCAGAAATATTTCAATCATTTTGGTTGAGAATTTGTTGTTGGAAGAAAACCTCGTATCTCCATTTTTTGTCGTTTTTCAGTTTTTGACATCATTTAAAAATACTTGTGACCCTTTACATTGTGTGTAAATTTCATGATGAACGGACTAAAAGAAATGACCCAAATTTACTTATAAAAAAAGTCTGGTTCCATTGACTTGCATTAAAAGTAAAGTGTGTTTTTTCCTTCTCCTGTAAAGTTACCATTTTGGAGATCAAGGTTTTCTTCCGACAACAGCGATATGCTCCACACTGTTACAAATAAAGATTCTGTGAAGGTACATTTTATATTCATCAAGGTACAAACAGTGTAAATGTTCCCTCAAAGCTACAACAGTGGTTTTAAGGTCTGATTGTGAACCTTAAATTAGTTTTTCCAGGTGAAAAGTTCGTATTTGTACCTTTTCATAACCGAATGTTTTAAACAGAACAGTAAAATAAAAGCCTGGAGACGAGACGGGGTGTGTGGAGTCAGTACAGCTTAGAACATATCATTTGCAGTGGATTATGGTTCAGTTATGTTCCCTGACTAAAGGTACTGAGATGTACCCTTGAGGGTCCCACCCCAGTGACCAGAGGGGCACTGCCCCAGTGACAGTTTAGTACCTTTATTTCTGAGAGTGCAGAAATGAATTACTGGGTAAAACATTACACTGACTGCTGTACTCACCATACGGCGGTGCCTGTTCCTCCTCTGCCAGACAAGCCTCTCTCTCTCCAAGTTCTCTCCCGTACACGGCCCAATAGATGTTCAGCACCTTTGGATACTTACAGTGGAGCAGCATCTGATCTCCCTCACACCTGGTCCTGTTCTTATGCTCCGCTGAGAGGAGAAGACCTCAGCTGGGTTTACAGGGGAAATATTATAGACTGCAGTCAAAAAATATGGGTGCAGTACTCACTGGGTTTGCAGCTGTATGACACATGAAGGTATTTGGGGGTCCCGGGGCAAGGGTCTCGGCCAAACAAATGATGGTGAACCAGAACCTGACAGTGTCTATGGCCCTGGCATTCTGACAGCATCTTCTGGTGGAGAGAAGAATGCAAAGGTGTCTTAGTGTGGAGTTTCAGGGGTACATTTATTTTGCCATTACCTACCATTTACTCCTCTCCTGTGATGGCTGAAGGGGAAGTCCACATTTTTTCTACATTTCTGCAGTATTTGAATTGTTGATGTGAATACAGTCATGGTTTGTTGTGAAGTGGTGCAATGAAGAGCTTGATTTACAGTGGTGGTGTAAAGATCTGGGCACTTTATTTACTATCAAAAACAGCCAATGAAGCTACAAATGTCCTCTGAGTTTTTATATGTAATGTAATCATTTTAAAAGAGTAGTAAAACCAAAAAATACATTTTATTTTCTGACTATTTTAAGACATTTTAGGCCAGTAGTTATTGTTTAACGATAACTCCAATTTAGCCCTAAGAGGAAAACAAAGGATATGGCTCGCTGGTTTAACATTGGCTAAAAAAACATTGCTCAGAAATGGCTTCCTCCACATAATCTTAGTGTACAACACTAGCTGTTTAAGCTATGTTACATAGTGGAAACTGGCCACAGCTAGAATCAATAAAGCTAGAGCGTTTCGCTGTTGATGGAACAAAACCTCATATCTCCAAAATGGTAACTTTACAGGAGAAGGAAAAAACCTACTTCACTTTTAATGTAAGTCAATGGAACCAGACTTTTTTCCAAGTCATTTTGGGACGTTTCTTTTAGTCCATTCATCATGAAATTTACACACAATGTAAAGGACAACAGGCATTTTCAAATTATGTCACAAACTGAAAAATGACAAAAATGGAAATACGAGGTTTTGTTCTGACAGCAGTGATTTCCTCCTGAGACATGGAAGCAGGTTTGTTTTGATGTGATAAAAAAGATTGGAGCGTTTATATTTATGGCATTTGGCAGACGCTCTTATCCAGAGCGACTTAAAATGTGATCATTTTACACAGGTAGGTGAAGGTGGTGTTAGGAGTCTTGCCCAAAGACTCTTATTGGTATAGTGTAGGGTGCTTACCCAGGTGGGGACTGAACCCCAGCGTACATTCTAGAAGGCAGAGGTGTTACCCACTACACTACACCGACCAAGTGGAGCAAATGGTATGATGCATATTGTATAGGCTAGAATTTTAGCTCATTCTGATTTGTCAGAAATGTGATATAGACATAAAGGAGATGGGTGGACCAGTGGAATGAGGAGGGAAATATATATATATATATATATATGTATATATATATATATAAAGTTACCATTTTGGAGATACAAGGTTTTCTTCCGACAACAGTAATATGTATGTATACAAAGGTGTATATATACATATATAAACACACACACATATATATATATATGTGTGTATTTAGGCCAAAATGTTCTCTAATCTCTCTACAAATGTCCGTAATTTGGGCTCAGTTACTCCAGAACAGCTCTCTGACTCAAACCACTCTGACTTGGTTTACATCTTAACAGTTGAATTATTCAGAAAATTTGACTAAATTGCTGGATATTAGCTTCAGGATTAAGATTAGGGCTGATCTGATCTGAGATCTGCAAAAGCACAACTAACTTCTCTGTAAAACCCACAGTACACAGTAAAACCCCCTGTGCTGAATCCACTCTTCCAGCGTTTGTGTCCAGTTGGACATAAATGTAGGTGTTGATCCCAAACTAGAGGAGACATTGGGGTTTTCCAGTATGAGAAAAGAACAGTAAAAACATATGTCTGATCCATCAGCGGTTCAGTGTAATTTGCCATTTAATGTCCTGTTTTTATAAAGTCTTGTTTCTGTAATGTTGTGTTAAGATCTCAGTAACTGATTACACTGATTTTATGATCTCAGTGCTGATCTTAGGATGTCCTGATCCTGTTTTCCTAACTGCCAGACAGCCTAAGCCTATAAAGTAAAGCAACAGGCTTGTTCTGTTCTTCTCTACACTCAACATGAGGCACATACACCTCTATTATTCCACCATCATTTCAGTTAATAATACTGACTGAAAAGCTTTGGTCTCTCCATGCAGGCTGTATTGAGTCAATCAGAGCTGCTGTATCTCATTCATAATTACACAAATAACACATCATTATCGTGTCAGGTGTGGAATAAACAGTGCATCTGAAGGGCTTCTCACCTGTAAGGCTGTGCGCGCGGAGCAGCTGATGTCATTCCCAGTGAGCGCCCCGTCCTGCCCGTAGAAAGCTGCGTGCACGGCGATGGTAGAGTGGCGCGGGCACGACAGCAGCGCACGCTCCCCGTCACGGGCGCGAGCTGAGTGACTGTTTATGATCCTGAACAAGTAGTCTGACAGACGGACACGCACTTTCATCAAACAGCAAAGCTCACAGTAGTGTATGATGAACCGGCTGAGCAGATACTACTCAGATAAAAGGGCGAAGCAAATCAAGAGTCCAAAAACTCATTCATTATAAACACAGCATCTCAATTTATGACTTGCTATTTCATAAATATGACTTAGTATTTCACAATAATGAAAACGTTCTACAGTACTATAATTATGACTACCTCATAATTACGATAGCGTCTCATTATGACTTGCTATCCCATAGTTATGACTTAATAATAATGAGAAAGCTCTCATAATAATGAGAAGGTTGATCATAGTTATGATTTAATATCTCATAACAATTAGTCCCTCATAATTATGAGAAAATATTCTCCAAATTATGAGAAAGTAAGTTTAAAATTATGAGAAACTAAGTCATAATTATGAAATACTAAGTCATAGTTGCGAGAAGGTAAGACATGATTGTGACAGTAAGTCATGATTATGAAATGATAAGTTATAATTATGAGATGCTAAGTCATAATTCTAAAATAAAGTCTTAATTATGAGATGCTAGGTCAGAATTATGTGACTGAATCTCACTATTACGAGATGCTAAGTCATCATTTTGGGAAAGCAAATCATAATTATGAGATACTAAGTCATAATCATGAGACATTTAGCCGTAATTATGAGATGCTAAGTCATAATTATGAGACTGAATCTAATTATTATGAGATGCTAAGTCATAATTGTCATATTAAGTCATAATTATGAGATTGTAAATGATAATTATGACAGTAAGTGATTATCATGAGATGTTCAATCATAATTATGAGATATTTAGTCATAATTATGAGATGCTAGGTCATAATTATGAGACTGAATCGCATTATTAAGAGATGCTAAGTCACAATTATGAGAAAGTAAATCATAATTACGAGATACGATAAGTCATAATCGTGGCACACCAAGTGATTATTGAGGTACCAACTCATCATGATGAGATATTAAGTCGTAAATATGAGATAGGATCTCATAGTTATGAGAAAGTAAGTCATAATTATGAGATACTAAGTCATAAATGTGGCACACCAAGTGATAATAGAGGTACCAACTCATCATGATGAGATATTAAGTCGTAAATATGAGATAGGATCTCATAGCTATGAGAAAGTAAGTCATAATTATGAGATACTAAGTCATACGACTTTCTCATTATCATGACTTACTACATTGCTACATTTTTTTTCCAGTTTCTAAACAGTTTTCCATACTGTGCATCCAGAATATCAGCACAGAGAGTTTATTAGGTCTTCTTCTTCTATTTTAGAGATAATGATTGGTCTAAAAAGACGCTGAGGTGAGGGATGAGAGCAGCAGTACAACAGTACTGATGCTGAGCCAACAGAACAGACTAAACTCAACCCAAAACAGGGAATTATGACCCTGCAAACGGCGAAAGGAGCTTCCTTTGCTCACAAACACTTCAGCAAACGAGACTGTTTTACTAAGACAGGCTGCTACTAATCCAACACAAACGTACTTAGTGTACAGGTAACTGAGTGAACGAGTCACATACCGACTTCATTAAGCTTTAAACACCGTCATATGATCACTGCGCTCGGCATTTCAGAGAGAACTGAAGGCACTAACTTGAGAAGTCGGAGAGTCCGTGCATTTCTCTGCTCCAGAGCAGGAGGACGCTGTAGAGGATTTGAAGAGCCCGCCCGGGTCTGGGGGAACAGCAGCCCGCGTGCTCTGAGGAGGAGCTCATCATACTCGACACCTCGGCTTCTGCATCAAAGCTTCATTAAAGCCCCGCCGGGGGTGGAGTGGGGGGGTTACCAGGAATCCCAATTAAAACGGCAACCAGCGCCTCCCTCACCTGTCAGAGTCTGAGCGCTCAGTAACCGTAACGGCGCGCCTGAGACCCCCTCGACAGACAGACAGACTCTACCCCACAGTCAACGCGCCTCGAGTGCGTTTGGTTTAAACCGGTTCTGAGAGGAAACTCGGGAGAAGAGCGAGCCCGGAGACGGAACATCCGCGGGTGACACACAGACACATGTTTCAGGAGTGACTCCCTGCCAGCAGACGAGGAAATAAGAAGTGCGCCACAAGTGCGAGTCCCTCAGAGCACGCGGCTCAGACCACCCCGCCGAGCCCCCGGGTGGGTCTCCGTGAGAGTTTCCGCTGATTTATAGGAGCTCGCGGGGATAAAGTCGCCGTTCCTGACATATTTAATGTTTTAGAGGAAAAGTGTCGCTCCTGTGAGAGGGGGGCGTGGCGCTGAGGGAGAGTGCTGATCAGTGATTGGCTCAGAGGCGGAGGAGAGTTCACTCTGTGTTCAGCTGGACGCACAGAATAATAATAATAATAATAATATATATATATATATATATATATATAAGTTAAACAGTAATACAAGAAGTTATAAGTATTAATTTAGAATCATATAAGTACGGAGGACCCTCTGGTGACATCCTGCATGAATAAAAATAATGCGTGGCTACGCCTTATTAACGCGTGGGAACGAGATCCTAATGCGTGGCCACGACTTAGTAAGGCATGGGAATGAGATGATTAAGTCATGGCCATGACTTAGTAAGGCATGGGAATGAGATCACGGCTTACTAAGTCGTGGCCATGCATTGTTTTTATTTATATAGGATGTCACCAGCGGGGCTCCAAGATAACAACTTTTTTATCTTTGAGATAACAAGATACATAACTCATTATCTCAAGATAACAACTTTATCTTGATGTCATAAGATGATTAACTTGTTATCCCAAGATAACAACTTTTGTTATCCCGAGATAACAAGATAAGTAACTTGTTATTTCACTACAGAAGTCCAGAGAGACCAGTTATAATTTTTTGGATTGTTGTCTTGAGATAATGAACATTAATAATTGGCAGGTCACATTGATTTATCAGTCTACTCAGGCTTTAGCAGAGCTCAGTAACACTGAGATTAATAACTGATCATCACATTGATTTATCAGTCTACTCAGGCTTTAGCAGAGCTCAGTAACGCTGAGATTAATAACTGATCACATTGATTTATCAGTCTCCTCAGGCTTCAGCAGGAACTTCATTGTTTGCAAAGAATCTATTTTTTCACTTCTTCTTTAGGGTACATTCCACTGATTTTTTAAAATGTTTTTTTTTCTTTTTCCAAATACATGCAGGACAGATGAACACATGCAGGAGGTGTTGTAAGGAAACACCCAAAGAAAACTTAATTTTGCAGATTTAGCACTAATTTTAACATTAATAATATTACATTTAAAAACTCAAAAGACATATTTAGGTTCACAGATAACTCTGGATAGTAAATAAAATGGTTATATTTGCTTTCTATACATTGCAATCCCTGGTTTCTATCACCACCACTGTAAACAAATCACTAAATCACTAAGCTTCCCTACAGATGAACCAGTTTACACTAAAACCACCTACTTTCTTCACTCAATAGTTACTAATAATTGTAAAGAAATTTTGAATAAAAAAAAATTAATTTCCCTTTAAGCACATGTAAATGAATACAACCCCACTTCCAAAAAAGTTGGGACGCTGTGTAAAATGTAAATAATTGTAAATAAAAACAGAATGCAATGATTTGCGAATCTCATAGACCCATATTTTATTCACAATAGAACATAGAACACATGTCAGATGTTGAAAGTGAGACATTTTACCATTTCATGAAAAACATTAACTCATTTAGAACTTGATGGCAGCAACACATCTCAGAAAAGTTGGGACAGGGGCAACAAAAGACTGGAAAAGTAAGTGGTACTAATGAAAAACAGCTGGAGGAGCAATTTGCAACTAACTCACATGACTGGATATAAAAAGAGCATTTTAGAGAGGCTCTCAGAAGCAAAGATGGGCAGAGGCTCACCAATCTGAGAAAAACTGCATCCGAAAATGGTGGAACAATTTCAGAAAAATGTTCCTCAATGTAAAATTGCCAAGACTTTGGATATCCCACCATCTATAGTACATAATATCATCAAAAGATTCAGAGGAACTGGAGCAATATAAAGTACAAAATACAAAATTGCTCAGAAAAACACTAATATTAGAATAAATACAAATAATATTAATACAGTAGGTAGTGATTTTACATGTCAGTGTTTCCGAACCTCTCCTGATAGCAGCCCAGTATTATTTGTAGTGATCATCCAATACCTTACTTGACTAATCAGATAAGATAGATAAGATAAGATATCTTTATTGTCTCTGTACAATGAGATGTCATTTGGAGCAAACCTGTGGATGCCTAATTAAAGGTAAAACTATAGAAGTATAAATGTATTAACACCCTTATAGACTATAATATATAAACTATTAAAATAAATAAAATGCAATGAAGTAAATATACATACAGAATAAAAGAATGAAGTGTCCGGTAGCTTCTGAGAGCAATGTTGGAAGGATCTTGAGCAGAACAATTATGAGATATAGTGTTGAGATGTATTATTGCCAATAGACCAGCCAGACACGTCATTGGCGCCGCCATTTTAGGGCGGTCAACATCGCTGCTGGACTGCATTCAGTACCATTACAGAGCAGCAGTTTAATAAAGATACTGTCCAAAATTACACTATTTCAAGAATATTACTCTCAGAAAGTGGGATAGGATTAAATAACGGAGAAAACACAGAGTTCCACACTCACGTCTGTGTGATGTGTATTGTTTGTGTGGTGTTTGTGTAGATGTGGCCGTGTGGTTAATGAGGCACAGAGAACCTGTTGATGTGATTGTTTTTCCTCTGGTTTTATATTAAGCTTGTTTCATTTAATAGTCTATTCAGGGGGTCTTAACTTTATGTAGTAGTTATTTATTTACAATAATAGTTAAAGCTTTGTAGCTCGGTAAATTATATAATTCCTTAATCTGTGTAGATATTCATAATAGATTAACGTTAGCACCTTCTTACACCAAGTCACAAACCTGAAGACACCTTATTTGCCAGCTTCTTGTTTGAATTTTCCCGTTCTACCTTAAATGGTGCAGCTTCAGGAACCAGAAAATGACAGCTGCACCATTTAAGGTGGAACGGGAAAACTCAGAACAAGAAGCTGGCGAGTAGGAAGTCAACTTTAGCTTCGTCCTTCTTTTGGGGGTTTATTTTATTTTTATGTGTATTAAGATCAGAAGTGATTCACACATTGATGGATTTGCTGATGAGTCTGATTGTGTTTTGTGCTAAACTCAGTTTTTAACGTCAGGTGCAGACTGAATACGTTCCTGCTGGTCCGGACGGTTAATTATCACGATCAGTTATTAAAGTAATAAAAGCTACCGAGAGCAGATCCGTGCAGCCTGGATTAATCTGTGTCTGAGGATTATAACTAAACAGATTTGGTGAAAATCGGTTGAGTAATAAAGAAGTTGTGGCTGATTTAATCCTGAGACTCTTCGTCTCTCAATACAAGTGAATCTGTTCACAAGTGGATCTTGACCTCTCCAACATGGCGGACGCGCAGACGTATAGAGAACAGCAGGCAACGCTGCATCTAAGAATGGATATCTATGGAGTAAAGCTCCCGCCTCTGGTGCAGCAGGTGGCGCTGTAACGAGCCTGCTCTGTTCGTCACTGATAAGGAGAAGAAGAGCCGCGAAATTCGGCGGGCAGGTGGCGGAGCTGAGCTGTAAACAGACCCTGCTGTTCGATGGCGGCCCAAACAGACGCTCGGTCCGGCTGCAGCGACGACACGTACGTGGTGTCTGAGAGCGCGTCGGTGGTGCAGAGCAGCGCGGCGGCGGAGGAGGAGGAGGACGGAGACGCTCCGGCCGTGTTTCTGTGCGGGCACTGCCGGCGGCCGGTGGGAGACTCTCTGTCCTGGGCGGGCAGCGACGAGGAGCTCAACCAGATCATGCTGAAGAGTGAGAACGCTAATGTTTACGTTCCCCACAGTCAGGACTAAAGTCCGCCTCAAGCGCACAGTGTCGGGTTTTATCTGAACCACTGAAGATCTTTAACCATTAAAGTGTCATTGAGGGATTAGAGGTGTTACAGCAAGCAGTGGTGGACGAAGTACACAAACCAAGTACTTGAGTTAAAGTAGAGACCCCCAAGGTAAAATATTACTCCAGTAAAAGTAGAAGTTCCTCCCTTTAGACCTCCACTTGAGTAAAAGTACAAAAGTATTTGCCTTCAGATGTACTTAAGTATCAAAAGTAAAAGTACTAAGATTAATTATTTATTGTATCATTTTTATAACAAGACTCGCTTCATTAACTCATTTTAGGTGAAAATACTCCAGTGTCTCTCTTGGTAAACCAGTCTTTTAATAGAATGTCATTAATTAGTGACGCTGATGTCTATTAAAATTATCATAAGCACAAAACACTGAAGGCAAACAGTTTATATTATGTAGAACGAGTGGCTCTGAAATCACTTTTTACAAACAAGTTTCAAGTTTCAGTTTAATAAAATCTTGCTTTAAACTCAGATTCACAAATGAGTTTCCTTTACTAAACTGCATCTGTAGGTCTCTGTTCATAAACATAAACTAGCCAAAACTAATTTACTATAAAATGAAATGTGTTTGTATAAATTCAGAAAAAAGACACGTCAGTCACAACTGCATATGAGTACATATTTCTATATTGTGGTCTATTTACACAAAGTTAGGTTAGTTCATCATTTATGTTGAATAGACTCTCCCAAAATTTTACTCTGCTGCACTGATGTTGAACCGTGTGCTGCGCTGGGTCGGTATGACCAACAGGTCAAAACAAGCTCAAAACTAAGTGACCGCTGTGCCCGGATTGGTGTTCTTGCTTTGCGCTTCTTTCGTTTTGACGTTACGTTTTTATACACACATAAACCAAAAGGAACGACAGATTTCTCATAATGTAGTGGAGTGAAAGTAAAAAGTCACCAAAATGGAAAAACTTCAGTAAAGTACAGATACACAAAAAAACTACTTAAGTACAGTAATGAATTACATTTACTTAGTTACTGTCCATCACTGACAGCAAGAGAATATCAACTGCTGCTCTGTACAGTGTGGGTGGACTACAGGACTGTAATTGAGAAACACTATTAGATAGTAATGTGTTGTTTTCTTGATTCTTCATAGTTGGGAATTTGCTGGAACTGAAGCTTAATAATGTGTGTATAATAATAATATCTGGCTGCTGAGCCGCAGAGCCAGTTTCACTCCAGCAGGTTAAAGCCAGTGGCGATCAGCGCATGCGCCGACACTTCATCCAATAGCTCTGAAGCTAAAATGCTGTTTGCTATTCAGAATTTAACATCACTACCTGACCTCACTAAAGCTCTTTCAGCTCAATCAAATCCTCACAGAAATGCTCAAACATCTAGTGTAAACCTCCTAAAAGAGCAGATGCTGTTGCTGCATTAAAGGGAGGACAAACTCCCTCTTAATACCTTTGATTTCAGAAGAAATGTCAGCTGAGAGGGTATCTGCTCATCTGTACCCCCTATAGCAGCAGGTACTATTTGGGTGGTGGATCATTCTCAGCACTGCAGTAACACTGACGTGGTGGTGGTGTGTTAGTGTGTGTTGCGCTGGTCTGAGTGGATCAGTCACAGCAGTGCTGCTGGAGTTTTTAAGCACTGTGTCCACTCACTGTCCACTCTATTAGACACTCCTACCTTGTCAGTCCACCTTGTAGATGTAAAGTCAGAGACAATAGCTCATCTGCTGCTGCACAGTTTGTGTTAGTCATCCTCTAGTCCTTCATCAGTGGTCACAGGACGCTGCCCACAGGACGCTGTTGGCTGGATATTTTTGGTTGGTGGACTATTCTCAGTCCAGCAGTGACAATGAGGTGTTTAAAAACTCCAGATCTCTGATCCACTCAGACCAGCACAACACACACTAACACCACCACCACGTCAGTGTTACTGCAGTGCTGAGAATGATCCACCACCCAAAGAGTACCTGCTCTGTGAGGGTCCATGGGGGTCCTGACCACTAAAGAACAGGGTAAAAGGGGGCTAACAAAGTATCAGAGAAACAGATGGACTACAGTCTGTAACTGTAGAACTACAAAGTGCACCTATATAGTAAGTGGAGCTGATAAAATGGTCAATGAGCATAGAAACAAGGAGGTGGTCAGAATGCTATGCCTGATTGGTGTAAATACAATATGTATATAATATGCAATGTAAGTGTGGGAAATACTCAGAGAATAACAGAGAGAAGTGATTTTATAAAAGGCAGTGTACACTTTATGGTCATGGATGTTGATGACTGTGACTGAAAACTCTGTTGTTCTGTGTTCATATTGTATAGTTTTTTCCTGGTTTTCAATTTCAGGGGTCAATGAAAATATCGTGATCGGAAAAGAGCCTTACGTTTCTTGCACACAGAATGAGCCGGGATGGTAAGACATTTCCTTTTCCTGATTCCTGTGTCCCATCTTTGACTGTGTGATGGTTTACAGTCATCCAGGTCAGTGTTTCTTAACCCTGGTCCTGCACTCTCAGAAATAAAGGTCCTAAACTGTCACTGGGTCAGTCCCCCTCTTGTCACTGGGGCTGGTTCCCTCAAGGCTCCATCTCAGTACCTTTAGTCAGGGAACATAACTGAACCATAATCCACTGAAATGATATGTTCTAAGCTGTACTGACTCCACACACCCCGTCTCGTCTCCAGGCTTTTATTTTACTGTTCTGTTTTAAAACATTCGGTTATGAAAAGGTACAAATACAAACTTTTCACCTGGAAAAACTTATTTAAGGTTCACAATCAGACCTTAAAACCACTGTTGGAGCTTTGAGAGAACATTTACACTTTTTGTACTTTGAAGAATGAAAAATGTACCAGAACAGAACCTTTATTTCTAACACTGTAGGGGTCCCACTGCCCCATGTTTTAGTGTTTTCCCTGCTCCAACTAATCAGCTCATTAACAGCACATTATAGAGTTAAAGTGACTGTTAAAAAGGCAGGAAAAGCACTAAAATGGGCAGGAAAGTGGGCCTCTAGGACCAGGGTTGAGAAACACTGATCCGAGTCATTGAACATCTTGTAGGTGAATGGAATTGTGGTGCAGTCTTGATATAAGGTTAAAGATTACACATGTCCAATCACCTTGGCTTCAATCAGGCAGTCCAGTTATTCTCAACCTTATGACACTGACTCATGTTTCCCTTTTTCCCCAGCCTTGTTGTGAATCTTACCTGTCATGGTTGTGGCTCCACACTCGGACTCATGTACACATCAACCCCAAAAGAGTTAGATTTTAAAAGGTCCCTTTTCTGCTTCAGTGTTGAAAATATCGAGAGGTAAACAGATCAAAACTCTGATAGTCCTTTGTTTTTTTTAAACGTCACTTCGTCATATTCTTCATAACTTTCATATTTCACAAGCTACATTCTAAAGGTGGGGGTTGTATGAGAGCTGTAACTGTCTTCTCTCCAGTCAAATAGATGGGTGATGTAATTTTAAACCCTTATAATAAAAGAAGCTGAATTCAGTTTTTTTTTCTACTGAAAGTCGACCCATTTTTCCACAAATCTGGGCTGTAAACTATAAACAGATGGCGTCTCTTCAGTGCTCTGCTCTGTAAAAATTATTTTTATAAAATAATACAAAGAGCGTCTCAGATTTTTGGTTTTCAGCAGTAAATTGTAAGCATATAGCATTATGTGTGATCATAAAACACACTTTCTGTTAATTTGAGGGGAACTTTTACAAATAAATAAATAAATAAAATAAAAATTGCATTTATTTCATGCTGTTACTGAATAATTTGCCTAACGATTTGGTCATGCAGATTCAGATGGACAAACCAAAATATACCCTGGAGAATAAGAGGTTAAATGAATCCTCACAGAGCTGAAACAGAAAGCTTTTACCCCCCTCACCAGGCTACAGATTTTATTTGTTCTCTGTGAATGGTGTCTCTTTTTGCCTGTCTATAATCTGCTGTCATTTTCTGCCTAGTTATGTGTTGGGTTCTGCTGACCAGCAGATGGCAGCAGTGAACAGCGAAGAGAGGCCAGTGACGTTAGAGTTCCAAGACATCATTGAGCAGCAAATGACAAAGGTAAACTCATTATCTGGACAAAAGAATGCCTGGATTGAATTTGATGAGTAATGTAGTCGTATTAGTAATCATATACTAACACTTCATTCAAACACTGTGACCTACAGCCCAACAGCAAGGCGTATTCTGTCAAATAGTTTACTGTAAACCTCTGATCTTATTAAAGATGCGTAAAAAGGTGTATCATTGTCTGCTGGCCATGCTGAATTATTCTGACACCTTTAAAGGTTATTAAACAATTAAAAAAATGAAATAAAATCTAACATTATCACAGCATTAATTACTTCCAAGTCAGAACTGAACTTGGTTCACTAGATTATTTTCACAAAAGAAATATTAATAGGCATTAGAATTAATTTACATATTTAAATATGCTTTTTTTAAACAAATGTGGTTCAGAGAGGTTATTATACAATATAAGAGAGATAAAGAGAGGTTACAGAAATTATTATTTCCTTATTATTTTTTACTGAAGTGTGATAGCCAGCGACAATAGAAGACCAATGGTGGCTTATTAAATAAAAAGCTCTCACTTTTGAAAAACAAGTCTAGTTTTTCTGGAGTGGCACTGATCCTGTGCTGGCCTCTCACTGTAAACACTTCATACGAAAGCGTGTGTTGTTTTTCTGATGATATGAACGGACAGCAGAGGGCGGTCTTTCTGTGAAGGGAGAGTTCTTTGTTAGAGGCGACAGTATGAGCGGGTCCGGCAAACAAAGAGCTATTAGGACCTGTTCAAGAATTTCAGACACAGTGATGTCAGCGAGAGACACCCAGCAGATTCCTTCATATATTCATAATTAACTTGTTCCTCAGTTCAAAGAGCAAATATACTGGTTTCCACTGAATTTTAATAGTTTGTTATTATTTAATAGTTATTATTATTATTATTATTATTATTTTGTTTTCATTAAGAGGTCAATTAAAAATCCTACCTAGAGATCAGCATTTCTGATTTATGTACAAGCATTTTTATTTTAATGTATTGTGAGCTTCACCTCTGTAGGTGGAATAATGTAATTTGCCTTTAGCTATTAACTTTTCAATGTGGGTTCATTTTATGGAGCTATTAATAATATGAATATTTTCCCCTTCGTGTGAAATCTTAGTCCTTTTCTGCTCTCCCTCACTCCGTGTCCCATCTCTTATATGTTTTACAGATCAAATCTCTAGCAGTGACGATAGGACAGCGGCTCTTGGAGATCGAGGTTGACCTCCAGAGCAAGTCAGAAGCTAACATGAGCTGCAGTTAGATGGGAGCTGCTTGTGAGGTCTTGTCCTTTTCTTTCTTAGCTAAACAGAGTTCTTTCTATTTCCTTATACCTGCGACTGTTCGGCTTGTGCCTTTTTTGTAGACTAGGCAGTTATCAAGCATGTTTGACTGAAGGTTTTGATTTAGGAGACCAGTGAGGCTACAGACGCACCTGCAGAGTGATGTTCAGCCTATCAGCTTTTCCAGTGGACTTCATTAGAGCTTTTCACTGACCTTTTTTGTCCAGAAAAATTCTAGAAAGTCAGGTGACGCCAGCCTCAGACCAGGAACTCTGGATTTGTTGTTTATTGTTGGTTATTATGGCTCTTTTTGTTCTTTCATTTGCATGACTGAGTTTATAATGTATAATCCTGTCTGTTAAGTAAAAATATCCTTGTTGCCATGTTGTTTTTGTTTATTTTCTTCCTGTTGTTTGTGTGATGTTTAACCTTTGGGATCAAAACAATCCCCAACGCACGTGCAGTTTCACTCATCTTCAATAACAAGTGCTGGATGGTGGGTGGTGGTGGTGGTGGTGGGGGTGACTGAGGGCGGCTCGTGCCTTTCTTTTTTGTTTACATTTCCCGTCGAATGTGCCTAGCAACACTTTGGGCCGGGAGGCGGGCACCGAGCCCCCTGAGCTGAGAGAGCAGGCAAGAAAGCCCCCAACCTGGAGTGCCGGGGTAGCATAACAACAACAGCTTCGGATGTTGAAGGCAATCCGTGCAGACCAACCAGCGCGCTGTATCCAAGGCACGGCTACCATGGAAACAGGGCGCACATGCTGCGCTGCTCCTGTTGCCATCGCGTCATCCGTTTCCTGGTCTAGGAGGCAGCCAGCCAGCTTGCCCCGCCGCCTGCCTGTCAGCCCGCGTCACCGTACGGGCCTGCTGATTGGCTGGCAGGGGTGGAGCCGCCAGCCTCTAATCCCCCTGGGTGTTTTTCTTTCTCCTTCTCAACGACCCCCCCTTCTTTCTTTCTCTTTTTCCCTCCCTTCATCGATCTCCCTCTCCCTCCATCTCTCCCCAGCTCCCCCTCCCTTTTCCTCTTCCCTTTCCAAAATAGTAAAAATAGGAAAGGAGTACAAAAAAACAAACAAACAGGCAGCATGGCTTTGTTTATGACAGTGTTTGTGTGTTCTCTGATTGGGCGGAGCTGTTCCTTTACTACACTGGTCACTAATCCTGGTCGTGGAGTGCATTTTAGCCTAACACACCCACTTTAACTCAGGAAGGACTTGTTAACACCTTAAACCCCACTGTACACAGTGATGCTTTGAATTTGATTGACTCGAATGTGTGTATAATTTCTACATAAACACATCAACACTTTTATATCAGTTTTATATCGAAATCACAATTTAAGAGCCGCGATTTTCTTTAATTATAGCTACACTCTTAAAAAATATAGTTCTTCAAGGTTCTTTAAAAAATGGTTCTTTAGTGAAGACAGTCATTCTATATAGAACCATGAACACTCAGACCCATTTGCATGCATAAAAAGTTCTCTGCATGGTGAAATGGTTCTTCAGATTGGAGAATGTGTTGTATGTGGTTCTGTACAGCATCAAAAAGGGTTCTGGTATTGTTACTTTGTTGCTTGTTGATGTCAAGCTTATAACAATAGAAGAACATTTTGCTCCTGTAGAGAACTTTTTTCAAAAAGGTTCTATATAGAACCATATACAACTCATTCTCCATGAATCTGAAGAACCATTTCACCATGCAGAGAACTTTTTATGCATGCAAATGGGTTGCTGAGTCCTTCTGGTTCTACATAGAACCACTGTCTTTACTAAAGAACCCTTGAAGAACCATCTTTATTAAGTGTGTACGTCAGCAAAAACGTTGTTCTAAGTTTTAAGAGGGGAAACGGAACCTAATAAGAGTTTGTGAACGGCCTGTAGGTGAGTTAGACCAATCAGAGGCAACCAAACCTCCATGTGTTGTGACATCACAACCACAACTTACTGGCAGTTTGACACACTGCGGTCAGGGGTCGAGCCTCAAGACAAAAAAAGGTGGATGTTCTGAACCATTTTAAGGGTGTACACGCTAAGGAAGGGTACTACGTAGTACCAAAGAAAGGTTCTTTGACTTTTAAACATGGGAGAACCCTTTTAAAAAAGCTTATTTAAAGAACCATTTTTATTTGACTTGTAACAATAGTGGAACCCTTTTGGTGCTGCATAGGACCGTTTTAAAAAGGTTTTGTAAAGAAGAATATACAACAGGTTACATTATAGAGAAGAACCATCTATATATTTACAATGGTTCCTTGAGTGTTCCTGGTTCCATATATATAACCATTGCCTTCAGCGTAGAACCTTTAAAAACATTTTTAAGGATGTTCCCACTTAGCGAAAAGGGTACTATATAATACCAAAGAAAGGTTCTTTGACTTGTGATGATAGTGGAACCCTTTTTGGACCTATACAGTACCACCAAAAAAAAAAAAATTAATTAAGGAACCGTTTTTGCATACAGAATTGGGCTGTGTTCACGGTTCTATGTATAACCATTGCCTTTAATAAAGAACACTTGAGGAACGTTTTTAGGTCTACACTTTTAGCAAAAATGGTGCTGCGTAGTACCAAAGAAAGGTTCTTCGACTTGTGACAGTAGTGGAACCCATTTTGGGCCTATACAGTACCATTAAAAAAAAAAAAATTAAAGAACCTTATAAAACAGGAACCGTTGAACACAGAATTGGTCTGTGTTCATGGTTCTATATATTACCATTGCTTTTATTAAAGAACACTTGAACATTTTTTAGGTCTACACTTTTAGCAAAAATGGTGCTACGTAGTACCAAAGAAAGGTTCTTTGACTTGTGACAATAGTGGAACCCTTTTGGTGCAGGGAACCATTATCTTTACTACAGAACCCCCTTTTTTTTAAGATTGTATTGTTTAAGGCGTTAATCGGTTGTGTGTGTTGGAGCAGAAACTCCACAGGGCAGGTATTCCAGGATCAGGATTGGGAATTGCTTCTCCACCAGCTCTCCAGCCTGTCCTAGAGGTGGCACAGCTGTCCAGATGTTGGGCTGTGCAGCTCTTTGTTCGGGAGCCCGCGATTTTTCTTTCAGCCTCATTATTTCACCTGCTGCGCCAGACGCTGTCGTTTTGATGAATGTGCTCGAGCCCTGCGTCTGCGCGCTGCAGCCCGCCGCGGCCGAAGCGCTGATGCTCGGCACTTTCCAGCGTGATCGATGCAAACTGACCCCCCACCTCCCTCCACACACCCTCCCACCCGCTCGCCCACCGCCCCTCGCTCCTTCACCTTGTCCAGACACACACGCAGTCCCGCGCGGTGGGGACAGGCGGTGTGCTGATGAATAATGTAGACAGGCTGTCTGGAGGAACGTATCCTCTCCTCCTCTAACCTCCTGAAGCAATCAGGGAGCAACACAGCCACCCTCGCACTTAGGAACAGCTACTGCCATAGAAACAGGCTGCCCAGCGGGACCCTCGTGCTCTGCTCTTCAGAAGTTTGTTTTCAGTAGAATAATAGTGTTGGTTTCGGGTGAAACCGTAAAAGAACTGTAATGTTAGTCCTGTTCAACTTCAACTTCCAGTTATTAGTAATTATTAATACACACACTTAAAATGATGGTTCTTTAGTAAACAAAATGGTTCTATATAGAACTATGAACACTCAAAGAACCCTTTGCATGATTAAAGGGGTCCTCAGACTGGTGGAGAATATGCTGTAGCTGGTTCTATGTATTGCACCAAAAAGCGTTCTTCTATTGTTTCGATGTCAAGCTTATAACAATAGAAGAACCCTTTTCAAAAAGGTTCTATGTAGAATCATCAGACTCCATCAGAACCCTTGCAGTGCGCAAAGAATGCTTTAATCATGCAAAGCGTTCTTTGAGAGTTCTAGATAGATCCATTTTCTTTACTAAAGAACCCTTGAAGAAGCATCATTTGTAAGAGTGCAGTTGTTTCTTCAAAGGTTCTTTAGCAAAGGCAATGGTTCTGTTTAGAACCATGATTTCTATATAGAAACAATTCAGGAAAAAAAAGGTTCTTCGCATGGCGAAATGGAGAATGTGTTGTATATGATTCTGTATAGAACCTTTTTAAAAAATTGTTCTATATAGCACCAAGAAGTGTTCTGCTATTATGATGTCAAGAACCCCTATTGGTGCTATATAGAACCATTTTTAAAAATATACAACACATTCTCCATCAATCTGAAGAACCATTTCAGCACGCAAAGAACCATTTACACATGAAATGGTTCTATTTAAAACTATGAGTTCTGTATAGAACCAGTTCATGCTTGGAGAACCCTTGAAGAATTTTTTTTTACAGTGTAGGATGCTGGGAAAAGGAAAATTTAGATGTGTGCAGGATGATGAACTGCAGGTGATTCTAAATAGCACTTAATTTGTTTTGGTTTACTCATCTGTTAAACGTACTAATGCAGTTCTAATAACACCATTTCTTGTATTATCCTTTGTTACTTCATCAAATCTAGATAAGATCAAGAAATTTGGAACAGCACCCAAAAAGCACACTGGACGGAAGTGCTATCAGGTGGTAGATGCAGCCCCCAAAACGTTTATGACAGAATGGATGAGATGCTTTAGATCATTTGGGTCCTCAGTAGAGAATGACTTGTCTCATCCAATCCTTCATTGCTGCATGAAGAAATCGCTAAGACAACATGTAGCTGTTAGATATGCAGCCATTTGTTTGTTACTGTATGAAACAATCTGTTTAAAATAATATTTACAGCAAATTAAATGACAGGTTAACCTAACTAGGCTGATTCGGGTGAACCTAATTAAACTGAGAGTAAACAGAACATGAAAGAAAGTAGAGTACTGTCAGCTGTGGATCAATGAAAAGTATGAAGTACCTATAACTAAAATATAAAGTTATTTAGGCATGAAGCTGTTAAGTAACGTTGCTTAATTTTTCGAGGCAATAAATTTGCATGGTGTTTTGGTCAACTAATTTAATTTTATATATTAATTTATTATATTATATATTTATATATATATATATATATATATAAATATATATATATATATATATACACTATATTATATATATATACCTTTACTTTTGGTACCTTTACTACACACACACACACACACACACACACATAAATTATGTTTTTTGTAACTTTATTCTTGATGCTGTACACTATAAACTTAAATTTTATACATATATATATATATATATATATATATATATATATATATATAATTATATATATATAATTTAAGTTTATAGTGTACAGCATCAAGAATAAACTTACAAAAAACATAATTTGTGTGTGTGTGTGTGTGTGTGTGTGTAGTAAAGGTACCAAAAGTAAAGGTACCAAAAAGGGTTCTTGGGACTGATGCTATAGAATAGGGGGGCCAAACTTTTTGTCTTGAGGGTCCAAAGAGCAGTGTAGTGGGTCAATGGCCAAAAAGACAAAATGATATGTAAATAAAGAACAGGTAGGTTTCACACTGAGTCTTTAAAAAGTGATTTATAAAGTACTATAACAATAACAATACTTTTCAATTTCCAAAGAATTCTGTGAAAATTTAGAAAGAATTTATTTTGTAATAGTTTAAAAATTGATTTGGTTCCTGATTTCTCCTCGATGTCGCCAGCCTTCATGGACGTTGGCATTGGATGACACAGTTAATACTGGGCTGCCACAAGTACAGATTTCGAAAAGGATAAACAAACATGTTGACAAACATACAATCATTACTTCTTGTATTGTTGGTATTTATTGTAATATTAATGTTTTCTGAGCAAACGAATACTTACTGTCCAGATAAACAGCCTTTTAAATATAATTTTCTCGTTTGCGCAGTACAGCATGTCCATCGCCGAACTCATTTCTGGGTCTTTCTTGCTAGATCGATGTTCTGGAATAGAGTAACTCTGTGTTCCCAGGTTCTCAAAGGGAATGTGGTGCAGTTTCCTGTCCTGATTCTATGTAATCTCAGTATATTTAACAGTAAAAACGCTTGTCTGTTGGTCGGCCTACATTTTAAAAGTAACAGGTAAAGGGGCCGGTACAGATTTCTAATATAGTTCATGTACATATTTGCGTATATCAATACATAAACATTTCTCCGAACTCCGCCCACTCAGTGCACAGCCGGCAGTTAGCAGTTAGTAAAGCATCTTACAGCCCATTTAGTTTGGTGAATGGTATTGGGTTCATTTCTGGCTGATTCCAGGTTGTTCAGCTGTTCTTCTGTCTCAGCTGCCGACTGAAAAGCTGCTCAGTGGTGATGACAGTTTGGGAATTTAGTGTCGTCTCATCTTCAGAGTCTGACCAAATCGGCTGTCGGTCAAATGTGATCTTAAAAGTGTCCATTTTCTGTTTGTGGCAAAGTAAGAAATAAAAACGTTCAAATGTCTTGAGCTCCTACAGCTGTCAAAGTCTCAAACAGTCAGCTTGCGTGGCCGGAACTAACTGTTGTATAAAGCGACAACTAAGATACTTACTGTATGGATAAGTACAGCTCGTTACCGTAATAATACAGTTTTATTACTCATTATCTGTGAAATGCTACTGATGCTCCTTTAAAGCACCATTTTTGCAAATAAGATGTGTGAATAGTTTTTTTCCAAAATCTTTTGTTTTTGAAAGGTTTTAAAGAAACTCCCTGTGTAAATTTAAAGATTTTGTATCAGTTAAAGGTTTTTCCTGTAGATCCAAGTCAAGAACCATTAAGGAACCTTTATTTGGAAGAATGTAGGGTTCTTTCTGCCTTGGTTTTCTGCACATGGTTCAAGGCCAGTGAAATTGGCGGGATCATAGTAAATGGACACTATGTTTCTGTGACGCATCTGCTTTATCTGTCAAAATGTTTCAAGTGTCCGTCACTTCAGACGTGTGACCTCCATCACTCCTGTACCCACATCCGATTAATTGTCTGTTTTTCAGACACAAAGAAACTGTTATTTCGCTCAACTGGAAAAGCTCTTTGAAAACAGGATTAGTCTCAGTTGATTTCTAAGCCTGAACAGATTGACTAGGATGAGAGGCCGTTACGCAGCGAGAGGCCTCTGGCCTGCCGTTGACTCTAATGAAGGCCTGAGCCACAGTAACAGCCAGTAAAAGCTTACAGTGCATTTAACACCCAGGCCGCAGAGTTTAAGCCACAGATTGGCTTTGCCATCCTGCTCTTATTGACATCTGTGTGCTTTGCACTGGTGCCTGTAGTTGTTGTTTACTCTCTGTGCTCTATTGATAGGCAAGCTGGCGCGGTGCCAAGTAAAAAATGTATTTGAGGAAGTCTTCGGTAGCGTCTTCGGAAGTCTAGTCCTGGGTGTGTTTAGGTCATGGGTGTGTTGACATGGTTTTAGTGGTTTGTGCACAAAGGTTTTCCTGAGAAGTTTATTCAGGAGTTCTGTCGAGTGTCGAGTTCTGAGTTACTGCCATTATTTACGCAGTGAAAACTGACACGACATCTTTAACATCTCCACCGTATCAGATCTTGAAGTTAAAGCCTGTAAAATGAGCTGTACAGTTTTACACATCTTTGAACATACCCCATATTTAAAAATGAAACTGATAATTGTATCTTTCTTTCAGAGAAAAGATATTTAAGATATTTAAAAAATTAAGTATATTTTCACTAGTTGAAGTCTAGGTGTTAGGCGTTAGGCATTAGGGGTTAGGGGTTAGGGGTTAGGGTTTGGGACCGCCATCTCCCAAAAGAAAGTACCCTATAAGTTATGATTTGTACTTATTTAGCTTATTAATATCTCAGGTAATGCCTCGGGTTTAAATAGACCATAATATAATCCTTGTAAATATCTAAGATCTGAAGTATTTTTACATTGTTATGTATACATTCATATACATATATATATATATGTATGTGTATTATAATATATATATATATATATATATATGTATATATACACACATACGCTTTGTTAATTTTCTAAGTGAACACATCCTTTTTAATACACAATCACTACTTATTGGCTGAATTCAACATATTGGGGGAAAAAATAAAACATAAAATGTGGCCTGTGCAAAAGTTATGGCACCTTTTCTGTTTGATGTGTTGTTAAGAAAGACTTATTATTCAGTAAGTACAGGGACTTCAGTACAAACTGGCTGAGCTGTTTTTAGATTATAGAAGTGTGTAATGTGACATATATATACATATACACATGTATGTGTATATATATATATATATATACACTCATACATATATATACGTATATATATATATATATATATAGAGAGAGAGAGAGAGAGAGAGAGAAAGAGCACCAATGTCAAGCTTGTAACAATAGCAGAACCCTTTTCAAAAAGGTTCTATATGTAGAACACATTCTCTCATCAGTCTGAAGGACCAACTCGTTTACAGTGCAAAGAACCCTTTAGTCATGCAAAGGGTTCTTTAAGTGTTCATGGTTCTATATAGAACCGTTTCTTTACTAAAGAACTCTTGAAGACCCGTCATTTTTAAGAGTGCACTTGAAAAGTTGGTTCTTTAGTAAAGGCAGTTGTTCGTTTAGAACCATGATTTCTATATAGAACCATTTCCTGAAAAAAAATGGTTCTTTGCATGGTGAAAATGAGAAGGTGTTGTCTATGGTTCTTCATAGAACCTTTTTAAAAATGGTGGTAGATAGGTGTTTATTGTTATGATGTCAAGCTTATAACAATAGAAGAACCCTTTTTTGGTTCTATATAGAGACATTTTTAAAAAGGTTTAAGTATATTAAGTATAAAGTACAACTTGTTACAATAATACTTCTATCTCGTTCGCCACATGTTCCCCATCTGTTGAGGGCTGCTAGTGATTAACCTGGTGTGTAATATGCATGACTGCTGTCACTGCTGGACTGAGAATAGTCCACCAACCAAAAATATCCAGCCAACAGCGTCCTGTGGGCAGCGTCCTGTGACCACTGATGAAGGACTAGAGGATGACCAACACAAACTGTGCAGCAGCAGATGAGCTATCGTCTCTGACTTTACATCTACAAGGTGGATTGACAAGGTAGGAGTGTCTAATAGAGTGGACAGTGAGTGGACACAGTGTTTAAAAACTCCAGCAGCACTGCTGTGTCTAACAAAGTATCAGAGAAACAGATGGACTACAGTCTATAACTGTAGAACTACAAAGTGCACCTATATAGTAAGTTATGCCTGACCGGTATAAGTTGGTGGTTATATTTATTAAAATACAGTGGCAGCATTTTGAGGTGTCCTGATATCAATACTGCATGTTGAATATCTCGGTGTACCTGATATCCCAGTATCGGCACACTTCTAAATATGAGTATTGTGTATCACTCTTCATCACTGGAGTCTTCGTCAGGGGCTGTTTATGTCACTTGAGCCGCCGCAGGATTTGAGATAACTATACCGTTCACTGTAAACAAAGCGCTTTGCTTTAATATACTTTACAGCCACTATTGCGGCCACAGCTCTTATCGGCTTAGCCGCTCCAGTTGATCTGGGTGTGGGTATCTGAGGGCTTGTCTCGGGGTACCCCCCCGTCCCCCTTCGTCTCATTTATCAGGGGGTGCGAGAGTACATGTGTGAGTGCAGGGGGGGCTCTTGTAGCGCAGCTGACTGGATTAAATGAGGCCAGGAGGTCTTTCAGCTGTCACTCATTTCATGCTCCCCACAGGTGTCTCGTGGGAAAAGCGGACGGCGCAACAGCAAATGCCCCTCGTTTCATATTACAGCGATACAAAAGAAACATTTGCTCGCCAACCGAGGTAATAAAACATACTGTACTGAAGAAACAGGTCCAAGTAAATCAGCATTTACATTTTTATTGTGTAATAAGAAGTGTCAAGTGTTGAGTGGAAAAGCAAAACTCGGTACACAAATATTCATTTTGGAAATGTTAAATATTAAATATTTAAAATCTTTTTTACAGCATAAAAATCTCTTCTCACTTAAGCACAGCAACTCGTTACAAAAGCTTACAAAAGGACCTTCAGAGTTCAAAAGACTTTCAATCTCAGATCCGTTCTTCGCCGTAACAAAGAGGTACAAAGAAGTCTCCAAAAACTGACACCGAGTATCCCAGCCCACCCAAAAAAAAAACATTGTCAGTGCATGCAAAGAAGTAGTTCACGTTGGAAAAGAGTTCATTTATAAACAGTTCGTAGCCTTCTGTGCAAGTGAAGACTCTGAAAAGCCAATAGCTTTTTACCTCAACTACAGTAGTGTGCGATGAGAGCAGTTTGAACATGAGTACGCATGAGATGAAAGACACTTGGAGATCATATTTACAAGCAGTTCTCACATCACGGGACCACAACCGTCCGATGAACCGGAAAGAAAACAGCGTCTCGGCAATGTACAGCATGGGGACTATCAATATGTACGCACTATTGCACAGTCTACCATATCATTCAACATGATCATGTGTGTTACACAGGTGACGATGACCCCCCCCCTTATTCGTTTGAAGTGATAACACGTAGGCTACAGGATGTAACGTGATGCTTCAGGTTCTCCCATTTTAGCCAAAGGGCTTAAAAAGGTAAGATATTTAAGGCTATACAAGTTCAGCAACCTCCTTCGTTTGAGGGAAGCGGGACAAAGGAATGTTAACAGTTGAGCAACAGGTTCGCAGCAAGGCTAAAGGGAGAAGACTTCATCTGTGAAGTACAGCTAGACCTGAGTGTCGGTGTAACTTGTGAGGCGTAACTATCCAGCAAATGACTCACACAGCTATGGAATAAAAACGGATGGCGTACGAACGTTCTCAGGCTGTGGTGCTTCACGGGAGCTCCGAGGTCCACATGCAAATATACCGTACTGGCAGTGGTGCAGCATCTCTCTTAACATTGTGAAACGTGAGTGGTCTAATGAAGATTATCTGTTCCTCGAGCGGGGATTGCAGCGGCAGATGGCGAAAAAACTGCTTTATGGAAACAGATATTAAAGTCAGCATTCTTGACGCTCGTGAGGGTCCGTCTTAGCGACAGACACGCCACTGGCAGTGTTGCGTAAGAGGTAATAAATCTAACACAGTGTTCGGAGCTGGAGTGTGCGTGCTCTCTACAGACAGGCATCTGTTCTATCTGTGCATATTAAGGACAGAAGTCAACTAACTCCCCAAAGGGTTTACGCTAAATCGCCCAGTCACGTTGGAAGCCCTGGTGCTTCATATTGAATAAAAGCCATGGTGGTGAATACGATTACTGCATATAATTTCTATGTGTTTTTTTTTTTAAAGGAACGGTTCAGTCAAAAATGCTAAATGTTAGCCACCTGTTAACAGTACCCAAATTAAATGATGCCAACTGGTGGCTAATATCTTCCATTAATTGCTAGTCACATTAGCACGTTTGGTCGAGCTGTTCCTTTAACTGTGTTTTACTTAAACTTTACAAAGTCTCGTTAATCAGCACAGGGTCTTCAGGGCCCCAGAGGCACAGAGCAGAGTTTGCATGTGGTAGGGAGTCGGCGACTCCACCTCCACCGCTGGCTCTGGCCTAAACGGAGGCACCTGGAAGGTGAACGGTGGCACCTTCTTCTTCAGAATCTGTCCGATACCCATGGAGGGGAACTTGCTGCGGTGCTGTGGGCTGTCAGGTTCCTCGCTGCCTCCGCTGCCCCCACTGCTGGACTCAGGGGGGCTAGGGGTTGGCCAGTCCGTGGTGGGGGGGCTCTTCTTGGGCTGAGGTTTGACAATGAGCACTGGGGGGCTGGGGATGGTAGCCTTCTTCAGGTAGGAACTGTCCGGTTGGAAAGCTGACACATGGCGGGGTGGGGAGAGAGCGCCATTGGTAAGCTTGTACCAGGGCGATGGCGGAGCCTCTTTGCTGGGCTCCTTACTCGCAGAAGCCCAGGAGTGAGCGCCGAGAGAGGAGGGCGGCCGGGCTGGGACGTCCACGGCTTTTACATCTTTAGAGCTCTCTTTCGGGGGCGGCTGGGCGTCCAGTCGGCGAGCTTCTTGGGGAAACAGAGGGTGGATTTCCAGATATTCCAGCGAGGAGGAGGCTATGCAGCCGCCCTGGCCTGAATAAGCTTCCTTGAGGCCGGTCATCGCTTTAAGGAGCCCTGAGAGAGAGAAACATCCTCTTAGTACAAGACGGTTATGAGACGATTCAGTTTACCACACCTATTTGCTTAAATGTCCGATTCAATGGTTCACAAGGGAAATTTCTTTTGTAATAATGTTGCATTCGCCAACATCCTCTACTCAGTATAGGAGTGAGATTCATAGTACAAAAAGCCTAAAGACTAAAGAAAAAGAGGAGGCCAGCTCCAGTCTACAGGGAGAAAATGTAAGCAAATTCAAAAGATTCATTCAAGTCAGACACGTCAGAGTCGCTGTCTAAGCCCCAAAAACTCACTCCAAACAGTGAGTCATCTGACATAAAACAAAACTCGGAATTGACTGGACAATAAATACCGTTTGTATTTCGCTGCTATTCACAGAACATTCCTCTTTGGACTATAACACATTCTGTGTCTTTACTTTAAGCCAGTGACCATTACAGTTTATTAAAAGGAAAGGAAAACACACAGGAAAACAATGATTTTTGGAATGCGCTACTGCCCCAAGTCTCCCTGTACGCAAAGTGAAAACAGTTTGTTTTTATTCTTTGGGGAACATCATGGAACCATTTTCGAAAAAAAAAGAAACAGGTCTTCTTTTGATCCTGCTCTCAAATTGAATTTAGAGACATTCTTTGAGGCCTTGAAACGCTAACCTTGGTAGCGTGACTTGATGAGTGTCAACAAGAGAGAGAGCAGAAATGGGTCAATAACAGAGGTTAAGTTTTACTCTGTGTAGACTGCTCAGTACAGACAAGGCCTTAGGGCTTTGCACTGTTGAGCAGCACAAACCCGTTCCACATGTTCAACATGCGCTCCTGGTGACGGCTTCTCAAACTTACGCAACTACTGCAGAGGTATGTTTGTTAAAACGATGCCCAGATAAGTCTCGTACACAATGATTGTGTTTTAAAGCTTATTTGCTTGTACTTTTTATCTCAAGTCGTGGACTTTTTAATTTAAGGCGCTGCTGGATTTGGCCTTGGCTTCTGTTTGACCCCTCACCTGTTTTCTGTTTCTTTTCCTTGGTGGGGCCTTTGCTCACAGCAAGATAGACTGGCGTCTGTTTTGGGGGGATGGTGATCTTCTCAATGTGCTTTCTCCACTGCGTCTGGAACAGTTCGCTCTTTTTCTCCTTCTCCATGCTGTACTGCTTCTCCTGCAAAGATACACAGCCAAAATCAGGTACCGTGTACGATGCAGAGCCAGAGAGTTCTGATCTAGGGTCCCTAAAACTTAAGTGTATAAGGAAACAAGTGGTTTAAATGGATTCTAGATCAGCACACTTACTCTGAAAGGTCTGATTAACAACAGAAGATCATGTATGATACCTAAAACTACTGAAGTCGTTCGAGTTCAGCTAAACCACACTTACCCGATATTCTTTGGAGAGTCTCTTCATCTTCTTGTTCAGGAGGAAGTAGACAGCGAGAGTGTGGCAGGCTCGGTTTGTGAGGACAGCGCTGAGGACTTCACTGTGCTTGTAGCCCATCCGCTCAGTCATGTGCAGAAGAACTGTGTGGTTAATCTCTTCGATATGGATCCTGAGCAAGAAAACAACTTATCAGCCTCATCTTTGTGAACCGGCTCCTGTCTGGCCTGATCACGAAACAGATAAACGAACGAGAAAAAAATACATATTTTACCGGTTCAAGTAAGGGATTCCAGTGTGTGGGTTGCCCAGCTGTAGCCATGAGTCTGCCATAACCTGGTGGATGTTGGGCCTTTTAGCAGGGTCGGGTTCTAGAAGGCTCTTCAGTAAACTGACTGCAGCTGTGGACAGAATTGATGAATGGTAAATACACTGGACTGTGTGAGTCTCTCCAAATCAGATTTGGTTCAATGACAGCCATGAGTATCTTATTCTCTGCTTCATTAAGCAGAGAGACTGAGATCAGCAAATCCATAGTTTACTATCAATGCGCCCCTCAGCCGAGCTCTACAGACAGACACATGATCAGAGTAGCGTTTATAGCATTTATACAAAGCTTTGCAGAAATACGACGCCACTTTCTCGCAACCCATACAAAACAAAACCCTACTGTCCTCTGTCCGGTAAGATCCAATTGACTGACTACCTCCCCCATAATGTCTTGCATAAGTAGATTGATAAGAAGACAGCCCTGTGTCATTGATAATAAATACGGCTGTTACATAAGGAGGCTAATCTCATTTCAGTACTGAATCATCCTGTTGTGATGCACTACCCTGACACTGAGACATAAATGCCTGTGGTATTTCAAAATGTGTCACTAAGACATTCCTTCGTCAGCTGTTGGCCATAACTAAAACTGAAAAATGACCATTAAGGGTAATTTCACACCAGCCTTTGGGCCCTCAGGAATTTTAAAAAGCATAAGAATTCAGCCTCTGGTCAAGAGGCTTAAAGAACTGACAAAATATGAATTAAAAAAAGTGTTTTTTAATGCAACTAGTTCTGGATTTGCACTACATGCAGTAACCATAAGCTGAATCTTTAGTCGTAGGTTTGTTTAAGCTTATCTGTGGCTTCTTCATAGATTATTGTAACTAAAAACAACCTCACAAAACGATAAGAGGAGCCAGACAAAACAAGTATTTAAAGAAACAAATTATATATTAAACACATCCTGGTCGCAAACCACATACATTTTTTTGTACAAAGTCAGTCACTCATTACCAGAACCCCTAATTTATGCAAATGGTCACTCTTGCATGCATCTATTTGCCCACAGTTTTAATTTGCTGGGTGTCAGCGCTTAATTTAAAGACTATATAAGATAGCAAACCCCAAATAAACAAACAAAAAAAAAGATATAGACAACATGACGACAGCCAGCAAGCATGAACATTAAACCATTAGTCTCCTAAAGAGACTCTCAGAAGTACATTTAAGGCCGCTAGATGATATTCGGTCCATCCTTTGTAATTACTTTAACATCGGACCCATTCATGAGACAGAAAAACAGCAGACTGGACCAAACTAAGAGCCCGGCTAACAATGGCTGCCTTCATGGGAAACCTTTAGAGCGTGTTGCCTATTAGGTTCTAATTCATAGCTGGATGGAGGCTTGTCTGGCAAAGGAAATTGCTGGTGACCATTTTGAATGGCTTATTATTGTACCACAGCAAAATGAATGCTAATTTCTCGGTATTCTACACGGTTAAAGCATGTTTAAGTGTACCTGAGGACAGTGAAGGAGGCAGAGGGTTCATGTCCTTGTCTACCATCCTCTGATGAAGGGCTTTGAGGCTGAACGGCTCCACCGTGAATGGGAGGGTGCCGGTGAGCATGGCGTACATGTTGACTCCGCTGCATTGGAAAACACATACTTATTATTCCTGATGAAAGGCTAGCTTATGAGCGTTCATCAAGAGTGAATCAATAGCCATTAGTCTTTAAGAGGAGACAGAGATGGAGCTGAGTGAACTCACATTGACCAGACGTCTACTTTGGGCCCGTACTTCTTCCTTGAGAGCAGCTCGGGGGCGGCGTAGGCTGGGCTGCCACACTGAGTGCTGAAAGGGTCTGAATATCCGAGGATTCCTGCGCAGTTGCTCAGCCCGAAATCTATCAAAAGAATAGAGAAGGTTTTTAACAGCCTGAATCTGGTCTGTTTTTCTAGGCACTGTGGGGGAAAAGATCCCGGCACTGCCTTCATGCGTCCTGCACCCTTTTGGAGCGAACTGAGGGGGGTTTATGGCCGTCTAACACCAACAGACCAACCCTGTCTTTCACACTCAGCTGTTAACTAGGAACTCTGTATGCTGAGGTGGACTTTCACAGAGGTGAGAGGTTGTTTGGTTTTAATGAGATACTGATTGCTCCATCAGTCCTTGCCACATGCCGAAGAGGGTTATTTCCTTAGTTTAGATTAATAAGACCTGATGCGGGTTGCTCTTGCATTGTGAAAAGACCTGGGAGTTGTGTTGGGAATACATTAACGTTTGGATTGGAAAGGAGCATTTAGGAAAACGTTCGAGAAGTACTTAAACTTACCTATCAGCTTTATGTTGTCCTGTTCGTCCAGCAAAAGGTTTTCAATCTTCAGATCTCTGTAGGAAACAAAGACAAACCGATGTTTACTTTAAAGAATGATCTTTTGTCAAAACTCTTTTGACAATCTTAGCTGCAGATAAACGAACAATGGTCATTTGCATAGAGGGCATTTGCCCATGAATTGGGCAATATGGGTCACAGTGGAGATTTCTAAGCCCATTGTCCTTTTCTGGGGAGCCTCTAGCCTTCTGTAGATCATGGTGTGTCTACAGACGCTCTCAATTCCAGAATGAATTCAACATAGTTTTCTCCAAGTCTGGCCTGAACGTCAGTGAATTCAGACGGAAGTTACTCAAGCTAAATTCGTCTACATGCTACGTATCGCTGCTGTCGGAAGAAAACCTCGATTTTTTACGTTTTTCAGTTTTTGACATATTTGAAAATACCGGTTTCCCTTTACATTGTGTGTAAATTTCATAAAGAATGGACTAAAAGAAATGACCCAAAATGACTTGGAAAAAATTCTGGTTCCATTGACTTACATTAAAAGTACAGTAGGTTTTTTCCCTCTCCTGTAAAGTTCTCATCACGCAGATACGAAGTTTTCTTCCAACAACAGCGAGATATAAAGCAAGCTTATGTTTCACTGTTTGGGTCTCTCACCTGTGTACCACTCCAGCCCTGTGCAGATGCTCCACGGCCATGACTAGCTGGCGGACGTACTTCTGCGCCTCCCTCTCGTCAAGCCGCTTCTTCTCGTAGATGTGGTTCATGAGGTTTCCTCCTGGGCAGAGCTCCATGACGAGGTAGTAGCTGTTCTCTGTCTCCAGGATGTCCAGAAGCTGGGTGATGTTGGGGTGGCGGATCATCTGCTGGATCTGGCCCTCCCGACGAAGGTTTTTCGTAACATACGAGTCTTTCTTGGCCTTTCTTTTGTCTATCACCTTCACCGCCACCTAGGAGAAAGAGCGGACAACAACATACTGTAAGTCCAGGTCTCAAATGTTTAGGTCTGAGAAGTTGGCAGAGGAATAGCGGTCAGTAACAGGTGAGGAAGGCTCAGCTAAGCATGTGTGGATTTTTATTTCACTGCGTGGCGCCCATAGTCTGACTGTCAGATGAAGTCAATGGAGGAGGGGGACGTGGGGGGAGGGGTCTCTGGACAAATGACTAAATATAACAGTTCCCAAGCCTTTTACACCAGGTCCACTCGGAGGGTAGGACTCCAAATGGCTTGTTAATGCCATCCATTTGTCACCACAGACACCGCAAACCACTAATGCTGAACAAACACTCAAACTAACAAAGCAGTGACAAATGCAGGCAACATTCTGCTGGCACTATAACTCTATTAAGTCCTATATAACAGAAACAATAAGGCTTTTTGGGAAAGAAGAGTCTTAAATTGAACGTCAAACCTCTACTTACTAAAAAAGTCAATCTCAGAAAGGTTCTATCAGAGGGACTCCTGCTTTATGGGATAATCTAAGATCCATTAACGTGACTCTATAAAGGACACTTGTTTTTGCTGCCATACAATTCATCGTCGCTGTTCAATGAAAAACATGTATCTCCATTTTTTTGCGATTTTTACTTTTCTGCATCATTTGAGCTCAGCAGCCGTCCTTTACATTGTGCGTAAATTTCATGATGATCGGACCAAAAGAAATGCTCCAAAATTGCTTGGAATTAAAACCCTTTCCATTAACTTACATTGAAAGTAAAGAACGTTTTTGCCCTCTACTGTAAAGTTACTTTTTTAGAGATACACGTTTTTCTTTGGGCAGCGACGACATACGAAACGAATCAGTTAAGAATAATTTATAAATAAATTATCTGCTGCTTGTTGCTCATTGAGTAACATTTATTTATTTCATTTCATGTTTAACTTTAAAGGACGCGATTAGTCTTTCTTTATCATCTCAGACGTGCTTTCTTTGTCTGGGTTCGAATTCCCTATTGAATTCGTAGACAATAGCCTCGTGCTATTTGTTCCGCCGCTGATCAAAGTACCCAGCTCTGTGTTGCCTGGACTGAAGAGGGTTCAAAAGGTGACCAGCCATGCCATGACAAATCATCAAACAATGAAGGAGGCTGTGAGCAAACAAGTCATACATGACCAATTGAGCAAATAATTTCATCAATTAGACTAACAGAGCGGCTACCGGGGGGTAAAGAAAGAGCTTAAAAGCCCAGCAGATCCTAAACAGTCACCTAAATGCAAATAGAACAGCCTAATCTTGACCCGTCCTCCAGTGATAACCCCCAGTCTCGCCAGAGAGGGGTGTTGGAGGGGGTACATGGGGGGCTGATGGCGATATAGGAGGGGGATAAGGGGGCACCCCAGAGCTTGAGGCTAACACGTTGTTTATCTCAGCCACAGACAAAGGGGGTGAGGGTGAAAGTGGGTTACATAGGATGAAAACACACAGCAGAAGCATGTGCAGTCGCTCGCCCCACCCAACCCCCATGTTTTTTTTTCTCTCTCTCTCTCCTGGTGATGTCAGTCGGTGAGGGCGAACGAGGAGACGGCAGCACGAGGCGCGCGCTCCTCTGTGAGATTTCCACCGTTTGCATCATCATTGAGAAAAGAGAGCGGGAGAGAGTGCTTCGCCCTGCCACAGCAACAGTGAAAGGGGGCTGTCAGGGGGCTGAGCTAATCCTCGATATGCAAAACAGAAATTTCAGGTCACTCATTCAAAAAAAACAGAGACACTTGTTTTTTCCCTCCTAATATGCAAATTTATAAGCTGCACCCAGTTGAACAAAGGCAGACAGTATAGGCTGAACAAACCACTGCCACACTGGACAAAGGAAGAGACGGGTGTGAGGAATAATACAACAACAAACCCTCGTATCTCCAAAATGAGAACTTTACAGGAAAAGGAAAAAACCTGCTTCGCTTTTAATGGAAGTCAATGGAGTTTTTTCCAAGTCATTTTGGGCCATTTCTTTTGGTCCATTCTTCCTGAAATTTACAAACACTATAAAGGACGACAGGCATGTTCAAATTATCTCAAAAACTGAAAAACGACAAAAACGGAGATACAAGGTTGTCCTTTATAGGATTAATAGGGCTTTTTTGTTGAATTGGGCTTTTAGGCAGCCACATTTTTGCCCTCACTACTGTCTCTTCCAAAAAGCAACATCCACTAGGAGTTCTGGTGTGAAAGTTCTCTCCAGCTCAGCGGCGGGAGGCGCTCGCTCTTCCACACCTGTAAAAAAAATTGTCTTCATTAAGAAACCTCATCCAGTTCTGCCTGGACGTCAGTTCCTGCTTTCTGGGGTAATCTAAGATTAATTCAGACACCTAGATCTAAATAAGCCCCGCTGGATTGTCTCTGTTACCTAATGCCACGTAGGTGTGAGTGTCACCAAATGGTCAGCGCCTTGGTCCGCTGAACTAGAGGATGTAGTGGACACTTGAGGGTGTCTTAAGTTCAGGGCACAAGGACAGACCTGTCAGCTTTCACCTACACCAATACAGATTAATAACAGGTTCTAGTGGGTTATGAGCACAGATGAAGCACTATCTTGCCTTATCTGTTCAGTTTGACCACTTTCAGAGTGCTGAAGGGTTCTAGATGATTTATTGGGCAGAAGTAAGATAAGATTAAGATTAAGTGACACTTTTTAGTCCCACAGTGGGGAAATTTCACCTCCGCAGTCTAACCCATCCGTGCAGTGGAACACCACTAGTGAATGCACACATACTAGGGGGCAGTGGGCACACTTGCCCGGAGCGGTGGGCAGCCCTATCCGCAGCGCCTGGGGAGCAGTTGGGGGTTAGTTGCCTTACTTAAGGGCACTTACATACAGTAAGTACATACGGTCAGAGGTAATAAACACTCATTACTACTCAAGCTTCATTGGAGAGTTTAGTTAGGAATGTTTTGGTTAACTCAGAACCAGTTTCTTAAGAGCCAAAGCATTTTTAAAGTTTTAAAATCACACTTAAGCACAGTTAAAGATGATGGGGCTCTTTGAGATCCATCTAAAACATGTTTGCATTAACTGCAACTGCATTTCTCACAGTCTGATGAATAGAAATGTCTGGCATGAGGGAATAAAGTTCATGAAATCCTTTATTTTAAGACGTAAACTTCAGCTCACCTTCTCTCCAGTCAGAGCGTGAAGACCCTCGCGAACTTTGGCGAAAGACCCCTCTCCCAGCTTTCTGCCGATGAGATAGTTCCCGACTCTCTTGGTGTGGTAGAAGTTTCGGAGGATGTCTCCAGGAGGGCCGCTGCCCAAAGAAGAGGCAGGGAGGCTTTCCGGGGCCACCGAGGTCGGAGCTTTCACCCCGAAAAGCCTGTCCATGCTCATGTCCGTGCCAGCTTCGGGCATCCTGGCGCCTTTTCAGTGGACTTCACTTCGTTTCGTTACCGAGTCGGGTTACGGGAGCTGTGAGCGCGGCGGACTGGCAGCACTAGGACATGAGAACTAAACTCTCCCACACAAGTCCAAACGGCGGAGCCCTGAACGGAGACTGACACATTCACCACCTGTTCACCTCAGACGCTACAGCTGGCAGCGGATACACGACCAACAGCAGGAGCGGGGCAGCTTTGAGTAACGACCGCATTTAACGACAGCAATAAGCAGCTAAACCAAGCCTAAACTCGCTTTTTACCTCGCTTAGGCTGTTAAACTCGTCCTAACAAGCAGCCTCAGTGAAGATGGTCTGTCACCTCCAGCTGAAATCCTCCTTTACCTGCTCCTCCTGCCGCTCCCCCTCTCCCTGTTTCATCTGTTGAGCCGCTGTGATGTTTTTAACTTTGTTTCCCGGCGCGGGGAGGGGGGCGTTTCTCATTTGCTACGGAGTCGCTCCTCAGTCGCTGGGTTGAAATCTGCTCCAATCGCAGGCCTCGAGCTGCGGCGCGCCCCGCCCAGTTGTAAAACAAGCCACGCCCCTCGCCCATGCTCCTCGAGACAACAAAGAGCGTGTTGGAGGGCAGAAACTGCGCGTGTCCGTCAGCTTTACCCGGTGATAGTTTAACACGCGCAGTGCGATTCAGCAGGTATGCTGACAACCGCGGGGTCAGTCATTTATCCCGCGTTCAGTGGGGAGAGAGGAACGGGCACGACGTTGCAGTGATGCAGGGAACGAATTAGCCTGTCAGACTGGAAAAGAGGTAGAAAAGACCCTCATCAGACAGACCGCGTGGACAAAAACAAGACCAGCCCTATTAGTCTAATTCATCTAATAGTAAACAATCATATTGCCCCACTCAAAAAGCCCCCAGATGGATTCACTCCTATAAACTCTGGATGTTCTCCTTTGTATGGTTATATTTTGTTCTGTCTGTCGTTTAAAAAGAGGGAGATGCATTGTTTTCTATTAATTCACCAACAACAGGCCTCGTCTTATGGAACATTGTATGATGTTAATTTGCCAAAAATACACTTAATGTTATTTTTATTCGGAGTGTAGTGATGCAGGAAGGAGCCACGGCACAGTATCACTCCTCCAGCGTGGCTACACCACACAGTCACTGGGCCACACCTCAGCGCGCGCGTGTCTCTTTCAGCCGGGCGCATGTAAACACAGCCATGCGCTCATCAGACACAGAGTGGGAGGAGAAGAGCAGGGGGGGCATCTAGCGGTGGTAGTCGGTAGTGCAGCCACAGTGTCCTAATGAAGGTATACTCTAATTATATTGTGGTAGACCACACACACACACACACACAGACACACACGTCTTCTAAGCCGCTTATCCTTCTGGGTCTCGGGGGGTGCTGGAGCCTATCCCAGCTGTCATCGGGCGGAAGGCAGGATACACCCTGGACAGGTCGCCAGTCCATCGCAGGGCGGACAGACAGACAGACAGACACATTCACACACACACTCGCACCTAGGGGCAATTTTGCATGTCCAAGTGGCCTGACTGCATGTCTTTAGACTGTGGGAGAACCCGGAGGAAACCCACGCAGACACGGGGAGAACATGCAAACTCCTGTGGTAGACTAGAGGTCTTTAATTAAAATTCAATAAGGTCCAGTCATAGAAAATTCCCTCAAGCAAAGGTCCAGAACATCATAATGTCTAACTTGCATCATGATTCAGTGCCATAGACTGTAAACTGAAGTAGCCTAGTAGGTATATCAACATCTTATACAGTCAACAACTGAATGTCAAATCAAATAAAGTACAGTTCAGTTATATTTCAACAACATTTATTGTCAGTTTTCTCTGTTTAGATCATGCCATGCAACATAATCTGACTCACTTTCTCCTCCGACTGCTGTTTCTCGCCTCGTCCCTCCCCTGTGTGTGCGTCACTCACTGAAGTCTCAGTGCTCATCGTAATGCACAGATTTGATTGGCTGAGTAGTGTCACGTGTGATATTTACAACGCATGCGATTGGTCTGTGAGTCTCCCGGGCCTCTAAGCCGTACCTTAAAGACTAGAAAGGTTATGCCGATTAAAACAGGACCACCCCATCAAAATTAAATAATTCTCCTTAGTTTATTGGTTATAAGCCCAGGCCTGCACAGGACAGCGTCTGGGTCTGGACTCGGACCGCGGTCAGCCTATTAGTGACCTCTGTAGCAGACTGTAAACCGTAGTTGTTTCACCTACTTTACCTAAAATCAGCTTTACTGTTCTTAGTATTGTGTCTACGTTTCACTGGGTACCTCTTGCTATATTGTTAGATTCCAGAGTACTCTGATGCTTATGACTGCTAAACATGAGTTCGACGTTTATTCATATTATCATTATTATTAAGACTTGTATGTATAAAAATATATCAAAATAAAATCCAATATTTTGTATTTTTTATTTTTTTTGCAAAAAATATATGTGCAAGAGAGATCAGCAGTCTACTTTACAAACCTCTACTCATACTGATCAAGCCTTTAATAATAACATGGTAAATAAACAGATACAAGCTTAACAAGAGCTTCAGTGCCCTTCAGAATTACTGGCACATTTGAAGATAAGGAAAAAATGTGTGCAATGGAAATGTGTTGTGTTTACATTGCAAATATGGGCAAAATCTACCCTTTCAGTGAGGTAGAGGTAAAAACATTCAACAAAACAAATACGTCACAGATATTTGCACAACTTATACCATATCTGACCCTTTTTAAAGCTACACTATGTACAACCCCATTTTCCCAAAAAGTTGGGACGCTGTGCAGAATGTACATAAAAACAAAATGCAATGATGTGTAGATCATTTAAACCCTATATTTAATTGAAAATAGTACGAAGACAACAAATCTAACGTTAAAACAGAGAAATATTATTGTGTTTTGAAAAATATACACCCATTTAGAATTTGATGGCAGATGGGGGCGTGTTTACCACTGTGTTTCATTTACATTTACTTACATTTTAAACAGCGTCCCAACTTTTTTGGAATTAGGGTTGTAAGTTTAAGCTGATAAAAGCCAGTCACATTTTCACAGCCTTTTTTGCTCACCTTTATCAAGGTTGCCAGTAATTCTAGAGGACGCTAAATACGATCGTAGCTTTATTGTTTACACACAGCTGCTTGCTAAATTTTCATTAAATGCCTAGAAGATTCAGTGTTTAGAACAGTCATGGATTTTACCAGAGGTGGGTAAAGAGAGACCTTTTACTGCTATGGAGCAAATTTATTTGCCTTTACTTTGCAGTTAGGAGATAAACAAGTAGCTACTACTGAAGAAGTAAGTTTGTTGTACTTCTTGCACGTTTCTCTTAGAATCTAACCTGTAAAACAAATTGTGAAACAATAACATTAACAATAACCCATTTAATATGCCAATTATAATAACATAACCATGAAATGGATGTGAATGTATTGCCTGATGGCTGAGACATTGTTTTACAATGGTTCTGAGATAAAGTTTTAGACCAAAACATATTTTTAAAATACATTCAGGATGGAGAGGTACATTTTAGGGCAAAATAGTATTCAAATAAATCTTGCCATTCACTATTTTACCACCATTGTCAACATTACATACAAAACATAGACACATGTAGGTTCACTGATTGTTTTGGATGTATTTGTGTGGTTTCCCTGGTTTCTCTTCCCGTTGTAAAGAAGTCCAGGTTGGTACGTTTCCATATAATAAATCATTTCACATCAGAACACTCAGAATGATTTTATTTACATCTCAGCAAATGAGTTATGCAGTAATATTGACAAAAATGTGATTCCCCTGTAAATAAATCTGTCTTCTGGGTTTGTTTGTGTATTTTACTGCTGTCATGGGCATTTGCACTAATATTGTGGAATATAGCAAAGTGTACTAGACAACTGCTTCCCAGATTACTGAACTGGCCTCAATTCCAAATTTAATATAACATTTTATATAATATATACAGTGGTGGACAGTAATGAAGTAAATGTAATTCATTACTGTACTTAAGTAGTTTTTTTGTGTATCTGTACTTTACTGAAGTTTTTCCATTTTGGGCGACTTTTTACTTTCACTCCACTACATTTCAAAGCCAAATATCTCACTTTTTACTCCACTACATTATGAGAAATCTGTCGTTCCTTTTGGTTTATGTGTGTATAAAAACGTAACGTCAAAACGAAAGAAGAGTGAAGCGAGAACACCAATCAGGGCACAGCGGTCACTTTGTTTTGAGCTTGTTTTGACGTGTTGGTCATACCGACCCAGTGCAGCACACGGTTCAACATCAGTGCAGCAGCGTAAAATCTGGGAGAGTCTATTCAACATAAATGATGAACTAACCTAACTTTGTGTAAACAGACCACAATATAGAAATATGTACTCATATGCAGTTGTGACTGACGTGTCTTTTTTCTGAATTTATACAAACACTATTTCATTTTATAGTAAATTAGTTTTGTCTAGGTTATGTTTATGAACAGAGACCTACAGATGCAGTTTAGTAAAGGGAAACTCATTTGTGAATCTGAGTTTAAAGTTTTTATTAAACTTAAACTTGTAACTGAGCGTAAATAAATCTTAAACTGAAACTTTGCTTGTTTGTAAAAAGTGATTTCAGAGCCACTCAGTTCTACCTGATGGAAACTGTTTGCCTTCAGTGTTTTGTGCTTATGATAATTTTAATAGACATCAGCGTCACTAATTAATGACATTCTTAAAAGATTGGTGTTACAAGAGAGACACTGGAGTATTTTCACCTAAAATGAGTTAATGAAGCGAGTCTTGTTATAAAAATGATAATAGGACATTAAAGTCATAATTAATCTTTTAGTGCTTTTACTTTTGATACTTCAGGACATTTGAAGGCAAATACTTTTGTACTTTTACTCAAGTGGAGGTCTAAAGGGAGGAAGTTCTACTTTTACTGGAGTAATATTTTACCTTGGGTGTCTCTACTTTAACTCAAGTACATGGTCTATGTTTTTTGTCCAGCACTGGATATAAAATATTTTCTTACAAAATTGCATCACAAGTGTATAATCTGTACTGTCTACTGGTCTGATGTTGCGCCTGTTGACCGCCAGAGGCCGCTGTTTACCCACTATTCCTCTCAGCATCGTGGGCGGCGGAGTGATGATGCTGAGAGGGTGGCTATTCGCGGCTGTATGGATGCGTGTTGCTGTTATGATGGTCACCCGATAACACAGACCTTAAACTGTCTCCTTACAGCAGTGAGTCTGGCTATGACCGAGCGCGGGGGACGTAGTGTCAGATTTTTGTCCTGCTTTTTGCTCTCCTTTGGTGAGTAATAACGGTAGCTAGGCTAGTCTGACCTGCTGGACATTCACAACAACCGCATCTCAGCGTTACTGACCGACTGCGGCTTCGATTCGACCCTGTAAACAAGCTTTAAACCCAGCGCGGCTCCTGTCCTGCTTTCTGGCTCCGGGCTTTTACTCTTTCACTCATTCAGCAACGCTTTCTTATTTCGTCTGATATGTTTGTCATCAAAGAGGCTAGTGGCAAGCCGTTTTAGCCAAAAATGACACCAGCGATACAAGTCAAAATAAAATTCTGAGCAAGAATAAGAATTATAAATAATTATAGGCCTGTCGTTTAATTTTAACTGCTGAAATGTATATTTTTACTAGTCAGAACTGAATTACAGATCACTTTAATGTAATTACAGATATCAACATACATCTTTTTTACTAGTAGCAATAAATATTATAATCTCCATTATGAAAACGTCACTCGTTGATAGGTAATTATGACTAGTCTGCCTAATTATAAATTCAATTTCAGATTTCTAAAACTGACTTTTTACTAGTCAGAACTACGGAGCCCCGCTGGTTATTTATAAATAAAAATAATGCGTGGCCACGCCTTATAAATGCGTGGGAACGAGATCCCAATGCGTGGCCACGCCTTATAAATGCGTGGGAACGAGATCCCAATGCGTGGCCACGACTTAGTAAGGCGTGAGAACGAGATCATGGCTTACTAAGTCGTGGCCACGCTTTAGGATCTCGTTCCCACGCTTTACTAAGTCGTGGCCACGACTTAATCATCTCATTCCCGCGTCTTACTAAGTCGTGGCCACGCATTATTTTTATTTATACAGGATGTCACCAGCGGGGCTCCGTACAGAACTCATATTCAACATATGCTAATTTGTAGAACACCTCTTTTCTCTGTCACACGCTTAGTACAGATTCCTTAGACTATATTTCAAAATAAAAGTCACTCATGGAGTATGGAAGGAGTGAAATTCTAACAGTGACCGCTCATTGTGTAGGGTTGCTGTCTCTTACCAACATTCACCTGCATTTAGCAGGAGGTGGGAGATGCTTTGGCTTTCACATTGATCTACTATTGATATAATAATGTGTTTTATGGCTTGAAAAATTGTATACCTGCTATGCATTTATAGCTTATTTGGTTATGTTTGGGTTGACGTTTTAATTTTTTAGTTCGTTGGCTGCACAAGATGTAGATTTTAACCTGAACTAGGCCAGAAAAAAAGGACTTAGGCCTGGTTTTCACTTACAATGGAAGAAGAAACGCAACCTATCCACACAAACTGGTCTCAGAATCAACCTGCTGTTTATTTACACGGGCGTATCCATCAGGCACACTTAATGACAGGGCAGATCACAAGTTGACCTACTTTTAAAACTATGTGGTGCAGTGCGACTAGATCCTAGACAGGGAAATCACAAATTAAACCCTGCTTTATTTTAAATTTTAAGGGTCCAACCCACCATAAAAATGTCATGGCCTGTAAAGCTACTTGGCACACGTGTTAGCTAGTTAAACTGTTCATAATTGTCAATAATTTAATTGATCTTCTGGTTGCTGATATGTTGTCGATGTTCCTGGAACCCTCCAGTACTTAATTCATGAGTCAGATTCTTCCTCTACCCTTCGTTCCTCTCCCTCTGGATCGCCTTCCGTCTTGCGCTGACTTGCTGCACATATACCACCCTTTTCCCACCTAGTGTCACTCTCATAAATATGCATGAAATACAAATTTCATAGTTGATCTGAAACAATTTTGACTAGTAAGACCTAGGCTCAATCCCATTTCTTGTTTTTACCCCTACCCCTTGTTCTCGAGTGTCTCATCGCCCCTTGGAACTGAGTTACAGGGTAGTGGTTGAAATCCTTCCTCTAAATGGGACCCTCAAATAAAAAGAGCATCACTTCATTAACAGCTACCAGCGCTGCTCTGTAGGCGACCCTGCCAGTCTGCAGTGACAGCAGAGGAGGGTAAAGTTCAGCTCCTCACTGCTGGGCTTTAGTCACATTTAGGGCATCATATGCCTTCAAAGAGGGGGCAATTATTTTTTATCGCCCACCCCTAATTCTTCAGTGATACGAAGCTGAAGTCAGATATTCACCAGCTTCTTGTTCGAATTTTCCCGTTCCACCTTAAATGGAGCAGCAGTTACATTCTGGCGCTTCAGGCGTCAGAACTGCTGGACTATTTAAGGAAGAATCTGACTCATTGAACAGAGTATGAATTAAGTACTGGAGGCTAGCTACAGAGACATTAGCATGCTATTAGCGATTTTTTATGCTTGTTATGAAGAAAATAAACATAATACACTGAAACAACATTAAACTAAGATAATATGATAGTTATTTTAATTTTTTAACAGAGACAATTCTCACATTTGTATGTTTCTTTGGTCTCCTGTTCTCCATCTTGCTGGTTTTTCTTTTTTTCTCATATCTCTCTGTTTGGAGTCTCTGAAAAACCTCTGTTTGGAGGGTCATGTAGCCCCAACACTTCGCCCCACCCCTCTATCTCAACAAGAATCAGGACACCCTACCCCTAGACCTGAACATGCAAAACAGAGGGATAGGGCTAAGTGGTATTTTTGGTATTTTTAATTATTACTGGTTCTATTGTAAGTCATACTAGTCAAAATAAGTAATTACAATTATTAATGTTAATATTAATTATTAAAGTAATTATTCAAGTAAGTATAGATATCTGTTTCTTACATATACAGAGTTAAAAAAGTGGTTATTACTAGTCAAAACTGCATTGTGACTAGCTATAATTTAACATTTAGGTATCAGTAATATTACTCTTACTAGTCAAAATAAAATTCTAGATCTACAACTGCATTTTAGAGATCTAAGTGTGTGAAGCAGCGCCATCGCAGGTCCTGCCTTCCTGCTGCTGTTAGACTGTACCTCCAACACTGCTCCCAGTAGAAACTCCTCCACCCCCCATTAGACCTCACACTCCTACAGAACATAAACTGTGAATTTATCACTTTTCCTGTGTGCAATATAATCAATACTCCATGTGCAATATTTTAAAAATATCTCTGTAGTGTAAAGTTTTTTGCTTTACTATTTATAATGTTTATATTGTTAACTCCTCACCATCCCATGGGTAACATAGATCAGTACCTCATGTGCCAAACTCTGTGAAATTCAGGTAAAATATCCTTACAGTGTAAATGTTTTAGCTTTTATTTAATTATAATCCTTAATATTGTTGCTTTTTGTGAAGGATAGAGTTTATATTTTTATTTTATTTTTTACTTTTAGTATTATATATGTTTACTGTAAAGTAACAAGTAACAAACTGTAAAATCTTGTTAATTCTCTTCTTGTTATTTCTTTTCTTGAGTGCTTCGCTCTCTCTTTGCTGCTGTAACACTGAGAATTTCCTCATTGTGGGACTAATAAAGGATTATCTTATCTTATCTTAAAACTATACTTATCTATAATGCATATTATAACTAATTCTAACTATATTAAAAATATCTTGAATAAGTATTGCTACTATTGCTACGTCAAAATTAAATTATGGATATGTGCACCTGGATTTTTTACTAGTCAAAATTAAAGCATATATATCTGTATTAGAGTTTCTAGTAGTACAAATGTAATACAGTCAACATCTGTAATTTTATTTTTTACTAGTAAAAATGTATTTATACACAAGACAGAATGAAATTCCATGTAAATCAATAGTGACATATGACTAGTGAAGATTACATTATTGGTATGTCATCCTGGCAGCAATATAACTACTCAAAATAGCTTTATAGATATATGTACGTAATATTATGACTAGTAAAAAATTGTATAATGCACATCTGGAATCATTACAGATCTCCAAATTTGAGTTTTCACCAGTAAAAACAGTCACGAGTATCACTGGTGTCATTTTAGGTTAAAAGGGTTCTCCATAGTGGCTCCACTACTGAACTGAACATCCGTTTTTTTTCCCTCTCTTCCTGCAGTTCCTCTCTCCAGCTCCACCCATGATGTGACCGCAGGTGGCTCTCCAGTGAGGATAGCTTCTCTCACCTCTCGCTGTTCTTAGAGCTGCGCTTGGGGCTGACTGATTGTCCAGTTTTGTCTTCCCTGTTTAAGCCATGTGCTTTTTGTTTACGTTTCTCCATGTGCTTTTGTTGTTATTTTGGTTTGGTCTCCTCCCTGGTCCCGCCCCCTTGTAATTGTCTTCAGCTGTCTGTAGCTCCGCCCTCTCGTTCTTCCTAGGTGTTGCTCGTTTTCCCTTTGTGTATTTATTACCCGTGTTTGGTTCAGTCTTTGTCTTGAATTTTCTCTGTTTGTTTCCTGGTTTCTGGTTTTGTTACTTTATGGATTTGTTTCTTTGGTGGGCCTTTTGGACTTTGTTAAGTTTTGAATTTGCAATAAAAGCCATTCGCACATGCGTCCAGCCTCTATGCCTCCAACGTGACACAGATAAAACCATTAAGCTTTAAAACTGTTGCTCACAAATACTGGTCTGAGTACTAGTGCTAATATTAATATTAATATCAATCAACTGTATCAACCTGTGTTTCAATAAGATGTAATCTTGGTAACTTCTTAATTAAGTTCTTAATTCTTTTTCCACAGAAAACAGTGGACAGACAAGTGCCTGTAAACCAGCTAGTCGGTGAGTTATCTTTGGTGAAAGACCTTTATTTCAATGACAAAACGCTTATTTAATGATAAAATAGCAATTTACTGAATATATAATCTCGTTATATTTCTTGTACTTGTCTCGTAGATTCTACTCTGTATACACATCTTATAATATTACAGTAAACATTTACGATTACATGCTATTTTCTTAAACGATGGTATGTTATTGTGTCTTATAGTATAAATGAACAATCCCAGAATTCCCAGAAATCTGTACAGAAGTAAAATGGGAAAACTAAGGACATTAACCACATTAACACATAATATGCCGTATTTCATTAAAACAAGATGTAATTTGTTTTTAGAATTTTAATAGTTAATAGCTTAATAGGAAGGTGAGATAATAACCATGAAGTAGTTTGATTTGGCTTTGGTCATCCAAATTTAGGAAATGGAGCCAGTGAATCAGTTGGTGTTGTGTGTACAGTTACACGTTTTTCAAAAGAATCCAGACACCCCACTGTCAGTAGAACAGGAACAGCAGCACATGAGCCCTAAGGTCGTTATGTGTCAGCATCCCCAGTGCCATCAGCTAGAGGGGTATAAAGCCCCCCGGCACTGGGCTTTGATACAGTGGAACTGTGTTCTTTTCAGTGATTGAGCTCTTTATAATATCTCTCGTATAGAGATAGGGGTGTAGAGTTGGGGCGGCATTTATGGTCAAGAACTAATCATCCAACGTCAGTAACTCACCTCACGAATGCATCTGTGGCTCAATGCAATCAAATCCTCTCAGCAATGTTTCAATATCTAGTGAAAACCTTCCCAGAAGAGTAGAGGCTGGTAGTACATGGCCTGCTGTTAGTGTGTGTGTGTGTGTGTGTGTGTGAGGGTGGACAATATGGACAGGCTGCTGACTGGCTACAGCTGCTAAAGGAGAACCCTATGCTGGACACTTGTGATATTTTAAACATCTGGTATTTTTACATAAATTGTTATGGCTGTATTGATTAAAAAAACAATACTGCGGTGGGTCCAGCACACCACTGAGTAACAAACACACCAACACCACACAAGGGTTGAGGCCATTTACCACCAGCTTGTTAAAATGAGACAAACTGAAAATATGATGTTGTTAAAAGGTGACAAAATACATGTGAGTGCCTGTCAGTATACTTTGGTGCGCACAAGTATAGATGGGAAACACGAGTGAAATCTCTTCTCTCTCTCTCTCTCTCTCTCTCGTTCTCTCAGCTCTCCGTGAAGTCGTATTTGTTATGCAGAGCCAGAGGAACTCCTACCACGCCCAGAGGGCAGGGCAGAGGAGAGCTCATCTTTTCCATCAAGCACAGAGCCTCAAACAGGTACTTGTACATCCGACAAGGTCATTCCTACATTGTTTTCTGCTCGCATAACTCTTTTGGTTCATATCTCACAGATGTAAAGAGAGATAGACAGACGGATAGACAGACGGATAGACAGACAGATAGATTGATAGATGGATAGACAGATGGATGGATAGATAGATAGATAGATAGATAGATAGATAGATAGATAGATAGACAGACAGATGGATAGATAGATAGATAGATAGATGGATAGACAGATGGATAGACAGACGGATAGACAGACAGATAGATAGATAGATAGATAGATTGATAGATGGATAGACAGATGGATGGATAGATAGATAGATAGATAGATAGATAGATAGATAGACAGACAGATGGATAGATAGATAGATAGATAGATAGATAGATAGATAGACAGACAGATGGATAGATAGATAGATAGATAGATGGATAGACAGATGGATAGACAGATGGATAGACAGACAGATAGATAGATAGATAGATAGATTGATAGATGGATAGACAGATGGATGGATAGATAGATAGATAGATAGATAGATAGATAGATAGACAGACAGATAGATAGATAGATAGATAGATAGATAGATAGATAGATAGATAGATGGATAGACAGACAGATGGATAGATAGATAGATAGATAGACAGATGGATAGACAGACGGATAGACAGACAGATAGATAGATAGATAGATAGATAGATAGACAGACAGACAGATGGATAGATAGATAGATAGATAGATAGATAGATAGATAGATAGATAGATAGACAGATGGATAGATAGATAGATAGATAGATAGATAGATAGATAGATAGATAGATGGATAGATAGATGGATAGACAGATGGATAGACAGACGGATAGACAGACGGATAGATAGATAGATAGATAGATAGATAGATAGATAGATAGATAGATAGATAGATAGACAGATAGATAGATAGACAGATGGATAGACAGACAGATGGATAGATAGATAGATAGATAGATAGATAGATAGATGGATAGACAGATGGATGGATAGACAGACAGATGGATAGACAGACAGACAGATGGATAGATAGATGGATAGATAGACAGATGGATAGATAGATGGATAGATAGACAGATGGATAGACAGACAGATGGATAGACAGACAGATGGATAGACAGATGGATGGATAGATAGATAGATAGATAGATAGATAGATAGATAGATAGATAGATAGACAGATGGATAGACAGACAGATGGATAGACAGACAGATGGATAGATAGACAGATGGATGGATAGACAGATGGATGGATAGGTAGATAGATAGATAGATAGACAGATGGATATAGATAGATAGACAGATGGATAGACGGATGGATGGATGGATAGATAGATAGATAGATAGATAGATAGATAGATAGATAGATGGATGGATGGATGGATGGATGGATGGATAGATAGACAGATGGATAGATAGATAGACAGATGGATAGATAGACAGATGGATAGACAGACAGACAGATAGACAGATGGATAGATAGACAGATGGATAGATAGACAGATGGATGGATAGATAGACAGATGGATGGATAGATAGACAGATGGATGGATGGATAGACAGATGGATGGATGGATAGATAGATAGATAGATAGATAGATAGATCAATCACTATTATTAACCCTAGAGGGAAATTCTTCTATTGCGGCAAAGAAAGCACAGTGAAGAGCAAAACAAGAGCGAAACAAGTGACCCTTATTAGTCCTTATTAGTTTTTAAACACCTCAGTGTCACTGCTGGACTGAGAATAGTCCACCAACCAAAAAACAGTGTCCTGTGGGCAGCGTCCTGTGACCACTGATGAAGGACTAGAGGATGACCAACACAAACTGTGCAGCAGCAGATGAGCTATCGTCTCTGACTTTACATCTACAAGGTGGACTGACTAGGTAGAAGTGTCTAATAGAGTGGACAGTGAGTGGACACAGTGTTTAAAAACTCCAGCAGCACTGCTGTGTCTGATCCACTCAGACAAGCGCAACACACACTAACACACCACCACCACGTCAGTGTTACTGCAGTGCTGAGAATGATCCACCACCCAAATAGTACCTGCTCTGTGAGGGTCCATGGAGGTCCTGACCACTGAAGAACAGGGTAAAAGGGGGCTAACAAAGTATCAGAGAAACAGATGGACTACAGTCTGTAACTGTAGAACTACAAAGTGCACCTATATAGTAAGTGGAGCTGATAAAATGGACAATGAGTGTAGAAACAAGGAGGTGGTCATAATGTTATGCCTGCTCGGTTTAGTCTGAATGGAAATCCAGTATCTCCTTATTTATAATCTCCTGTAAAGGATGTGACTGAATAAGTGCTGGAAACCATATTTACATTCACCACAATGGTCCATCTGCTGTGGTTATGAAAGCGGCTCCTGAACAGACAAGTTGTTTTATTCTCTTTGGTCAGAACAATTGATTCATTCAAAGCAGTTCTCTAAGTGCAGCTCGTCATTGTCTCAGCTCAAGGAGTTCTGGTCTTTTGTGTTTTCTGACACAACACATGCCCCTGCCACAAGGGGGCACTCTTAGCTTGATTTCTCAGCAAGGCCTATGTGGACGTCTAGAGGAAGCTGTATGAGTTGAGGTGAATGGTTTACTTATAATTTATATGCAGCGTGTGTTTGTGTTTGTGTGTGTGTGTGTGTGTGTGTGTGTGTGTGTGTGTGTGTAATCTTCTGAGCCTTCAGTCTTACTGATAGGGAAAATGATGGACAGCACTATGGGATCCTTTTTTAATTGTTCCTGATTGTTGAACAAAAAAGACAAAGAACCTCTGAGGATCTTTTGTATTTTTTTGTTTTCTGTTTTGACAGTGATTTGCACGCTCTGCCTCTGCCACACACACACACACACACACACACACACACACACACACACACACAATCACAAAACTTCAAAGGTTGAAAGTATGAATATTTAGTGGTTCCTGCAAGCACTCGTGTTTGCATTTTGGAAGGTCTGATCAATTTTGAAAGCTAATTTTAAAAAACAACTTTGCGGCTTGTAGTGAAATGAAGAGCTTTGGTTTTTCTAAGAGGTGTTTTGTATCTGCCTCATTAACTGTACTCAAATGTACTTTGTTTATATAGCACCTTTTACGGTAGACACTGGGCCAGCTTCATAAAACTTGGCAGTGACAGCGCTACGCCATGCGAAATGTGCAGCAAGGTAAATAAGGGCTATTCATAAGGTCACTGTGGGGGCAATTAATGTGTTGGTGTCTTTTCACCTGTGTAATAAACAAGAACCAATCAAAATCCAAATGTAAATGAGGTCAAACATTTGAAAGACCTGCCAAGTGACGCTCCATTTAGTTGCCATAAAAAACAAAAACTAAGCAAAAAGGAAACTAATTTTATGGGAAGAAATGCTAACAAATAATAATAAATTGTTTAGCTGTTAACCAAAAAACAAAATATTCTTAGCAGAAGATGTCTACTATTAAAAAATTAAACTTTTAATTGTAGAAATTGTATATTAGCATGTGAGGTTTATTTTTTCAATTAAATATAAATAATGGTGATAATAAATTTGAAAAAATCAGTCCTTTTATCCAATTCATTATAATTACAGTAATTTTTGAAATTTGATAGTTATTACAAATAAAAAAAAATTGACATGCTGAAATTTGAATCGCTTTGGCAAGCCTTTTTAGCTTTTATTTCTTATTTTCCTTGATATCAGAAATTTAGTTTACTCACGTGAAAATTAATTTTCAACTAGTAAATATTTAATGATGATTTCTTCATATCAGAAATTTGATTTGCACATGTGGAATTTGAATATTAGATATCGAATTCCTTTGCAAAATCATTTGAAATTGAATAATGTTATTAAAAGTTAAAACTGCTAGTAATAAAATCAGTTCAAACATTAAAACCTCAACATGTCACATTACTCTTCACTAAACCTGCTTTCCATACACAGAAAGGGGATTTGGGAAACACTGAATTGACTCAGTGCCAGTTAAATCTGCTAATCTGAACACCGCTCAAGTCTTTTTTCTCCATCAATGTGTGTCTTTTTAAATACACTGATCAGGCATAACATTATGACCACCTCCTTGTTTCTACGCTCATTGTCCATTTTATCAGCTCCACTTACTATATAGGTGCACTTTGTAGTTCTACAGTTACAGACTGTAGTCCATCTGTTTCTCTGCATACTTTGTTAGCCCCCTTTTACCCTGTTCTTCAGTGGCCAGGACCCCCATGGACCCTCACAGAGCAGGTACTATTTGGGTGGTGGATCATTCTCAGCACTGCAGTAACACTGACGTGGTGGTGGTGTGTTAGTGTGTGTTGTGCTGGTCTGAGTGGATCAGTCACAGCAGTGCTGCTGGAGTATGTGCAATTTGTTGTTTGTGGGCCCAAACATGTTTGAAAACATTATATAAAATGTCATTAATTAACGGTGGTATAAAATGACCAAAAAGACAATGACATTGTTAATTGTGGGTAGTTTGAAGGTTCTAACCAATGCACTGGAGCGGTTCCACTCTGAAGGTGTCTTATTTGACTAATTAGCCGCTTTTTTTGCTAGTTAGCTTTAGTTATTGACTTGGCTGACATGAAATGATGTACTGCACTGTTCTGCACACAGAATCATATATACAGTTGAAGAACCCTGAGATGGCTTTGGCTGCCTGCCTGTTTGTGTCAGTTCTTGTTTTCTAATGCGCACTGGAAAAACACCCTTTGTGTCTGCATGGTTGTTGGTGGAGCTTCTAGCCAATGAAGACTGAGCTCTGTCGTCTCTCCGCTCACACATCCTGTGGAGAGAAACTGTGGAGTCTGGCTCTGACAACCTCAGCTGTCTCACTCAAATGATTGTAATAGAATCATTAGGGCATCCAGTGGCTCCACCCAAAAATCTAATCGGCATGTGTTATAGCCAAGGGCTGATCGATCTACACAGGCCTGAGTTAAGCCGAACAATCCAAATGTAAATCCTCTATG